GATTCACACCAAAGCTTTTACTGTTACGTGTCTTTTATTAACGTTTATTTGTGTTTAAACTGGTATGTTCACTGTTCATAATGTTCCTAAAACAAGAAACGCCCTGACCCGGATTCTAACCCAGGACCTTCTTGCTGTGAGGTGACAGTGCTAACCACTACACCACTGTGCCGCCTATCTACACCACTGTGCCGCCCATTGTTTATCTTTCAGCATTGAAAATTCCAACGACACCCTTATTTTTGTGTGTTCTGGATCACAGTATCCAGAATTTTGTCTGGATCAGGATCAACCTTTGACACCTCATAAAACTCATTGAGATCCTTTTGTGTAATTTTTTACTAAAGACTCTGGACATTTTTATAGAGTTAAATGCAAAAATTCCAAAATTTGCCCTATCTCACAATGATAAAGAATCATTCAAAAAATTCTTGGATCCAGAAGGTGATGCGGATCACCACCAACATCTAATGGGATCCTCCTGGGGCTGAGACGCACCTCTGGTGAAAATTTCAGGTCAATCTGTCTGTAACTTTCTCCGTAAATTTGTTCACAGACAAACAAACAAACAAACAAACAAACCAACCAACGCTACCGAAGATATAACCTCCTTGGCGGAGGTAATGATGCATACCAGGCTTTCTCACATTATTACAATGTCTTTGCTCCCTCAGAGCACTCTTGGGTTCAGCATAAGACCTCAGCTGTGTTTCAGCTGTTTCAGCCAGGTACAGAATTCTCCCTGATCCCAAAGGAAGAGTCTGTCCCAGATTTTGAGGGGAAGCTGAGCCCCATCACTGCCCAGGAGAGTAAGGCAAACTGCTGCTATTATCTGACAGTACCTCTAATTTTCAAAAACACCCTTTGTGTCTCTTTATATCTCCTCTCACATTGCATTACAAACAACTGTGAGCCCTTGAGACTATAAGAGAACTGCATGCCAGCTAATTTTAGATCCTCCCCCATAGTTTGCCTAGAAACTCCAGATGACACAAGGGAGGTAAAACTTTGCTGCTATGTGTAAACTTCAGAGAGCTGTTTGCCGCTCCGGGTGAAAGAACGGCAAATCTACTCTGATCAAAGTCTCGACAAAGACCTCACAACGCACAAAGATGGTGTGATGGAGTTTGAGTGATGCTGCTGTGACCTCCACGCAAGAAAGCCTCTGCTGCATCTGCTGAATACTAGTGCCTGCTCTGCATAAAATGGAGGTGTTTGAACCTATCTGTGAACTAGACGAAGAGGTTTGTAGAAGATAGCATGTCATAAACGATATAAAAGAACACTGCAGAGAGGCATAGCATGAGCATTCATGTTTAGGCTTTAACCTTGGGTGGTTTTACCGTAAATTCGACTGTTACAAAGAAAAGAGAAGAATAGAGGACAAACATAGACACAAATAAAGGTTAATGAATACAGAGAAAGAAACTGTAGTTACTCCCAATCTGAAAGCTCTTAAGCTGATAACATGCATTAACCTGATCTTCTTGATCTGACTTCAAAGATCTGACATCTGAGCTGAAGGCCAACATGACAGGAAACTCCACCTCTGGGTTAAGTAGGAAGACAGTGGGAGCTGCCCACTATCAAATGTACTCAAATGTCCGTATAACCTCTTTTGCTCTGACAAATTAGCAACCAGCATTCGCCCAAGAGTTGCACATAACCCTCACAGTCTGATGCAGGGAGCAGCAGCCACATACAGCTATTCTAACACTAAGGGGCCATCTCACCGCTGTCAACTTAGACACCACACCATGCATCATGAAGAAAAGTAGCGAGAAAGGAAAAAAACCTCTCTGATCCTTTTATCTATAACCACTCTGGAGTGGATTTAGCGCCTTCTTGGTACCAGCCTGGGAGCTTAAGTGAAGCTTAAATGGCTATTATAAAGCAATTAACTTGTGGGTGCTGACATATGCATCTTCCCTTGCCATCTGTTTCTCTGGTGAGGGATGACTGTTAAGTTACAGCCCTAAACGTTAACCGCGTACTTCCCAGTGTGCCACTGCCCCCCTCTGCTCTATGGAAGAACTGCAGCAAAGTGACCAGATGACATACTGTAGAAGACATGAGGACAGTACTGCAAGCAAAATTAGTCTAAAATATGTCTGTGTGACTGAGTTTTTGAAAAGTTGAAAAAAAAAAAGAAGAAAGAAATGATTGACCCAAGCTGAAGAGTTTTTTTTAAAGCCATACAACATACAGTACAAATGAGTTACAGGTGCCCATTTGTGTCCTTTTTCTTTGCCAACTGTGCATTCAGTCTGAAAACATGTCTCAGTCTTTTCATTTATTGTGCCATTGTAGGATGTTACTTTGCATTCAGCACATAGTTGTCAATTTCTTAACAATAACAATAATATTTTCAGCATACAGCTTATACTGTTGTGAACTCTGAGGAAAGTCAACATCTAAAATTATTGTAATCTTACTTTCAACACTGTCCCAGAATTTCTGAAGTTTTTTGGACTGCCCCTTAAAATGTGTGTCTAATTTCTAATCATATAGATGTGTATTCCCCTCCACAGGTGCAAGTACTACTACCTCTGTGTTGTCCTACAGTGTTTGAAAAAGTCTCTTGCAACGCATCTTAACAACCTCTCTTACAACTCATGCTAATTTGACAATCTTTCATCACAAATTTTACTGCTGAGTGTGTTGTGTCTTTCTGTCTTGAGATCCATCATTGGAGTTGCAAGAGGAAACAGAAGACTGTGACTCTCTCTAAACCCGACTGAGTGTGATGGAGCTTCCTCTCATCAACCCCTCTGTCCCTTTTTTTGTGTCTGCTCCCAAAAATATCTACCGGAGTAAGTCTAAGGAGTGCTGATATGTAACAGTGAAGCAGTAGGTGCACAGAGAAACACTTTTGACCTTTCATCGCACAAATATTGTCAGACTGTTCAAAAAGAAATAGACCTGGCATAAATCTTTGGAAGTGCAAGTTTACACACATGTATTGTTCCCCTTTCTCCCCACTGAAGCTTGAGTGGAAGAAGTGTCTGCAGAAGACAAGATTTGAAGCTGTATCTGACATTAAAAAAAAAAAGTTGATGTGAGGATGTGTGTTGTGGCAGCTTCAGATACCTCCTGAAGAAGCTGACAGACATGAAGATGGAGGATGTAGTTGGGTTATACGGAGAACATGTTTATGCAACAGGATCATAATACTTTAAAAGAACAAAATGGTAAAATGAATGAATGAATGTGAAGATGGGAAAATACTATGCAGTGCCAGGTCGTTCCTTTTTGTTTGAGCAGATTTTCCGATCAGTTGTTGGATAATAATTTCATACCATCCACTCATTGAAGAATCACAGTTTTAAAAAGGCATTTATTAAGGTTGAAAATAAGTCGTGTTCAGATAGCTGTTCCCTAAGTTCCCTCTTCATCTGGTGGTTTGGGTGTGATTCAGCATGCAGAGGACTGCCGCAGGTGCAACACTCTCATGGGAATTATGATGTGGAGCAGACAGAGAACAAGCATATGCGCTGAGTAACATGGGCACTTCTATGCAGCAGGTTGCAGACAAAAGGCTGTCAACCAAGCTTAATGTCATGGGCAAAGTGATGGATAGGACTCAGGTCGTTTTATCTGTTCATAATTCAGAGATAAGATACCATTAAAGTCTTAATTAACTCCTTCTTGAGCTATTTTCTGCTTCATACACCTTCATTTATTGTCTGGTCCTTGCCCATAATCTCATCAGTCATTTTAATGTCACGCACAAAGACTATAAGATATTTTTATGGCTTGTCAAAGATGTTATTTCTATTAGGATCTTCAGTGGACATATTATGTCTCTCGGTTTTTGGATTTCAAAACCCCAAATGGACTCTTGAAGATCTTTTGTAACACACCATTGTTGTTATTTAGAGCCTGCAGTGTTAAATCAATTTTATAAATTAAAAAAAAAAAAAACCTCTCTCTCTCGCTTTCTCTCTTTCTTTGTCTTTCTCTCTCTCTCTCGACTGTTTTTCCAGGTGAGAGATTTTCACGGGGCAAAACGGGCTGCAAATCTACAAGCAAACTACAGTAACAGAAACATGCTGCAAAAGAAAAACAGTAAGACAAAGAGCAGAAACAAATGCATCCACTGCCAAAGTGTTACATAGACTGTGTGATGCTTTTACAGAAAGACTTACCATTATAAGTACAACGCAATTTTAGCATTTGTATTTTTGACCTTTTGTATGTGTATTTAGATTTATCCCCTGGAAATTGCCTTTGAGGATCAATGAAGTTATTATTTCATCTCATCTTATCTTATCTTATCTTATCTTATCTCATTTAATTTTATCTTACCTTATCTCATCTCATCACATCTCATCTCTTCTTATCTTATCTTATCTTATCTTATCTCATCTTATCTTATCTTATCTTATCTCATCTTATCTCATTTCATCTCATCTCATCTCATCTCATCTCATCTCATCTTATCTTATCTCATCTTTTCTCATCTTATCTTATCTCATCTTATCTCATCTCATCTTATCTCATCGTATCTCATCTCATCTCATCTCATTTTATCTTATCTCATCTCATCTCATCTTATCTCATCTTATCTCATCCGATCTCATCTAATCTCATCTTTTCTTATCTCATCTTATTTCATTTTATCTTATCTTATCACCACATCTGACTCTATATTCATTATTGACTCTTACACAAGTGTATCAGATTTGATCCAAAGATTTTGTACTTTGAGTTTATGGCATTCAGACAATGAGAACACTCAGTTATACTCTTGAAACATGATCTTCAGGGGAATCTACATGACTGTGAATGAGTTATGTAGTTTTTCTAGAAATATTTAGATGTATTTTTTTAGCAGGCAATGAAGGGATGTTGAGTTCAGCATTTTGTCGAGGGTGATCTGAGCTTTACTCAATGGGTAAAGGATGTGGAAATCCTTGACCTTAGAGACTTACCTTCGGCAGCTGAGACCCAACTTTCCATAGAATAAATGGACATGTATTTTATATCTTACCCTCATAAAAAACTTTTTTATTTCTACTTTTGCTTTGTTTTCTTTGTTACACTTTGTTTTCCCCAGAAGAGCTGTGCCCTCCTGTTTTTGTGGAGCTGGCATTTCTTTGGAAACAAACTTCCCCCTTTAGATTCTGTCGAGATGAGCAGTCACTCCTTTTTTTTTTTTTTTCCTACCCTTGAGATTTGAGGCTTTGGTTCTTTCATCGCTATGCTAAACAACATCATCTTTCCTGTATCATGCACATGGAGATGCAGGGGTAGCATAATAAATCCTTCCTCATGGAGCTGAGTTGAAAGTAATCCCACCAAATCCCTCCTCACAACAAGCTCATTTATTACGGCTCTGTCTAACAAGATGCTTACTTGCCCAAGGTGGGAGCTGGTAAATATCTTCACAAGGACATGTGACTGTCCTCTAGGGGGACAGGAACAGAAGCATGGTAATTAAGGTTGTGTTAATTACACTTTTTCAAGGGTAGACTAGACTCTCTATATTCCTCTTTACTGTGCTAATGTAACAAAGGACGAACAAATGTATTTAAATGAACTTAAAGAATATAAAGTAAGTTGGTACTAAGTTCATACCTTGAATTTGTGACATTGTGGTATGTTATTTAACATGTTTTTGTGAGTCTTCAATCCAGAAATTAAAAAGTCAAAGTGAAGCTGACAGTGGAAGGCCAAATAAACCCTACAGTGGTCCTCTTCTTTGTCATTTTATCTATTTTTTTTTCTTTTTTTCTGAGGTTTCTCCTCTGAGTTTCCCAGCCACTTTTATAATGTCTGTGCAGATGAAAAACAAGGGTTACCATGAATGTGAAACAGCTCCAACAAACAACTTCTGCAGCAAACTTACTGTCTGAAAAAGGAGTGTGATGATGTTCACACTGCATCGTATTTGCACTGGACGCATGGGAATGTCACTGACTTATAAACAACACCCTGGTTTGGCTGCTTTTCTTCGTCACCTGAGAGTTTTGCCTCAGTAAACAAAGGCTGTCAAATATTCAGTGACATTCAGCACCCACAGGATCCCCCTGCACAGTGGTGTGTCACTCTTGATGATGAAAGGGTGGACAGTGTGTGGCTGTGACATGGAGTGGAAGTAAGGGACAGCATAGGGGTGGGGGGAGGTGTTCATGCAAAGTTCTTATCGGTGATGCAAATATTTTGTGGTAATTTTCATATGAACTGTAATTATCAGTCAAAACGGTCGTTCACATTGATCCCCAATGTTCTCCCATCAGGCAGTCCTTCAGACTGTCAGTGACTTCGTGCCTTTGGTTGTTTGTGTCATCAGCAGGATAATGTTCAGTGTTATCCTGTATATTATCTCAATGATGGAGTGATGAGTAATCGTTCATATATGTTCATTGTTCCCAGAGGAGAACTCGTACTTGGTGTTCTCACTGAGTTTGACTGTATTGCCAACATGACTATGCCATTTATTGTTTTTTATGACATGACCATGGTGAGGATAACCATGAAATATGATACTAACATTCTTTCCACACTCAAGGTGGATATAAAACAGTTTCAGTAATAACCTTTTATTCTACTGTCTGACCAGGTGTTTGTATTTCATCAAATGTCTTGTATTTTAAATTTGATTTTTGTGCATTTTTGCCTTTATTGGATAGCACATCTGAAGAGGGACAGGAATAGTGGAGAGGCAACCAGTCAGGGCCAGTAGCTAGACTAGCAACCCCTGCAATGAGGACTATAGCCTCTATAGGTTGCACACATATGCTTTAAGACCAACCAGTGGTTCAGTATGTTGACTTTTGACTAGATAGCTGCATGTTGAAAATCTTCAGAGGCGGAGATAGAAGATCTACCTTTGGGCACATTGAAATTATACTCGAATATTATCTCCTTGGGCTTTATAGGTTTAGGCTGATCTTGAACAAGAGGTTTTATTCTAAATGAAACTTTGTTTATACATAATTCATAAATTTCAATCTGATTGTTTTTGCCACATAATATTGTCCCTAAAGGTTCAAATCATGGGGAGCCTCATAGCTAGTCTTCTTAGGTTTAGGACAACTGTAAGAGAAGACAATAAAAAATTATACCAGAGTTTTTTCGAATCACTTTAGGTTTTCTTCAAACTTCCCCTTCACCATTTAGTGCTATCCAAAACCTCTGACTTTGATGTGAGACTCTAAACAGTGCTGTACGATACTGGCCTGGTGTAATACTATTTATGCTATCTAATTCTTGTCATGGTTGACATTCTATGGATTAATATTTCATGTTATAGCTCACACAAACATGTACTGTTCACTTGAGGTAAAAATAAAACAGTATTTGTACGAGTATATAAGTGATGGCATTATTCTAGTATTTCTGTCTTGTACAGGTTTGCTGTTTGTCATGAGCCAGGGTTAAACAAAATAAAAAGACCCAAATGCAGAACAAAAAATGATATATTAAAAAAAACGAAATAAAAAGCAACAAAAACTTATTTCAAAAACACAAGGAGCAAATAATCCAACCAAAGCCACTGGGAAAAAAACACACACAAACACATCGACATACATTGAACCCACCAAGACAGAGGGGAAGACAGGGACTATATACACATGGGAAAACAAGCAACAGGTGAGGCAAACGAGCAACAGGTGCGGCAAACGAGACACAGGTGAAACTCATAGGCGATTAGCCAAAGAGGGGAGTAAAACCAAACTAGAAACACAAGAAATCAACTACTACAAAATAAAACAGAAAACATTGAAAACTGATCTAAAGAATGAAACACTGAAAATATGAGGGAAACAGGGTCAAACACAAACTGAAAACTCACAAGACTCGACTACAGGGGAACAGGAACAATGGGGGAACAAAAACACTGGGAAAAATACACACACAAAAAATACACTGAAATCACAAAACCAGGGAAAACTAAATCAACAGAACATATCTAGACGCTGTTATCAAGTGAAAAAAGGTCTTAACTTATTATTTTTGTGTGTGTGATGTTTTTTAAGACGATAAGGTAAAGCTTTTAAGTGTGAATCAGACAGTCTTTAAAATGAGATGATTAACATACATGGTGATGGGAAGCCGATTGTATCATTGACAATTAATCAATAACAAAAGGAGGGTATGGGGTTCAGTAAATGTCACTTTTTCCCCACTCCTTTTCTGATAAGTTCACTGAAATTATACTAAAATTGAAATAGTTTCTGCTTTTTATGTCAGTCTGTTTGTTTGTTTTCGTTCTTTTTTTCTCTTTTACATGTTTAAAATGATCAATTTCAGTTTCAATATGAAACAGACTTCTGTTCCCTCCTTGTTGTACTTATTGTCAAAACTTTATAATTCTCAGATTTTCAGTTCCTTTTTTATAAATGTATTTGAGTTTTGAAGTGCTCTATAAATCTCTCACTGTTTTATGGTTTCCCCTCATCGGTAATGCATCAAAAGTCCACAAGAGGTCAGACTTGCCCCTCTCTTTTCTGTATATGTTCTGCTCCAGAAGCAAATAAATGTTTGGGTTGTTGGAGGGATTTGTAGCCAAAGAGATTGTCTCTCATACTTTAAGCAAAAAATGTTTTTTTTACATAAAGTAACTTTGCTTTTTAGCCAGTATTTCATGCCCCCCCAATAATACATCTGTGACACAAGTTTAGCGTTTCCATCCTATGTGGAATAGATGTGAGTATAGATGAGAGTGAGTGTGTACAGTGACGCAGTGAGCTTTGACCTGTATCCTTTTGGCCTCTTTGGACTCATGGTTATTTAGCTGAGGGGTGGTTTAAAGGAAGTGCTAATTTAGTCACCATCAAAAACTGTCTTCCCTCTGAGCTGCTCTGGTAGCTTTGTTTGGGAGTCTGTCTAACAGAAGTGCCCAGGTTTGTTTCTAGTGTATACATTTTTATGAATTTCATCATTTTCTCACTTGACCTGGTTCACTTCACTCTTAATGATTACATAATGTACAAACACCATCAAATAAAATCACAGTTGCAGCAGAAGAGTTTAACCTCTCATAAATTTGCCACTGTGATGTTGATATTCGTCTCTTTTATATTTCTCTCTTTCTAGCACATTATTTGATTTGCAGTGAAACAGACAGGTTTAGGTGCTGACTCCAGCAGGTATTATTATTATTATTATTCACATTTTAATATGATCATGTAGCAGCTACAGCTCTCTCTAAAAGAGATTTTCTTGTTAGAGACACTGTTTTCTGTGACAGAGATATGCATTATTTCATGTTTTGTTGCCAATTCTATGATAGCATGAAGGTTAAACATATCAGGAGACAACTTTAATGAAAGAGCCATACTGCAGACTTTTACACTATCTTGCTTATTTTGGAGGTCATTTGTATCCTATATGGTCCTCAAAAAGCATGCAGCTGTTTAAAACAAATGTACCTTTTCTGCATGTTTGGGCTCACTGACCTCTTGGATTGTCAAAGATTAAGCGACTGTGTATAAAAAAGATTTAAACGTATGACACGGTCTAAGTCCTCCTAAATCAAATCCAGTGTAAAGACTCAAAACAAAGTGTCTTAATACCCTCTGACAGCACTGTGTGATGGCCTCCCCTCAGGTTAAAGAGTCCTGACAGCCCCTGCTAAGGCGCTGCCACTGAGAAAGTAAGTGTGGTCGTGTTAAGAGCTGCCAAATAACCCCAAAGAGGTTATAACCCCTTTCCATCCTGACGTCACTGTGTTGGCTCACACAGACTTGATTTCTATGGAGCCACCAGGTTACTGGCAGAGTAATGTTGCCAGGTTCAAATCAATTAAGCACCGACAGGCAGGAAACCCACGTCACTGGAACCTTCTGCCTCCTTATTGCTTCAGTTAAGGCACAATAAGGTGGAAGTGGTTTGAAATAAGAGCCTGAATAGATGTTTGACAAGAACTTCGAGGCGTCTGCATACAAAATGAATCTAGAGGCTTGCTCCTTTGGCATTTTATCACACTTGCATGGAATAAACCTTGAGAGAGCAGCCAACAAAAGTAGTTTTACAATAAATAACTTGTTATCTTGTATGGCAAAAACAAAATTCTCTCACATTACTTCTTTAAAAGAGATACTTTATCAAACACTATGCCAGCTTCATTTCTTAGAAGACTGGACCTCTTTGATTCTCAACCTTGGCAGCAGATGAATGAGTTTCACTCGGAGGGAACTGGCACGGTTACTGCGGGAAAAACCTATGAGAGATACTCTGTTTGTCTATTTATGAGTTTATAAAAAAATTAGGATGGGAATAAGAGGAGCAGAGGAAGCCGTGGTTGCGATCTGGATGAGTTTCCACTGGGTCAGAGCCTGTTCGAAGCATATTTCCCTCCAACAATAGAGAGCAGCAGTTACCAGAACAGAGCACTCTGTTGTCCTCCAGTCCTTTCTGCCTTTAATGGCTCTTTAGCCGCTGAGGGCCAACAGATTCTGCAGAAACACAAAACACTAAACAGTAAGTAATATCAGCTGACATTTTCACCGTGCCTCTTTTAATTCTGGGAGACAACCATAACAAACAAACACAACCACAGCATGTCATGTTGAAGTTGCATTGCAATTGCATTTATTTCTCCAATAGATATTCACATTCATAGCAGTTTCACTACAGCAAATAAAACTAATCCATCTCTACAGTCATGAAAGACAAAAATCATCAAGTGAAAATCAAGGACAACAAAGTAAAATATATATCTGTGAGCCAAATAAAAGAGTTTGTTCATACAATGATGCATTGCCACGGGTCTTTAGAGTAAAAATAAAAGAAATCAGAATTTATAAGCAGGAAACAAACATAGCTTTTTCTAAAGTGACAAGCAAATAAAATTCAAGGTGGCCTTTCTGCAAATAACACACTTTAAAAATAAACATTTCATACGCAAAGGTTTTAACACTTCAAGGGCAAAGTGATGCTTCTTGCAGAAAAATGCTGATACTCCCATGCGTGATATATCACTTTCTTTCACTGAAACCACCAACGTCAAACAAATTACATCTGTTTTTAAGAGAGAAATGCAAAGAGTGGAGAAAAATAGAGCATATGAGCATACACTTTTAAGGATACAGTACACGACAATCCTTTTCATTAAACACTTTAGCTTCTAGCTGTAAGGAGAGATTGACTGGCCTTACTCTGAATGTGTAAAAGTGCATTTACAATTAATATTACAAAGAGAAGAAGACATGATTTATTTATATATACTTCTTACAGGCTCATACTGATGGAGGACTGTCACTGCAGCCATTGAAACACCAGGGTGTGTTGTGAAGTAGGCCTACTACTTGGCATGCATGAGTACAGAATATTACAGCTTTTTGTTTTGAATGTCAGCACATTATCAGCATTTCTTTTTTTCAAATCAAAGATCACATGATACAACAGAAGAAGTAGAAATGTCTAAAATGAAAGAAAAGTGCCATCTTTTTCTTTCTGCTATAACAGCTACCTGCTCCAGCTCACAGCTCGGGCCAGACTACACCAGCCTCCCTCGACTCTAAGGTCCCCCTTTGTCTGCACGCACAGAGTTCAGAACAACAGGGCTGTTGACAGGCTGAGGTAAAGTGATGCGCCTGCTGGCCTGCCATCTGTGTGTGGGGGGGGGGAGACAGGACGACAGCCAGCAGGCCGGATGGAAAGGGACTCTTCCCTTGTGTGTCATATTTCACCTCCTCATCTCACTCCAGCTACAGTAACGCTCAACAATAACCAACTTCCTAAGTGGAGGGCCAACAAGGGGGACAGGGGACCTCATGTCACGCGAAACAAAAGGACGTTTGATACATGAGAGGGCCTCTGACACTGACCAGTCCAATTCAACGGAATGAACTGTATTATATTCAACTTTGGTGATTTGTGCACAACTGATGGAGGAGAAATACAATATTTTCAGGATTAATGTTTTAAGCTTCCTGAAAGGCATAATGACTTGCAAATTCCTGACTCGATATGGTATTTCTTGCCTCACACGCTACCAAAGTCATGGAGATTTTCCAAAATGTGGGTTGGCCAACAGAGGTATTCTCAGAAAGACTTGAAAGCAAATCCTGAGTTTGGCGTGTTGCCATCAGAACTGGAGGAACAAAAGTCAGGAGGTCCTATGAGGCAGGAGGAGAGACAGAGAGTAGTGCCTACATAAGTTGCCCACATAGTATGGGTGAGTAAGACAGCTTGACGCTCAATCATGGTTTCACTGTAGACTCCATGTAAGAGCCAGTCATGTAAACCAGCATGTCTCCTTGTACTCCACTGATCCTGATTTAAGACGACACGAGGAGACGAATGCACAGCTACAAAAAGAGAGAGAGAGCACTTTGGAGTGGGAGTTAGGAGAGGGATGATTGGTGGTCTCATTAAAAACAGAACCAAAGATGGATGGCCACACAGACGGCCTGATGAAACACTTCAGACTGACAAAGCAGAAATGTGGAGCTGACAAGCTGAAAGGAGGATGAGAAACTTGCTGAAACAGATCACCGCCTGGTCTGAGAGTCTTTTCTGGTGAAAAATTTGATCATTTGCTGATGCGAGTATTTAAACTAAGACGGCTTTGTGAATGTCAGCACAATAGTCTGCCTGCAGATCTGTTATGGTGGCTGATGTGGTGCATAAACACGTTTTTATGTGTATTTCTATGTTGTTATGTGGGAGTGTTACCCACGGCTTCAAGAGGTCATTGACCCAGAAAAGGAGCCCATAGCAGAGATCTGTTTCTTTTCCATTCCTGTTTGTTTTATATACGGAGCAACATATCAGGTTAAGGTGAATGCAGACTGAATGATTTAACAGAAAGACTTCCAAGTGCTGGAGTACATTTGTGAAACTGATCTTAATATACAGTGTTAGTGGTATTAATAGTAAAACCAGCAAACTATACTGTGAATGTGAATGTTTAGTTATGAGGGGCATTTTTATGAATGAAAATGCTCACTTTACAGGTCAAATCAAACCTCAAAACTAGATAAAACACATGTTGAATATACTTTTCTAAATGAAAAACTACTTCAACGTCACCCTAGATCGACCGTGGTTTATAAAAGACATAAAGAGGTTGCACATCCGAGGAGGTGAAGGGTTATGAAGTCAGTTTAAGAGCCATGTGAGAATACATTAAAGATATCCAGTAGAGTAACTTCTCATACTAAGATGGTTCACAGCATTTCTGGCCTTGAGTTGGTTCTGATTTATCACAGGTACGCACACACACACACATACACAGACATTCACACACACACACACTCTCTAACACAGACACACACTTGAAACATGCTCATTGTCAGACACAAATACAGAGCGCTGGTGTGCTCCTTCAACACTCAGTAAGACACTTTAACGGAGATAGTGAGACTAATGAAAGGTAAGAGGGAGGAAAACTGTGTTATAGATGAAAGACAAAATATCAGCCAATCTATTGGGGATTAGCTGTGGTGGATTTGCAGGATTAAAGCTGATGAAGTGTCCTGTGACAGGGAATTATTGGGAATAATGGGATAACTGTTCCCTCACATGACAAGCCAGTTCCCTCATCTCCCTTCTTCTCTCCCTCTTATTTTTCAGTCAGGCTGCCCCAGGGTGGTGTGTGTGTGTGTCTGAGTGTGTGTGTGTGTGGTCACAGATGAGTGAATGTCTTCTAACAGCCTAGTTAGACACACAAACACACACACAGACACACAGTTGATGCACAAAACCCACAGCCAGTAACATAGCCCTTTTCCCTCCAGTCTTCATAACATGGTCCCAGGCCAGTGACAGCATGGGTCAGCTGATCCAGTCCAGCAATAAGAACCCCTGTGGACTTTCCTAATAACTAAAGCAGCAGGGGTTATGGGTGTCAGGTGTGTGAGTGAGTCCACATGTGTACCTGTGTCTCTGGAAAACTTGCAAAACACCTTCACGGTTTAACAAAAAGGGAGAGGCAAGTGCACTGTGAAGCCTTTTATGATGTATACAGTAGTCCGCTGTGACTCCAGTGTTGACTGCTCTTATTGTGACAGCATGGAGGAATCAAACTTCAACAAACACCCTCACAACTGTTCAATCACTATAACATTACAATACACAGTGCTTGAGGCAGTCACACAACTTGCTTTCCCTTTTTGTTTTAGTTTCTGACATTTATTTTCTATGCGCTTCATTCATCCAGAGACACTCATAGTGGATTTTTCAAGGAGGTTAAACACTGACGTGAACAAAGGCAGTGTGGTTGTTGAAGCTGAAATGTAAGGGACTGCATCTAACGAAAGAATAACTGTGATTTCCTTAAATTCAGGGACACGCAGAGCGACGGAAAACTGAAGCCAAAAACACACAACAGAAATCAAACCCTCCGAGGTCTGAGGCAACAAAAAACGGTCAAAAGTCAAGAGCTGGATTGTGTTGTTGGAGAACATTAAGAAGTGATTAGACTGTGTGGAAAGTGAGGTCAGGGTGGTTATCAGACATACATCTATGTACACACACGCGCACACACTCATTCACTATTGCTCTTCCACACACACTTAACAGGTCCCCAGTGACATGCTCCCCTTAAATTAAACATATTAGATAAAAGTAATACTCTCTACATAGATATAATTATATAGCAGGTTAATAGTTCTACACTTGTCCCCATTCTAGGATCAGAAGATGCATGAAGGACTGATGATAACACTACCATTACTTTGTGGCAAGAAGGCAGGCGTGAGACTACTCTACCAGGTGCATTAGTGGACCAGTTGTCATGGTTATGGTGTGGGAGCTCCACACTGAGATGAAGGTCAAGGGTCGTAGATCTGGCAGTAAAGTGTGTCCATGAGCACTTGCTGTGGAGCCTTTGATACCTCATGTTCTCTTCTTCCTGGCCACCTCCACATCCTGGCACTCCACCGCCGACAGCGCGATCAGCATCTGAGCCGCGTAGTAGGTTGCCATGATGATGGCGCGCGAGTGGGGCACGGGGAAGCAGAACTTGTTGACGGCGATGGTGAGGTCAGACACCATGAAAAGCACAGAGCCTAGGCAGGCCGACAGCTTGGTCCAGGTCCACAGGTCGTTGGCGAGCTGCAAGCCTGCCATGGCCCTCCAGCCCATGAAGCCAATCAGAGCGATGTAGACGGCCACCAGGTAAGTGAAGGGGCCCGACAGGTATGGGTAGAGCAGCGAGTAGCTCAGACCGGACACAACAGAGATCACCAGGCCAACTGACACATTCAAGGGCTTCATCCCGAAGGCAGACGAGTAAAGGATGTGGGTGATGGCGAACATGAGGAGACCTATAGAACATGATACATATATTAGAATCCATCAGTGTACACTGTCTCAGCCAGAATTATGACTTTAAGTCAGATATCAGAATCACATCCTCAGAAATGTATTAATGCTTGAGGTTTATTAGGATTTAGCCCCATTTTTTTCTGTCTTGGCCGGTGTTTCAGTGTGCTTTGCTAATCTGCTGCTGCTCCTGAGGTCCCTTTCTGAGAAACAGCAGCACTGTGACTTGCAACAGCAAGTCTCAACTGGCATAAATGGCTCAAAGCATCAGCTTTGTCAGATTTACTAAAACTTTCTTGGCAGCAAAACAAACAAGAAATTTCTCAAAACACACTTTTCAAACAGAACTACTACTACCTGGGGACCTAAAATAAATTTATATAATTGTGGAGGTTTTTTTTTTTTCTTTATCCACACAGTAAAAATTCTGAGGCAGATCACCAATCATATTTCAAAGGTCCTCTGTAAACATCAGTGTCTGAATCAATGTTTCAATGTGATCAGATGGCAGTTTTACTTTATAAGATCTCTAGTGCAAAAATAATGAAGGTTGCATACGACATGTAAAAAAAAAAAAAAACAGTTTGGGTGCAATTAAGCTGGGTCATTTTGTCACCCCCCTAAGAAAGAGCAAACTTAGAAGATCCAGACGTCAAACAGCAAGATGGATGACCACAGCATGCTGTAGGGAACATTTTCTACCTTCAAATAGGTTCATTGCCTTTGTGGAGCTAACAGAATTAAGGCAATGTCACCTGCATTATGTGTGGTGCACCACGTTCCCTCTTTGTACCGAATTTAAGAAAGGGCTTCATTCATTGTTGCTTGGCAACCACAACCACATCAGTTCCTCTGACTACCAAAAGTAGACGGGGAAAAGTAGGGGGTCATGCTTCATTGTGTGGTAGCTTAGAAACTTATTAAGACAGTAAGTTCTTTCTCGTGTTTTTAATGCGGATTCTTCTGGGGACGTTTGCTGAATGTGGACGTCTTCTTTGGTGTATGATTTTCCTGCAGGATGTACACTAAGGAGTATGTGTTGCCCCTGGCTACAAAGTGGATGTCCTACAACACCTCAGCGTTCTTCAGTGGAGTCACTGACATGTCTGAGATACTAAAGCTGTCATCTGTCTTATTGAACTTCTTTGAATTGATGTCCTAAATAAAAACATCCCATTACCAACATCCAAAATAGATGTTGACCAAAGCTTTAGAAGAAGAAACAAGTTAGAAAAATCCACAATTATTGAAATAAGGAAGATGTCTGCACTGAAAAAGAGACAACATGCTAAATTAAGTGTGATTAAGATTTTTTCCTCACCATGGACAAAGTAGCCCTGTTCCTGCCAGATGAGAAAGGCATCACCAAGAGCTGAAAAGATGAGACCGGCCAAGATTTTGCGGGCACTGGAGTGAGCACCAAGAAAACTGAAGCCATGTGCCAGTAAAAACACCCACAGGCAGAAGATGGGCAAGCATTTGATGAGTGCACTGAACCAGGATGGGCTTGAAGTGGGCAGCCACAGGACAAAGTACACACAGGTGGCCTTGAAGAACGGCACCAGCTTTGGGCCTTCACTCTTAACCTGGAAGCAGATAGAAGATTTACATTTTAGTTTGAGTCGTAGCTGGTCACATTTATAAGAAGTCATTCAATTCAGTGGGTCGGAACAGAGTAATACTTCTGTCACTAGTCTGCGCTGAAGGAGTCTTACACCAAGGGCTTTGTCTCAGGGCAGACAGCTCATAATACACCACAGTCAGGAAGTAAGGTCAACTCCATACTGTCATGTGTGTCATGTCTTTGATTTTAAAAAGGGGAAATAAGCAGTCAACAAGTGGATGTGGTAAGATTGGACCAGTGCCCAGGCTTGCTTGCTTTGTGGACATTAGAACATCAGTGTGTCAGAATTGCACATGATCTGTGGCTGAACTGAAACTCAGCGAATCTATGAGGAAATGCAAAGAGCTCCAACTCCTTTGACTCCTTGTAACCTTTCCTTCAAGTCTTTCTCTTTTTTTTCTGTCCTCTCTTTACCTAATGTCCCTGAGAACCGTGCAGCTTACTGGAGCCTAACTTTCTCCTCTCCAGCTGTTTCAGGGGTCGTATTTCTTTCTGTCCAAATAGATAAGGCCAAACAGGGTCACCAAACTACAGAAAAAAAACAGGGCTGGAAAGAGGTTTCACTATACCTCTGGAGTGACCACCCACCTACAATTCTGAGAATCACTTTGGGAAAAAGAGCCTAGGAGTCAAAGAGGGAGAAGAAAGCGAGAGATTGATTCAGAGGAGGGGTGGTGGTGGTGGGGAGGCGAGCGAGGGTTCAGTAGAGCTGAGATCACAGCAGGAGAAATGAGGAGGATACTAATAAGACATGGAGGAGTTGAGTAATAATATTAAAGGGATAAAGCTGACACAACTGGGCTCCGATTTAATTTCTTGTGTTAATAATTTCTCACCCCCGGGTTGCGTCCTTCTTGATGAAACCTTATCTGGTGGAGCTAATTGATGCAAACAGAAGCTAAAAGCCTGTTACAATATTCACAGGAGAACAAGTAGAGCAGAGGAAAGAGTGTGTGTGAGGTGAGGTGAGCTTTTAGGGGAGAGAGGGACAAGCATTCGTGTGACAGCTGGTATGGTGGGTGGGGAAGTGAGCAAGAGGGGGGAAAGGAAAGGTGAGAAGGAGAGAAGGTGAGAGATTATGAGGGGTCACTCTCGTTCATATGGAAAGGAGGGGGAGGCCTCATGATTGCACAACTGCTCAATGAAGTAGGATGCCAAAATTACTGTCAAGCAGCAGATACGATGTTTGGCTGACCTCGAGCCTGCTATGCTGTATCTGATATGTGTGGCGCGCTAAAGGCTTCATTAGAGTTAGAAAATACTGCACAGAAGTAAAATAAAGGATTGATGCAGCAGTACAGTACTTTATGATGTTAGGATGGACATTAACAAAATAATGAGAACCAATTGTACATATTAAAACTCCTGATAAGACCAGTCTAGAAGGCAATCCACTGCTATTTTAGTTGACCTGATGTGCCTCCTTATATCAATAAGATCTCATTACAGACTAAATGAAGATTTAAAAAGATTAAGGAACGGCCAAGAATACAGACCCCATTATAGACCATAATAAAATCTCTATTTAAACAGCAGGAAAAAAAAAAACATGTTTACAGACGGAAGGAAAAAGGGTTGAGATTTCAGTGCCTCTATTTCTTTGTTTGCACAAAGGGTGACTTTCATATAACCCTTCTATTATGATTAGGGCCAACAGATGATCATGACTCATAGGTCTGACTGTATTAATGTGTTAATTTCAGTGCCACTAAGGTCAAAAATTGAGATGTTATTATTTGTTTGCCTGTACACCATCCATAACCTGCTGTGGCATTTTCCTGCTTCCTGCTGCAGTTGTGATGGACAACAATGACACCACTGTGTTTCTGAATGGCCCATTTCCCGCTGTGAAACTCCCAGACAGCTCAGTTGACAAACCAGAGTAAACTATTCTGTAGCTTCATGCATTATCATCTGAATTTAATGTATGTTAATCATCACCTCTCTCCATGCAATTCGGATGTCTCTTATTTCCTGGCTTTCTCTAGGCCTTCGATGATGGTGTAGGTGTGTGTCATCTAAACAACTTGGGGAAATTTTTACTTTTTGTCTTTTCTTTCAAGTTCCCCTGCTTTCCAAAGTGGCAAAAAAAAAGAACAACAGGTTTTCTATCATCAAAAGAGGCTGTCTAATATTACAAGACAGCTGAGGATCAAAAGAGCTTGTATACTTCCACGAACAAAAAAGTCTTTGGCTTACATACCAGAGTTAGACAATACTGCACTGATGGAAAATAAAGGATTGATGCAGCAAGGTGACTACAGAAATAGTACAGTACTTCATGATGTTGGGATAGACATTAACAGAGTACTGAGAACCAATGCCGCATATTAAAACTCCTGATAAGACCAGTCTAGTAGACAATCCACTCCTAGTTTGGTTGACCTGTTGTGCCTCCTGATATCAGTAAGATCTTATCACAGACTAAATGAAGATTTAAAAAGATCACGTAATGGCCAAGAATACAGGCCCCATTATAGAAAAGACAAAAAGTGGAAAATCTCCCTAGTTTAATCAGAAAGCATCAGTTTCTTCCAGGTCCAGATAGCATGACAGGAATTTTTCCACAGAGGCAACAGAGAGGTTCATTATGTGAAGTAATATACTCTTCTTCTATCCATCATGCACTTTAGTTGACCTCCATAAAAACCATTGGAGACATAAATAAAGATAAAAAACTAGTCTAATGACAGATGTGTGTGCGCATGTGAGTGTTTGATAAGTCTATCCCATTAAGGCCAGCACTGGCAGCGCTCCCAGTCCAGCCGATAAGATAACTGTGTACAGCAGGACTCGAGTGTCCATGTGAGCACAGGGTAGAAGAAAACACAACATAGATCTGAATTCAAGGATAGCACCAAGTGGTGGAATTAAACAGATATAGCCCACCCAACTTTTTGTTGTTGTTGTTGTTGTTGTTGTTGTTGTTGTTGTTTTGCTGAAGAACACAAGGCGTTAGACTGTGTTAGACTAAATCATCTATGATTGTTAAAGTTTGATTGGAGTGAAGCAAAAAAAAAAAAGGTAAAAAGAGTCTATTCAGGGCTTCTCCAGGGAGTACAGTTTCCAGGGAAAATATGCATGAATTCCCATAACCTTTGGTCCTTTTCATGCTGGGCTTCAGCCATACTTTGCAGCTTCCCTTTCCATTGTTTTTGTGTCAACCTATTGTATCCCATCACTGACAAAAGGTCTTCTTGCACAAAAGACAAGACTGAACATGTAATACAGCATGCAAAAGCTACTATTATAAATCTCTTTAAGGTTTCCATTATCATATCATTAGCAAGAAAAATGTCACATAAAAATATGTTTACAAATGTTTAATGTTTGTTACATCACAAAGCCCCATGAAATGCTGCAGGCATTTAAGTTGACTGCGATGATGATACTTTAAGGTGTCTTGAGGCATCAGGGGGGCAAAGGAGACTTGCTAGTAACAGCTATGATCCCTGTGTGTGCTGGCAATCAGCTGTTACTGACACAGAAGGGCAGAACATACTCCCACATGTCGACTGCAGACATGCTGAATGTTTGTCTGACTGCACTTTTAGGGCTGTTGTTTGAGAAAATTATACCATATACAGCTGGCACCTGCCCCTGTTCCCTACTACAGAATGATTAAGTTAATGATTGACAGTACCTAACAAGCAATAGGGTTTTTGGACACACAACTTGATGGAGCGACCTCCTTTTCCAGTATGGTACATCTTTAAATTCAGGGTTTCCACAAAATAATCGAATCTTTTTTTTTTTATTTGAATGCTTCTGATCAGTGACACAGAAGCACTCAAATTCCATGCATTATTTATAGAGGGAAAATTTATCAGTTTTTAAGATGCTTGCTTTGCAAAGCTCTACCTGTCCAAACTAGCAGCACTGAATTTGAGCCCTAACTCCTTTAATAGCCGCGGTCCAGAGAACAACACGCAACTGTTAGACCCTAACGCTCCTGCATTAACCATGAAACAACAAAAGCACTGCAGTGAAGCATTGAATGACACCCAGCATGGATGAACATCTTTTTAACCATTCTGCGTCATAAGCTAGCCCGGTGTCTGAAACATGATACTCGTGAACATACACAACTCCTGCTAACGCATGTGTGATCAGCTTGGCAGACAGGAACTGTAACTTAGTAGGTCCTGGTAGGTACAGCAGGGGTGTGAGTCATATGACAATGTTGTTGCTCTGTAGCATCACCCACATCTTTCCTTACAGCTGCTTTAACCTCAATGAGGTATAGGCCGAGGTCAACTTCACACTATTTATAAAACAAGTCTAAAGTGAAACATGCTCTTTTGAAACACAGTTTGTTTGCTGTTCTGAAAACATGCCTACATTTTCATATGTGAGAGTTACTATGTTTTGGGTTAAGAAACAGTAACTTAACACTTGCAGCTGATTCAGCAAGGTGAATATATCTCTCTTACTGTATCTTTAGGCAACAGTATGCACCTGACAGCTGGTGCAATGGCTGTCGAAAACTGTATGCTGACTGTTTAAATGGAAAGTTTAAATTCAAAGGGGCCTGGATGCAGAGTAAAATTAAAGTTATCACTGCATTCAAATAGGTAAAGAGCTCTTTCCTGCCTCTGAGAGAGACTCAAAGGTAAATTAACAAACTTCAGCCCCCTTGACAGCTGCCACTGCTGTTGCTTTTAACTCACTACTACAATTACATCTTTAATATGATCAAAGAGCCCAATGTTCCTTAATTTCTGGGTAGGGATAATGCACAGGATAACCAAAAAACCTATAAATGAAAGGGAGAATTGGTTGCCTATGCTTAAACTTGTCAGTGTGTCACCCACCACATGCCTAGACATGTAGTTTTACTGCAGTAAGAGGGGGCTCGTCAAGCATCCCTGGGGTCTGCACAGCACCGTTATCACCAAGACAACCAGTTTATATGTCAAGCATTCCCCCACAGAGGCTTCTCTCAGCAATCTCATAGCCTATACATAGGGTTTACCATAGGCCAAGCAAGTGCCCCATTTCACAACAGTTCTGTCAAGGTAGCCTACACGATACTAAGATTGTTCCAATTATAATATTTTGCTATGTGAAGCTTATTCCATGATGTGGCACTGAGTTAGTAAGTTATAGATAGACTCAGCGACATGACAATGTAAAGCACAGCAAAGGAGATCAAAACGAAGCTGCCACAGCAGAGAGCTGGCATGCGCATGCGTCAATGGAGAGCACATAAGAGAAAAAAAGACAAAAGAGGTCGTCACATGATAGCGTTTCTTTTTGTCAGGGGCTGCCTTTAGAAATGTGAAGAAACGTCTTTTTACGAGGGGGAATATCGAGAAACAACCATGTGAACAGACGCTGCTACAACGTGCCAGGCAGAGACCCCATCTGAACATAAAAGTTTCTGCTGTAAGTCTCCAAAAGATCTCAGATGGACATCATAATGTATGCACCGGCGCCAGTGAGACACGGACAAAAACAACGTGGGTGTCTGTTGTCACAGGCTGAATACTGAATTACATTTACTCAGGATGGATTCTTGTTTACTGTTGATTAAATTATGGACCATATATGTCGCGCTGCTTTTCAGAGACTAAGTTGAATATAACATGCCGTGAATATCAATACAAATGAGACTCTAAGCGAGGGATAGGCAGGTTGTTGTTGAACATGAAATGAAAGAAATATCAAAAGGCGAGATTACTATTTCCTCGAAGTGTTATCTTGTAGCTAAACTAGCTTCCAGTACCATTCCTGTAAAATCTATGAAGATATCAATATTTTTACCTACCACTGTCACCGGAGAGACCATTTCCCTCTTGGTGGTGTCTCTAGCTCTAAGAAATGATAAATAATTCTCAAAATTCGCTATAGGTCCTCCTGTTTGTGCTGTACTGTTTCAGGGATGCCAATTGTTTTTGTCCGAGCTGCGGTAGGCGGTCCGTGGACCGGTAGGAGTTGAGAACTGACTCTTTGAGTGGGCGGGACTTTTGCAACTGGCCAATCACAGCAGAGAATATTCCTGCGAGAGGCGGGCTGACATAAAACGGACGCCGGGATAGGAGGAGTCCATCTGCTGTTTACATATCGGAGCAGATGGCCTTTATTTACATTTTACTGAGGTGGATCTGATTGGGGAAATTGTCTCGAGCTTTCCATTTTATGTGATTTTAATTTGATTTCACAGACGATCTGTTTTATAGAGATGAGATTAAAGGTTCACAGATCATATAAAAAGAAAGACAAGTCCATCATTGTTGAAATATGAGTCCAGCTATTCATTTCTGTGATATACTATTGCTGTCCCTCTGTGAGAGAGCTCTCGCCCTGTGTTGCAATACTGTTAATTGAATGGCTACTCAAGATAAAAGATAAAAGGTCTTAAAAATATTTTACTGCTGTTTACTTTTACTCTATTTATTCCTTAAAGAAAACACGCATTTTCATCTCATCGTGTCATCAAACATTGTACAATAATTACTAAGCTACTTAAGAAGCCCTTGCTTAAGATACATGTCATGATCGGATCAATTAACACACTGTATTTGTTGGATTTTACTTTAATTACATTTTTTAAAACTTATTTATATTTGTTTTAAAGTCTTTACAGTTACAATGACAGGGCACAACAATTCATCACATTCATAAATCCTCCTTATATCAATGTCCTTGTTATCCAGTGATAGTGGTGGTGTCTTCTTCTGTCCTCCTGAGATCAGTCCATTTTTCCCACTTTTCTGTAAATTGTGTTTCCTGTAATCTTAACTTCAATTAGATTTAAGTAGCCTATTAAACGAACGCCAACTTCTGATTATAGGTTTGCTTCCACTGTACAGGTTTGACTTGTTCGTAACCCGGTAAAAAGATCCCAGAGGAAGATGTAAAAAATTAGAAACCATTATCAAACACTAAGTTTACTGTTTTATTAAGTTGATATAAAGCAGTTTGTGCTTTTCCAAAAAACTTAAATTCTACGGGGTATAGTGACAGGGGTTGCCCTGGGTAAAAGCTTTGGTGACGCCCAACATCACTGAACATTTCTGGACTATTCTGAATTGTTCCAATGTCAGCGAGGTAGCGGCACCATGTGGCCATCATGGGTGAGATTTGTTTTCCGACGGATATGACGTAGGTTAATCACGGTTTTTGGCTTCCGCCCGTAGACTGTCTAGAATTTCCCCTACACATTGAAGTGCTCTTATAAGCAATCAGGTTCATTGTTTAGTGTCTGTATAGTCATCGCCATGACTTCTTTATGGTTATTTGTAGGTGTTAGATTTATTTTGTTAAAATGTTACATAGAGCCAACATGTTTTCATATTCAAGACATTTCTTTTTTTCTGGCCTTCAATTTCTTAGTCAAACTCCATAGTACTTTTTTTTACCCTCTCATGAAATTGCCTGTCATAAAATTCAACTCTCAAGTCATGGATAAATGCAGGGGAAGAGAGTGTTTACATTCGCCGCTACTGTGTTATTTACAAAATGTAAAATCTAAACAGAGTACTTCTGTTTTCATTGCAGTCATTTACTACAAAGTTCTGTAACATTGGGCCATTCTCACGTAAACGCTCACTCTTCCTAAGCATAAGAACCCAGTCTTTTGGTACCTTTGTAGAAACATAAAAACCAACATATGACCGTACCAAGTATTAATATTGCCATATTTGAACAAAGTTCAGATGCTCATCTGATTGATATTCCCGAATACAAAAAATGTATGTCTGATTTAGCTTAGTTCAAGAGTTTTCAGTGAATTCCTGATGCGTACACTGGAGAAGGAGTACACATATTAGCCTACGGTAAATACCAAAGTTAAAATAATACCATAATTAAAATATATCAGTTAAAACTTACTCGTCTTCCGTGGTATTTTTTTTGTCTTTGAACAAAGTATTAACTTAAGCTCCTTTGGTTTTTCGCCACAGCGGCGAACAATATATTTAGATCTGTGGAATAAACGGTAGAAAATGGATGGATGGACACAACAAGATTGCTACAGAGTAATTCATTTTTTCTGTCAGTTCTTACCACTTTGAATGCCTTCCGGGAGAAATGTACTTATCTAAAATTCATATTTCCAATTATTTTGCCAACACGTGAACATAGAGTCACTGACGTTGTTATCTTACTATGGCGGAAGTACGTAACAGTGACTCCTCTTTACTTTGCCAGATCACTCGTTTACCTTTAAATATTCCGGTATCTCTGGTGGCGAGCGTCAGATCCTTCCACACCGGGCGACTATTATGGATAAGTTTTAGTGGTATTACTTTGGGAACGTGTTCATATCCGCGTTAATTTGATGGACTCAGTCTTAGTTTGTGTTGTTTTGTCAGTGGATACGGGAAACCTCGTCTCTGCGCCCTCTTGGGTGGGTAGTTAATCTATGGTTAGCTGGTATTAAGGTCGCTAGCATGCGCTAACGTAAGCAAACGTAAGCAATAACGCGGCGTCAGCTCTTTTAATTTACAAATTTAATGTACCGAGTTTAATAAGGGGTCTTTCTTTATAGTCATCTGGTTTAGTGGCGCTAAACCACGAGCCAATTCATCCTATTTATGAGCTTAAAGCTAACGTTAGCATTCAGCACTTTTGCTCGAGTTTTACTTTAGACAGCTCGTTTACGTCGCCCTTTGTCAAAATGATGGACTTCGATAATATATTGGACATCGCCACACAAAACCAGGGTGTTGGCAGTATGCAGGTAAGACACTGTCATTTGCATTCATTCTGCGTTACTTGAACAGTTGAATAAGAGTTTGTAGACGAAGTTCCTCTTATCTAGATACAAAAATGCTAAAGCATTTGATTATACTGGCAGCTGATAATGACCAGCCATGTGACACTGTGTGGGAATATACACTAAAAATCTGCGCAATCTGATGCAACCCAGCATGCCTTAAATTATACTTGGAGAAGGCCTCTAAATTTTCAGTTTGTATTCATATAATAACACTGGTGTTTATTGTAAATTTTATTTATCATTTAATAAGTCGGTGGTAGTGATAGTCTACTGGAGTGTGTTAATAACACCCAAACTTCATTAACAATCAGAGGAACTAAAGTTTTGGACCATACCTAAATATAACGCCCTCCACCACACTAGCACCCAATAACTTCAAAAGAAAGAACTGCTGTCACCTGTCTCACCATGTCAACTTAAAACAAGAATGTAGAAGCTTCATAAAAGCATTATTGTGACAAAGTCTCATGTTGTGTCTGGACAGTGTACAAAAAAACTTCAACTTAAACCTGTGTGTTTGCATATTCCTTAATTACTTGTCTTTAATGTCTCTATGCTCTCTTTATTTCATCCACCTTTATTGAAGAAATTTGTAGGTTTAAAAGTGCAGTACATTGCTTTAAATCAAGTGAGCTGACGATTTGAATGTGCTTTTTTTCCTTGAATGTTAGCATAAGAGATACAGTTTACAAGCTGGACCACCGAAGAAGGACCCAAGGTCAAAAGGTGTAAACCCTGCTGCTGTGCAGGCACTACTGAAAAAGCAAAAGGTTGAAACCAAAAAGAAAGGTAACGTTTAAAAAACAATCCTCGATGTTTCAGCTGATAGTAAAAGTTTTTTTGTTTTTTTTAAAATAACTTTTAACTATCTTTGCTTTACTTTACAGAAATTCAAATGAAGAAAAAGAAAGAGGAACTACTGGCAAAGAGGGTGGAGCTGAAGTCAGACCGTAAAGCCCGAGCCATGGCTTCCAGAACTAAAGACAATTTCCGAGGCTATAATGGCATCCCTGTGGTAGATCTTCCTAAGAAGAGGAGAACGAAACAAGAAATGGAGCAAGACAGATCAGAAGCTGAGGCCAATTTTAGGAATTATTCTGTTGACCCAGAGGATGATGAGGACAATTATGAATATGAACAGACAGACTCAGAACCAGAACAGGAGCCAGAGCTACCAAGACCAGGAAAAAACGTTGGTGTAAATGGCAGTAGCAGTAGTGCGAAAACATCCTCCAAGAAATCCAGCGGGCCCCCAAAGGCCACCTCATCTCCCATGAACTTTGCAGACTTGCTTAAATTGGCAGAGAAGAAACAGTTTGAACCAGTTGAGCTAAAAGCTAAGGTAGTAAAAAAGGAAGAGCGGCTCCGCACAGCTGATGAGATACGGGAGCTCGAGATGGAGCGTAAGGCTAAGAGACCAGACAAAGACAGAGACTCGAAGGCAGAGCGAGAAAGAGATCGCAAAGTCCAGTCTAGCTCAGGCTCACAAAGACAAGGTGCTGTAGAAAAGGAGCAGAACAGTAAACCACAAAAGAACTCCCTGGAAAAGCCAAGCCAGCCACCTGGATCAGTGAAGAAGTCTCACCATATACAAAATGGCAATAAAAGCCTGTCATCTTCGAAGACTCCTGTCAGCGACAGGGAGAGAGAGAGGCCCAAGTTGTCTCACAATGATAGGGATAGACCAAAGGCAGGCATGTCTCTTTCAGCTAGTGCTGGATACAGTAAAGTTCCTCAGAAAGCAACAACTTCTCAGGTTTCAGCCAAACATGGGGGTCCCAAGCCCTCGCCTAGCCACAAATCCAACACCTCAAGTGACCTTAGCTCCAAAAAAGAAAGCTCATCCCTACTTCATGGAAGAGCCTCAGGTAATCCTGGAAGCAGGCTTTCTGGCACGACTACATCAGGCCAAAAATCTCAACATGGAGGCTCCTCACAGACCAGACCTGGTCAGGGTAGCTCATCGAAACAGGAACTTACAGTTGGAGGCCTCAAGTCCAGAAAGGGAGAACAAATAAGGCCTGGAATGAGTTCATCAAAATCAAATGGTCACTCAGTAATGAGACCCTCATCAAGTGGTCCTCCGAAGGCAGGGGGTCAACCTCAAGCAAGGCCAGCTGGTGCAAGTGCTCCACAGTCAAGGGGCCTGCAGGGTCACCCTGGAGGAAGTGGATCTAGACCCCCAGGGATTGGACCTGGTCGGCCTGGTAGTGGGGGACTAGCACGACCAGGTGGAACCATGGGATCGGGACCTGGAAGACCCAAGTGCACTGTGGTGTCAGAGACCATCTCCTCTAAGAACGTTGGTGGACCCAGACCAGGAGGCCCTCCCCGTCCTGGTATGCAGCAGAGACCAGGGATGCCTCCCAGACCAGGGATGCCTCCCAGACCGGGGATGCCTCCCAGACCAGGGATGCCTCCCAGACCAGGAATGGCTCCCAGACCAGGAATGGCTCCCAGACCAGGAATGGCTCCCGGACCTATGATGAACAGACCACCAGGTAAGAGTCATCAAGAAGGCATCAGTCAAGGTCAGCTAATGAACCAGGTTTGTTTTACCTGACATTCAGTACCCGTTGAGAATCTAGTAAATTCACATTTCTTGATATTTAAGAACATTATGATACAGGGTCACAAAGGAAAATAAGAAATAAAGAAAAAAAAGCCTGAATTATAAACAAAATGTGATAAAAGGAAAGGAAAGCAGAGTAAAATTTACTGTATTCGAGTAAAAGTCGTGTCATCATGGACGTTTGACTGCTTTTGTATGCTTGGTCCCTACTCTAAACCAGAGTATCTTACAGAGGAATATACAGGTCTCATTTCTGGATGGGACTGGTTAGTGGGGACAGCAGATTGCCATGAACAATTCCAAGAGTGCCTTTCTGCTGCTGAGAAATTACTTGTTTCTGTAAGAACATATCAGCATGGCTGTCTGCTCTGCATACACCCGTAGGCTCTTTCTGTAACTCAAACGAAAATGTAGAGAATTTGAAAATATCCCTGCATTGTGTAAAATCTTGATAAATCAAACACTGAAATGTGCTAATTTTGACCGAGGAACAAATACGAGAGGAAACAGATGACAGGACTGAGAAACATTTGGATTTACAAAGCAGTTTTGTACACCTTCTATACATGTTATAATGCAACCCCCCCAAAAGTATTCGATGACGAGATGACAACATAAGATTTAATGAGATTAAATAAGATTATGTAATATTACGTAACACATTAAACAGTTGCTGGCATTTGGCAAACAGACAAATCAATGCCTGTGTGAGGGCAAAGGGTCTGTTGGCCAAACTGAATGAAATGTACCAGATGCCCTCAGTAGCTTTTGTCTCTATTCTGGGGTCAGAGGGAGCGGATCCTCCATCAGAGATTGAAAAAAAGAAAAACACTTTCAATGCCATGAACTTTTTTTCTATGAAACTTTTAATCTAAATAATTTCCAGTATCTGGAGCTGTGTGCTTTAAAACATGCCTTGGCTCCTGAAACAGGGCAAAATTTGAGTGTTATACACTTTATTTCTGTATGTTTCACTAGGTACATTGTTACCCCCCATCACCTCTGCATACAAGAGGAAATATGAAGATGAGGAAGATGAGTATGACTCAGAGATGGATGATTTTATTGATGATGAAGAAGAGGACCAGGATCAAATTTCCAAGCACATCAAGGAGATCTTTGGCTATGATCGAAACAAGTAAGTGTAGCTCCATAATCTGGTTCAAATTTATTTGCCTTGTTAACAATATTCAACATGGATTTCGCCTTTTTTTGCTTTTGCTTTCTCAGATATAAGGATGAGAGCGACTATGCACTTAAATTCATGGAGAGCAGCTGGAGAGATCTGCAAAAAGAAGAGGCTAGGAGGTAAGACAGAAATAAATCCTCAACATTTGGTACATACTGTTTATCCTAAGAGTTGTATTATTTATTTTGTATTTCTTTTTGTATCCTTGCTTGGCTACTTTAGCCTGAAACTTGCTGTGCAGGAGGATCTGGAGGAGGAAAAAAGAGAGGAAGAGGAGTTCAAAAGGAAAAATGCAAAGAGGAAAAAGATGTTCTGATGCCCCTCTACCTTTTGAGAAAAAGATGAGAAACCTGTCTTTTGAAGACAGGACATAAAATGCCTGGAACCATGTCTGCGCAGGCCTCTGTTGTCAGCTTTTTACTCTGTTTTCCATCCTGAAAATTTGCAAGAATGACTCTGACCCAAGAGAGTTGGAAGAATTTTGTGCAAAACTACCTGGACAGTCCAAAAATGCACAAACCACAGCAGCACGGAGTTGTAAGGTTGTGGTTAAGGTTCTCACATTTCCCCTGTTCTATCCAGTTCGTCAGAGTTCACATCATGAACAGTCACGGTTTCATAAAGGGATCGGAGTTGTAAGGAGAGCTAAAAATACAGAGGAGTGTATTTTTTTAAATTAATAATACCACACAATGTCCAGCATTGATTACATTATTATTAGAAGTTGCATATTTTTCCCCAAGCTCTGATTGCAAAGACAGTTGAATATGCAAAAAAAGAAATAACAGTGGATGTGTTGTGTGGCTCTTTAAAAACATTTGAGAAAAATCATTTCAAGGGTTTTACCTAATTGTCAAGTTTACATTAAAGTTTTCTCAAAGTCTGATAGTCTGTATGAAACATACAGAACTTTGGTTCTAACACAAAACGGAAATGAAATTTTTGTTGCCAGCAAAGTCAAAGACACTTTTGTCACATTGTGAAGAATATTATTTAATATAAACTTTTAAAAGAAATTCATTTCCTGAAAGTCATTTCATCATTGTGGCTGTTATGAATAGACACATCAGAGAACCAGCGTTGGCATCATGATCTGTCTTGTGTGTTCCCTTGTTTTTTTCTTTATGGCTTACTGTAGGCGACATACTCAGTGGGACAGGTCTTGTTCATGTCTACTCCTGTACTGCAGCTTTTGCCTTTCATATCCTTTCTGGATGCCCTCTTCCCATGAACCTGTCAGAATCACTATCATGACATGCTTCTCAGATCAGCACCAGGTCTTGGTGTGATGAAGGTAATGTCTGTCCCAACCCCAAAGCCACTTCGTCCTCACCGAGGTCTTCGACAGTCCCTCGGTGCTTTAGCCCAGCAATAACATCCACACAATCTTGTGCCCTTTATCCCGTCCCAGTCTGGATCTTTGCACCAGCTAACTGACCAGTCGGTTACTGGACTATCAAAGTACTGGCTGGGTTTTCTCTACCCCAATGAGACATGCCTCAGTGGTGTGTTTTTTTTTGCATTTTTTCCAAGCAAAGCTGTTTTGAGAAAGATAAGCCATCTAAGCCATTTCATGCTGTACTTTAAGTCTTGACATCCAGTTTTGCCTCAGCTGTTGCTGCTGTCTCACACATCTTCAGAGGCCTCATTACATGTTTGTAAAGCATTACCGGTAGAACCAGAATTTGTATTTTCTGGGAAGACAGTTTTGGTCTAATTTCCTACAGTTCTTCCTTCAGCTGGTCTGTAAAACCACGTGACTGACTTTGAGCTTAACTGTGTTTACCAAAACCAATGTATCTTTTGTCTTTTGGCCTCAGGATCCTCTTTGCCCTGTCTGCAGCATATAGTTCTTGCTCAAGACGGCTCATTGTAATATGTGATGGGAATTAGCAGAATTGGACGGAGTTATCCACCTTGAGGGAAGCATGTTTTTCACTCTTAACAGAGTGATGGGCCCACACTTGATATTACACATTTAATGAAAATACAATAGCTGCTCGTACAACCACATCTATTCCTCTTAGCAGCCCTCATTTGACTCCTATGACCTACCTCTGGAATCAGGAATGAAGTACTAGTTCACAGGTTGAAGGATACATATAGAGTGGCTTCAACTTAAGGTCGAACTATTTTTCATAGACTTTTTGGTCATTGTGGACTCCAGAGAGGTCAGGATGACCCTAAATGAGTGCACCACTTCAGTTTGTTGCACTGCCACTTACACCCCAACGGTAAGAGTTTTTAGATAATGTTTCCCCTCTGAAGATACTCAAATGCTGGATTATATCTCAGGGGATCTGAAATATTGCAATTTTTCATTCTCAAAACATTGTGTACTAAAATTCGAAGACTTCTAAAACCTATGGGGATGATGCATTTTTAAGGAGCACTCAATCATAATGTAATCAAGCCTTATTAAATGGTTAACTTTCCAGTGATGTCAGTATTTTAGCAGACATGATGTCAAACTAGTAAAACATTAAACACCTTATTTCATCATTATACTGCAAAACCCCAAAGCAACTGATTCCAACAAGGTTATATAAGACCAAATAAGATGAGATAAGATTATGTAATACTACACCACTGACCAAACAGCTGCTGACTCTTCGCAAACAGATAGATGAATGCAGGCCGTACAAGAGCAAAGGGTTTGTTGGCCAGACTGAATGAAATGTGCCTCACTAACCTTGGTCGTCATTCGGGGTTCAAAGAGAGCAGATCCCTCTCACAAAGATAAACAAAATACTTTCAATGCCATTGACCTTTTTTTCCATGAATCTTTTAATCTAAATAATTTCCAGAATCACAAGCACAGAAGATTACATCAACCAGTCACACAGACTGTTTCTATAGACTGTGTGTGTAGAGTGGATTAATGATTGAATTTATCGCCTATTCGCAATGTTACTTCACCATGTAGCTGGCTGACTCTTGTACAGGTCAAACACTGGATTATTGCCAGTTGATCTTCACACAAAACAAATACATCTTAGAGAAATTTTTGAAAATGTCAGTAAACGCTTTTCCCTTTGTTCATTGTTAATATATTGTGCACCAGGCAGTGTGCTTTAGAGTGAGGTTAAACTCACCCATATACATAGATATTTAAATTTGATGAGATATTAAAGACGTAATTGATCAAGGAGTTACTGACTCTTTGCAAGAAGGTAAATAAGAGCATGCAGTACTAGAACAAACGGTCTGTCGGCCAAACCAAATGAAGTGGACTCCTGGGTCAGAGGGAGCAACACTCTCTATCAGAGACAAACAGAACATACTTTAAATGCCGTGAACCCTTTTCCATGAAACTAGAAATCTAAATAATTTCTAGAAACATCCTGGCAAAAACAGAAAAAAATGCAAAAAAATAATAACCCTAAAGCCCCTATTTAGGTCAAAAGTAAAACATGATCTCGTCTGAAGATAGGACAGCACATATTTTTTCTGTTTATTTGTTTTGTATTCAAACTAAACCAGGATAACAAAACTCACTGACATCAAAACATCCCCTTTTACTATGTTGTGAAAAAGAGAAATTGTTATTCCAAATGTTTTACTTAATTTTAACCATTACTTAAAGTTTTCAGGCAATCTAAACAAAAATTCAGGTGTTTTTTTTTTTTGATCAAAAAATGTCACATGTTTATTTTTGTCCGCAAGTAACAAAGATTGTGATTTTTTCAATTTTCCCTTTCCCTCTCTTTTTCTTTCATTTTTCTTTGAAGAAACATTTTAAAGACAACTTGAAAACAACAATGCCAAAGTACCAAACACAGTAAAAAATAGATTAATAATAATAATAATAATAATAATAACAAACAACAACAACAACAACAACAACAACAACAACAACAATAATAATAATAATAATAATAATAATATGGACAACACAAAAAATCACATCAGCTTTGCATGAAACGTCCAATATGAATTTAATGTTTTAACTGCCTTTAACTTCTATTTTTGAGTACTGAATTGATAAAATGTGTTGTTTGTGATCATTTAAAAAGAATGAAGGATTTGGGTCTATCATTGTGTGATTTTGCAAGATCTATAAAAAGGGTGGTTGAAAAATGTAAACGCATAAACAACACATAAATGACAAAATCTACATTAATATGTCCGCAAATGCAAGGTAAAATATGCTGCCATGAGAAAAAATACAGGATCTAATAATTTCTAATTAATTATTAATCAATCTCCTAGTCAAATCTTCCTCGTAATAAATGACTGATCAAGCGTTTATGAATGGCTTCAGATCTGATTCCAGTCCATTTCATGTGTAACACTATTCTAGCGAGAAACAACGCTATCAATGCCATGCCTACTGTAATTTTACAAAATCATAGTTGTTTTTAATTACCGCACTTTTTTGGGCTCACTTTTTCTTCCCTCTCGGCTTTCCGTCAGTGACGTACAAGTGGGCGGGGTCAGCGCCTTCGCTTAGCTACTCGTGAAAGTTTGCGGAAGTTAAAGCAGCTGAAGTTGAAGAAGTCAGCTGCCTAAAGGCTGAAATTAGAAAGAGACGTCATCTCAACCTTGATAGATGGACCTCAGTTCAGAGAAAATACAGCGGATCCTCTCCAAGGTAAGATTTTGTCAGAAATAGGAATATTAACGTTTAGAAAATAGTTCAATGTTTTGAGCTTTTATAACTGGTTAAGGTTTGAATGCCGGCTAACCTGACTAAAGAGCTGCTGCTGTCATCCTCAACCAACTGGCTCAACCTGCTCAGGCACTTTATATATCCTGGAGAAATGTAGATACCACAGAAATACGGTAGCTATAAGAATTAAAATTCATACAATCATAGAAATCAACTTTTTCTCCTCAAAACATTCAGGTGTGTTTAGTATCTGTAAATGAAAAAAAGTCACTGTCATGGGCTGTCTCCCTTCTGTGTGCTTAGAAAAGCTATATTCAAAGCACTTATCTCATGATATTAGTCCAACTCATAGAAATAATGGTAGACCCTTTATAAAATGTACTTAACCACAAGTAGAAGTACTGGTTAATCTGAAGCATCTGACCTGTGTGTGCCGGACAGCTCACTGTAATACAATGACTGAGGTTGTATAATTTTCAAGAAGTATTATATTTATGCTTTCTCTGCAATCAGTTTAATGAGTCTGATTTCCCTCCTTTTGTTTTTAGTACAAATTCCATGATGTTGCTATTGAGGAGCTCCAGAAAATCCATCGGATCTACCCCGGGATGAAACCAACAACAGGCACATACAGTGAGGTTTTTATTGTGGATCATAATGCTTTTATTTACCTTTTGAAGACACATAGGGGAGAGTGGGGTAAGTTGAGCCACCCCCCTGTTGCTTGGAAATGGTAAAAGAAACTGATCATGTGACCAAATATTTAGGAGATGGGCATCGATTCATGGAGTCTGTGAAGGTTAGAAGCACATGGCTAAAGGGGTTAGACATTTATTTACAAAAACACATTTTTCACTCTTGAAAGTGAATTTAGTCTGTCATAAGTTTAACTAGAATTTTTTTCAGACCAAAAATTTTAAATTTGTTTTATACCTCAATTGTGGTATCTATGAGCTACAACATGAGGTCACAAACATAAAAGTCCACCATTTTAGTTTAGAGGACTAATAAAGTCATCATAGTAGTTCAGGGGTAAGATGAACCAGTGGTTCATCTGAGAAAGTAAAGGAGTCTGATGAGAGGATCAGAGTTTCAGTTCAGATTGTTGAAATGTGTTACTTTTTCTTTTCAAAAATACAGCTGTGAATGTTCTGAATCACTTAAAAGGCATTCTCATGTTCAAATGACTTTTTAAAAAACAGATTTTTAGCAGTTATGTGAAATAATAATAATGTAGCTCACCTCAGCCCCAACGCATAAAAGGAATAATTGTACCAGTTGAATAGTGTATAATAGATAAAAATACACATGAATGTGAAGAAGTGACTGTTATTTAGGGAGAGAGAAAGGGAGGAAGAGCTGGGGTGGAGAGTGGGGGGGTAATAGCTCAACTTACCCCATACACGGGGTAAGTTGACCATAGGAGACCACTTTTTTGCATGCTATATTATCGAGACAGTTCTGTTTACACTCATTCTGTTGGTTTGCAGGGATGAACAACATCCTGAAATATATGCAGATACACTAATTAGAGACAAAACTATGATTACCTTGATGTAGTGATCCCAAATATGAAAAATTGCTCATCTTATACTACATCAATCTCGTCTAAAGAATTGATCAGAAGTGGCTTCTCCGTTTTTTTGATTTCAGCTTTTAGCGACAGTACCCAAAAGGATTTGATTCGACTGATTGGTAACCTCCCTGTTAAGTATGAAGGTAAGGTTGACCTCTTACGCTGACAAAAGGGTAACAATCATGTCAACATGAGATCATTATATTCTGGCACTTACAGAATCTCTATCTTCAGGTCGTACTTACAACTTCCCTGTCCTGCTGTGGCTGCTGGATTCATTCCCCTTCACTCCTCCCATTTGCTTCCTAAGACCCACCGCTAACATGGTCATCAGAGAGGGCAAACATGTGGACGCTCGAGGACGGATCTTCTTGCCTGGGCTGAGCAACTGGGATCATGTATGATCTTATACTTTCCACTCGAAATATGAATTGCATTAAAGGTGCTCTGGCGTATCCTGATCTCTTTTTTTTTTTATCTGGTTCTGAAACAGCCTAAATCATCCGTGGCAGGCCTTCTAACTGAAATGATTGCAAAGTTTGAAGAGGATCCTCCACTGTCCGCAAAACCCACAGGAGAGGATAAAGACCCTCATGAGCTCCTGGCTTTTGTCTCTAATTTCAAGAACAATGATGGTGCTTTGCTTCATAAGCAGCTTCGTATTTTATGATCATCTATTACAGAAAAAAACTCATGTCACTTACAGCTTAACTTATCTCCATTCCAGGTGTTGGCAGAAATCAAAATCAGGCGAACTACAAAGTTTCTGTTATCGGTGGAGGAGACTTGGGAATGGCATCAGTGATGAGCATTTTATCAAAGGTTTGTGAAACACCTGGAAAGTCTTCATATCCAAATTGAATAATTTAACAGCTCACATAAAAATGTCAAACATATTTAAAACTGTTTTTTCCTCTTCTTTAACTCTAGTGTCAAGTGAATAAACTGGTTTTCATTGACGTTGCTGAGAGCTCCACTAAGGGTGGCAGCACAGATCTGGAGATTTTCAGTCTGCCTAACGTGGAGGTATCAAGAGGTATGTCCCTCTCAGAGCGGGCTAACATGATGCACAAGTGCCTGTTTTTACAGAGGCCAGATTAAAAGATATCAAAGACTTCATCATTAGCTAGCAGTTCCTGAATTTTACCTGTTAGAGAACAACAGAGAACAGTTCACCCATGTGATGGAGTAAAAGAAAATGGGCTCAAAGACAAGAAACAACAGCTCCAAGTTTAAGTCTATATTGCTCTCTTTCTCAGATTATTCAGCATCTGCAGGCTCCAGGGTTGTCGTGGTGACTGCAAATGCATGGAGCAGCGAGCAGTCGTATGTAAGCGTGGTTCAGACTAATGTGGACTTGTACAGAGGAATCATCTCAAACGTAGCTCGCCTCAGCCCCAACGCAGTGATGATCATCGCCTCACAGCCAGGTTAGTATTGGAGAAAACTCTACTCAACTCTTCACAGAAATGCTTGACTAAGATCTTTATTTAAGGCTATCCACAAGAGTGTGTTAAGGCAGAATTCACACTGAAACCAGATGTGTCTCTAGATTTTCTGATGGAAGTAAAAACTCAAAGTTTAGTGTTAATATGTTTGGCCTCATCATGCAAAATTACAGTTCTTGAGTTCATATTTCCCAAAATGTAATTAGTTAACAAGGTTGTTTGTAGAGAATATGCAAAAAAGAAAGAAAAATATACAATAATATGATTAAGTCTTTCCATTAATTAAATATTTTGTTTAAAGCGCCTTTGAGGAGTTTTTTTTTATGTTTATGAAATAGGCTGAAACTTATACTGACGTCTTTGAGACATATTATGTGAAACAACAGACAATTGAATTTCCTTTTTTGAATTTGAATTTGAATTTCTCTTTGGGGATTAATAGAGTTCTTATTCTTATTCTTATTTTTATGATATCCAAAAGCAAATGAGATCATCAGGATTTTGATATTGTAATTTTTAAGGCCTGAAATGAGTGAGGAGGTAGGGGGCAGCCCAACAGGTGAAGAACCAGCCCTGACTTTACAATTTCTACGTAAATATTTACACTTATATGAAAAATTTGATTGTCAAAAGTCCACAGGATGAGACTTTTTGTCAAAAGTTCTTCACAAAAGCTTTAAATACCCCCAAATGTGAGCAACTTTGTTTGTCATTTTGTGTCAGGGTTATTAAGTTTTGATTAAAATGTGTGATAAAACAAATGTATTCACATAGAGACTCTGTACTATATAAAAAGAAACAGAATCTGCAAGTATTAACCGGTAGAAAGCAAGAGATTTTCTCAAACAGCTTGAGATTTAAGACAATCTGGTGCTTTTAACTCAAACTTTGAACAGTTTGAAAGTCTCTTCATCTGTTTGTTTGTAGAGCAGCTGCTTCTTTAAGTTTGGTGAAGTAAATGATAAAATTCCACCACGAAAATCTCTGGGTTTATCTCCAGAAGTATTGTCATTCTCCTTTTCTTCTGTTCCTGCTCTAGTGGATATTATGACCCACGTGGCCTGGAGGCAGAGCGGCCTGCCTCCGACACATGTGATTGGAGCAGGTTGTAACCTGGACTCAATGCGACTCAGCCACACTCTGGATATTAACCTGAACACTCACAAACCAGCCTGGGTCATAGGAGAGCTATCAGACAACAAAGGTGAGCCAGACTGGATCAATGAAATATTTACAGGAAGCTTTGTGCTGCATAAACAATCCCTGTGAGCGTACTCCACAGACTGCTCTCTCATTCACAACAGCTGCTTACTTCCCGTTTTTTCTTTGCCTTTGTTGTAATTTTTTGATCTTTGTTTAATTTGCATTTCTGAGTCAGTCATCCTGCTCTGCCTGCTGTTGTCAAACATTCTTTCCATCCTGTGCACTTGATGAGGCTGTTTGTAAATGACGCATGAGTGAGCTTGCCAGTGTTTTTGTCCTTTAGTTCCTGTGATGAGTAACTCCGGGTTGAGCGCTGGTGCACAGCCAGAGATTGCAGTAGGATCCAACTCAGTCAAGCCGTTATTGGACAGGTATAATTAAGTTTGAGGGACTTCTTATTTTACCCTCAGAACGTTGAAAGCTTTGAATCACTTTCCACTTATGTGTGTGTAGTGTTAAGAAGAACCTATTTCACTGATGGACTTTTATCTTTGCTTGTAGAGCTTTTGAGATGACAAAGAGCAAAGGCCAGCGTTCATGGTCTGTGGGTCTGTCCATTGCTGATATCACCAACAGTGTCTTAAAGGACAAAAAGAAGGCTCACTCTGTCTCCACTCTGGCTCAGGTAAAACCACCAAATCGCTGTAAAAACACTAGCATCACTCCTAACACCAACCCACTTTTTTACCTCTGCCAAGGAGGTTATGTTTTTGGTAGCATTGGTTTATTTGTTTGTTTGTCTGTTAGCAACTTTAAGGAGAAAGTTACAGATGGATTGACCTGAAATTTTCACCAGAGGTGCGTCTCAGCCCCACAAGGATCCCATTAAATTTTGGTGGTGATCCGGACAAAATTCTGGATACTGTGATCCAGAACACACAAAAATAAGGGTGTCGTTGGAATTTTCAATGCTGAAAGATAACCAATGGGCGGCACAGTGGTGTAGATAGGCGGCACAGTGGTGTAGTGGTTAGCACTGTCACCTCACAACCAGAAGGTCCTGGGTTTGAATCCGGGCCAGGGCATTTCTTGTTTAAGGGGGGACATGAGCTGCTTGGCGGAGGTCTGCGCTCTCTGAGTGCTTTTCTAGTTTTATATGTTGTCATGTTTTTTCGCAGAAATTTCCCTGCAGAGTGAAGTTGTGACTGTTTTTTTGTTGTTGTTTTTTTAACTTTAGGGCTGGGGCGGAATAGGCTCAGAGGTCTTCCTCAGTCTGCCATGCATCATGGGAGCAAGCGGCTCCACACGCTTGGCTGGCGTGTCTCTGGGACCGGAAGAAGACTCCAAACTGAGGGACAGTGTCTCTTCCCTTTCCAACCTCATGAGTCAGCTCAAGATATGAAGGATGGGAATGTTCTCCCAGTTTGAAGCTTAACGTTCTCTGCAGATATGTGGAGTTGAATGTACTTTTAGTCAGCTACCTACATCAGAAGATTTGTTGCTCTTGACAATATGTTTAATTTAATCCTAGCATTTTTTTCTCAGTTGTTTTGGAAAAACTAACATGGGGTATGAAAAATATAGAGTACGATGCTGGTTGCATTTTCGTTTTCTGTATTTTTGCAGGACTGAAAAGGCAACCATCCTGTCTTGTGCAGATTTTGAACTTACATTTATGCAGTTTCATTTTTGAAGCTCTAACATTCTTAAAAAAAAAAATCCAAAGGTTTTTAAAATCTACATGAAGCTTTATTTTTGTCAGCAACTTCTCATGTTGAATTAGGCTCTCACCAAAGATGCACAATATATTTTATTTTTATACTGACCCTATCTTTACGTAGTTCCCTTGTAGATAATCTGGGTGTTTGTAGATAAAGTATGATTCCTGTTTATGATATACAGTACAGGCGACTGTTTTTGAAGCACTGATGAAGTACAGCTTGTATATTGCCTTACTGCTGTTTCTGTATTTAATGAAAATATTAAGCATTTTAATTGCCTTTACATTTAAATCATCTTTGTTTACTTTGAGTCGAATATTTTGCACTGCTTTATTCTCAGTCTGTACAGTAACACTACACGGTTTATGGGTGTGCAATAAACTTCTAAAACCAAATGTGTCTCTATAGAAAAAAAAAGAAGACAACAGACAGAAACATTTTTTTTAATCTTTATAAAACTCCAATAAGTATTTGCATAAATTTACATAAGCTTTGGTCTAAGCTTCAGCATCACCGATGTTGGGTAGATCACAAAAGGAAACTTTCAGATCCAAGCTCTTTAAGTATAAAATCAAAGCAGAGACCAAAGTTCATGGAAAAACTGTCAAAGATCACTTTGTAAAAGTACATTTTTTTTGGTAGTAACCTGGAACTCCTTTAGAAAAAAAAAGATAGTTATAAAGAACCATAAAACCTCTTAGCAATGACACGGATCAGTGCAAAATAACCCAAACTGCTGTTTAGACAAAGCATTTACAATACTTTAACTGAATGTAACAATATAAACCCTTTGTCTATTAGGTCCTTATACATTATTCAATGGCTCAACTTCCATTTTTCAGTATCTTTTGCTCTGACACTGCTGTTGCTACAGTGCCTTTAGAAAACATCTGTACACACATGAATGTAGCTTTGCTCCTCTTCTCAGTCTGTGCATGTATGAAACAGTGTCATTTGTGCTCTGAAACCACACTCACTGCACCATCACTCATGTCTGGATGTAGAAATTTGGTCGTGCACATTCACAAATATTAAGATTTGGACAAAAACCCTCTAATTTCTGGACATGAAAAGTTTAACCTGATGACTGTAAATCTGCATCACTTTTGACCACTAGGTGGAGCTGCATTTCACAATGTTGCAACAAAGATATTCACTGTGACTCAAGCGTATGGTGACTGTTATTTTTCTATTGTATAATGTCATGCATGTATGTACACGAAACAGAAAGTGTCTGAAAAACAGACATACCATTGGAACTACTGCTTTGATAATGACGGCACCTTCATGAGTCAACTAAAAAAAACATGAAAATGCTGAATAGTCAAAGTGCACCCACTGCTAGATTTCATGTAACTGAAACTAAGTGTTTACACCTGGGACATATTGCACCATCTAATCCCTGTTGCTGGTGTTCACACATTTGCATGCAAACAGCTGTGGTGCAGACTGGTTAAGTGGTCCTTGGCAATCAGTAAAGAAACTGTATTTACAACAGCAACTAATAGGTGTGAGCCTGCTCACAATTTGCAGTATAAATAAAGACTATGGGTGCTACTACTAAACAAAGATGACTTAAAAGCCCTTGTGTTCAAGAGTCAGGTTAAGACACTTTGTTCGAACAAACTGGAGGTGAGGTAATGGTGAAAATGCAGCTGTAATTAGGTCAACTAATTTCTATGTGGATTTTCTCAATACCATCATCTGAGCTGAAAGCCAAATCTTTTAAAACTCACTTTTTTTGTGCAGATAACTTTAACTTAGATGGCAGTTTTAAATACAAGTTTGACAAGTAGAAAAAAAGGACTGCCTTTGCTCACAGGTGCAAGTATCACAAAAGTCTGTACAAATCTGTAAATAAAAAGTCCTTTCACACAACACACTCACACACATGCACATAGACCTTTGACACACTGAATAGATACTGGCCTTTTACTTCTTAAATGGCTTGGAAACCTTTATCAAGCTTTAACAGTCTTAATCATGTTGGCAAAATCAGTAACACTTGAATGGAACTTGGAAACTTCAAAAGGTCACTGATTTGGGCAGCTGCTGTCCACCTGGGGGCATCCTGCAAAAGTCTGGGCTGGATCGCACCATGGGTACCCCCACTGCTGACTGTCCTGAGGGCCTGGAAAGGCCAGGGGGAGACCCTGTGTACAACAGTGGTGCTGGGAAAGCAGAACGGTCCCTGGGGCCCCTGGAGAAAGGCTTAGAGTAACCAGGCGAGGTGGCTCTGTGTGTGTCTGAACAGCTGACAGCGTTACACTGCAAGGGACTGAGTCTGTCAGCAAAACTGGGTGGAGGAGGGGGGATGATGGAGTCCTCCACCCAGCTGTCGTCTCCTTCATACTCTGGCTCCTGAGGCAAACTGGGGAGAGCGCACAGAGAGGGAGGAAGAGGAGAGGGTGAAGGAGGAATAAACATAGGAGGCGGTGGCAGAGGGTAGAGAGAGGGGTCGTAGTCTCTATTGACGCCGTGTGGAGGCTCACTGTGCATGCTGGGAATTTCCTCAGGTGTGGAGACCAGTAGCCTCTCCAGGTAGCGGTCATCTTCATCAGCCTCAGAGAGGTTATCATACTGGGAGGTGTTTGATGGCCGCCGATCTCCTGCAGACGCCGGGACATAAAGGGAGACTGGGAACTTAGTTGGCTTTGGGGGAGGAAGTCTGGGAGAGGAGGAGGCGGGGGATGTGGTGAAGGTACGGGAAGGCAAAGGCTTAGAGGAATGAGGTTTTCTCTGTGTCAGGTCCAGAGCTGTGAGGGGTTTGGGTGAAGGTCTTGGCTTCATTGGGAGGATCTGTGGTGAAGCTGAGCGGGTAGATGGGGAGCTGTGCTTGGTCTCTTGGGCACTTTGGTCGTTCGGCTCAGAGTCGAAGAAAGGAGGTGGTGGCAGATCTGGGAGGTCCATGATCTCCTCTTCAGCCTGCAGTGCAAGAGCATCCATAGGAGGAGGCACATAAGGAGGAGGCCAATCCATGGAGTTCTCCTGGGAGTCTGGTTCTTCAGGCTGACTTTCCAGCGCTCCCCCATCTTGAACCTGGCTAACATCTGAAGGTGACTCTTTCACATCTCTGTCCAGCCCGATGTCAACACAGGGTTTTTCCACCTTTGGAGGTAATGGAGGCGCCCTAACAGGCTTCAGAGGAGACGGACTTTCTTTTGTGTGGTCTAAAACTGGTTCAGGAGAAGGCGAAGTAGGTATCGAAGAGGCCTGGGGCTCGGCAGGAGACGAGGTCTGTTGTGGGGTGATGCTCTCTGTTTGCTGGGTCTCTGTATTGAGTTGGCTGGGGGGCTGCAGATTAATTTTAACCTCCAGAGGAGAGTCAGGCTGTACAGGTCGAAGGAGAACTGGTCTCTCTTGGCCGAGAGGTATCTTTGGTAGTTCCTCCGACTTGGCTGAAAGGGATTAGAAGAAAGGAAATACATCGATTGAGAATAAAAAACAAAACCTCTTGGTGTCTTCTGTGAAGTTGTGCACTTTGAATGGATTGTAAGACAAAGTAGAAGAAGTTTTGTGCTGAATTATAAGAAAGTGAAAGAACCAAAGGGGAGAGGTGCACCTGGAGGGGGCTGGTCCAGCTTTTTACTGCGCAGCTCCGACATAGAAGCCTGTAACTGTTCAACAACCACATCATCGGGCAGGAAGAAAGAAACAGCCAGCTGCTCCTGGAGGAACTCCCTCAGGTCCTCTAACTGGAGCCTCTGCAAGCGCTCTGATTGGATGACAGCCCAGACACCAAGCAGAGGCAGTTTAGTTTATAACAGGATGACATAAACCTCATAAACTCTCGATGTCATGAAACCTCTGTGATGATGCATGCCTGGAAAATGACATCTTTGGAGAGAGTACTGCAGCTCAGGTCTAACTTTAGGATACCAATAAAGAAGCAGCTCATGGAAAAGTAGCTTTGCAGGACTTCCACTATGTTTTAGAAACACAGGAGGAAACATCCAATGAAACTCCCGCTTTTGAATTTTCTCCACAGCAACCGGCCACTTGCATTATGTAAGCCATCCAGTTAGGAGGCAGCCAAGCGGAAGGCAGTATGCGATGTAATCGTGATGGTAACACTAACTGGGAAGGCACCAGCAGCCAGGGTTGTATCTGGATATGAAGCTGGTTTGGCTGATTTTATCACAACGAGGCACTGGAGACAACATCCATCAGCGTCATACTCACTTTTGTGTAACTTGAAGATTGTGTAAGCCATGGCATTTAGCATCTTCTCTCCCTCCAGTATGTAGATGTCCCATAAACGTAGAGTGAGGGTGAATGGGGTCTGTTACGTAAGACACATACAAGCATTAAAAGATTATAAAACTATGCGTGAGGTAGCTCTTAATTCAACGGTAAAATGCCGTGAAATACACTGAGGCGAACTGATTAATGACTCAGTTTCACATCTGGGACTAGAAGTAAACAAAGAGATCTGGCAGAGGGACATTTTGTGCATTAGTCCAAATGCTCACTCACTCTGTCAATGAAGCACTGCAGAAACCATTTGGTGGTGTAAATCCCTGTTGTCATCTGCTCCTTGTCCTGTGAAGCAAGAATACATGGAAAATGGTCCAATCACATCTAACTCCTCATTTTGCAGACTGAATTTTGAATCTCATTTTTTCAAATAGTTCAGACTCTTGGATGTGCACTGCTTTTCTAAACATCCCCCCCCCCCCCAACATAGAAGCATAAAGCAATAATAGATGACCTAAATGCACCTTGTGGTCCTCTTCACAATCAATGAGCTCAGGAATACAGATGGATTTGAACTTACAAGATGTTTCTTTAGTTTTGGCAGCATTTTGGAGAGGATGCGATCATGGTGGGCCTGGAAGCGATGCAGCTTGGGAAATCCAGGGATGAAGAAACCTAAAGAAGATAAAACCAGCAGATTATAAATGATATTTAAATAATGTAAACTTTAGCACCATTATTTAAAATGTCCTTAATAAACCATGAAAATCTGGGAAAGTAAAGAGTAAGAAGATTTAATAAATAGTCAAGAATGAGGGGAAAAATTTGTATTTTATCCATATTTCCAATTTTGCATCTCAAGATTACAAGTCAAACTTGATTTGACTTTTTAGTTTGTGCTGATTTTTTTTCAACTCGGTATTTAGATTCATTTTAATCCTTTCGATTCCAATTTTTAAATTCCAAGTCATATTTTGACTTTAAACTCTTGATTTCAAAATGATCTCATATTTTGACCTTTCAAACTTATTTCAACTTTCTCCTGTATTTGCTCTTTGAAAGCATTATTTTTCTATTAGTTTTTTTTTTTAACTTATCTATTGGATTTTTTTTTTTTTATCTCAGATTGCCTTTAAATTTATCTTTTTTACTTTTTGAATTTCCAAGTGGTTTATAATCATTGCAGATTTTGTTATATATTTTGAAAAGGAGGCTGACAGTTTGGGTTAAATGTTGACCCTGTTTGGCCCTCAGGTTTGACTTAAATCCAGATTATGGCCCTTTCTGTGGTTGAGTTTGACACCCCTGGTCTAGATATAGAGTGCTCTAGAGTGAAGGATATTTCCTCTTTCAAAAACTTCATAACTTGAAGAATAAATGTGCCAGTCTGCCTTCAGTCTCTCATGTCTCACCGTGCATGGCATGCTTGCTGTAGGTTAGGAGCTGAGACAGAGCCCAGAAGGCGTCCTCCTCATTCAGATATATAAGCAAGATGGCAGCAATCTGACTCATCCCCTGACAGTAGCTCACCTCCTAGGGAAGCACAGGAGAAGAGGCAGGTTCATTTAAACAGAATGGTCAAATGAGAAGAAATATTTATTATTTAATAGACACAGACACACTCGCAGGCAGAGAAATGAAGGGTAAAGTGCACCTGAATGTCTGATGTGGTCTGAAGCCAGACTGTGCAGCTCTGTGTATACAGCTACAGTATTATAAACACTGTAACCAACAGATCTTTAAATATTTACAGCAGCTTAGCATTTATTCTCAGTCATGTCATGTCCTTAACTTGTAGAACTGCGAATTTGACTCTACTCTGATTCAAACTCATTGCTTTTGGCAAGCCCACATACACAAAACCGGACACACACTTGGTATTTGTCCATATTAAGGCAGATTTATTGCACAGCCAGAGATGGATATCCTTTAAAGGAAATACAGTAAACATTATAAGGGCAACACTGAGGTGAAACTACACATTCCCAACATTCTTCTCTGCCATCACATAGGCAAAAGGACAAACACTATGTCCCCCCCTCACCCTCCCACCCTTGTCTCTCTCAGTCTCTCCTACTGACCCAGTTTCTTCTGAGCCATGTGTGAGGAGGAGAGGGGAAAAGGGAAAAGGGAACAGCACATGCCCATTTCCTCTGGCTCTAACACCTCGAACACGCAGGAACTGACTACAGAGCTTAATCAGAAAAAAAGACTTGGCTTGAGTTTGCGTCTGGGGAGATGTCATGTGCTGTACACACGACTATCTTTGGATCCAAAAAACCTTTTCATCCCTGCCAGACAGAAACTGTGCCTGAGAACTGATAAGTATGGATTAATATACATGTGCATGTTGAGATACAGACTACATACACATGCCGCCTCTGTGTCGAAGTTCATCTTTGTTGTAAAAGCAGGATTACAAACTCTAGCTCCTGCTGCAGAAGGTAGTGAGGAACTAAAAATACACTTTTGCCATCACAGAAAATCTTCGTTCAACAAGAGTGTGAAAAAATGCTTTTGAAACACACTTAAAAAAATCTGCACCTGTATTCATGTGGCATCAAGAGGGAACTGATCTAACTAAAGACTGTTACTTTGTCATTGTACACTCAGACAGACCCACACTAACTCATAAAAAGTTACACGGAGCTCCAAACAAGAACAAAAACAGATGAGTTTGAGGAGCATGGAGCCTTTTTTGTTATATAGCAGCTAACACACTTGATTGACTCGTAGCTGCTGCACCACTAAACTTCCACAGCACTGTTTCTCTAGAGACACCCCCGTGTTACGTAACACACAACAAACTCACCGTGTTGTACACAGAGTAGGCTGCTAGGACGTGAAACAGTGCTTGCTGCCTGGAGAAGGAACAAAGAAAACCACTGGTTAAAACAAAAATGCGGTTCCTTAGCAACAATCATGCAAGCTAGGACAGTGTGGTAGGCTATGAGTAATGATTCCGCAATGATCTCATAGTTTAATCACGTTCATCAATCTTCACAAACAGACTCAATACGGCTGAACTTGTGCTGCTCTCTGTCAGCCTGGTTGTGTTTGTATAAACCTTGAAAAGTGTGTGTTTATTGTGGATACTCTTTTACTCTTGCCAGCAGTACTCGCCGTTAGCTTGTAAGGACAAACAAAGAAAGAGTGTGAGAGGACTGCTGCGATCTATTAGTACTTGAATGACACTGAGCGCGCAGCTTAAATCCAGCTTCCATGACCACAGGGGTTGTGTGCTGCATGGCTGACTACATCTGGAGTCTCTGCAGTTTCCGCCAGTGAACACAAGGCAGCTATTGTGTGTGTATAAATGTGTCTGTGTGAAAAGAGCAGGGGCATTTACAAACATTATGTTCACGAGAGAGGATGTCCCCCCTCCAGGCCCTCTATAGTAAATACGTATCTTACGGACGGTGACAGAGGCAGGAAAGGAGCTTTTAATAGCTGTCAGTGTGTTGGTGTGAGAGAGACAGCTGCTGACTTGCAGGGAAAGAGTGGGCAGCCGAGCAGGATGGAGCAGTGTTGTGGTGCGTTTGGACTCTGCGGCTTTGAATCGAAGAGGAAGTGCCGTACAAAGAGTGAGAAGAGAGAAGAGCCTTCAGAGTGAAACTGACAAGATCAAACCCGTGGCTCAGAAACTCACAGTTGTTCTGAATTTTTTTTGTACGTTTGGTTAATCTCTTTGAAATATGAGTGTCATCATAATGGAAGTGGCTCACACTGTGGACAGCGTTATTTTGTACATGCACACTGATGTCAGTGCACAGTTCTGTATGAATGCCATTTCCTGTGGGGCTTTCTGCACTGACAGGAAGGCTAATAAAACACAGAGAGGAGAGGAAACCACTGTTTCAGTCAGTGTGTGTGTGTGTGTGTGTGTGTGTGTGTGTGTGTGTGTGTGTGTGAGAGCCTCAATGTTTGAGCTAGGAGTCACACTCTGTAGGTCTTAGTCAGGGCAAAGCTGAAAGGTGACAAAGAAAAACAAGAGCAAGTACCTTGGAGACACCACAGGGCCTCAATGCTATAAAAAATGTTGTTTCAAAAATATGCTCTTTATTTTTCAGGTCTAATGTCAGAAGAGTCACTGGAAAAGAAACGAGTTTGGATCAAGACTATAAGGTAGATCTGGACAGCTGAGAGTTTTTACTGTGACTCCACTAGCCAGAAATGCTAATTTGATGTCAAGAAAGGGGTAAAAGAAATATTCACACATCATTGTTTGTGTTTGTACTGAAATATAAATTGAACTCACTTGACTCCGAAGCGATCCATAAACATGATGTGGTTCCTGAAGGTCCTGTTCACATCTAGGTCAATCTGTTTGATCTCTGTCGAGTAGCTTCGAGCCTGCTGCTTCATTTTCTGGAGGAGCAAAGAGGGGAGGACGTGCCAGATAAAGATTAATCTGTCCGAAATGAACCAAAATTATAGCAGACGCATCTTTTCTTCTCGATTCATACCTCATATTTTCCTCCGTTTTCTTTTTTGACCTTCTCTACATCCAGAAGCAACGCCCAGGCCTGGCCTCTCAGCTGCAGGGGGATGCCTTTATACACACGCTTGACCAACTGAAACAAATGTGATCAAACATGAATAGAGACTCTCTAAACATAAAGAGACAACCTTCCCGACATCAATCAGAAGAAAAAGACAGAGGGTCGTACAGAAATGCCTCTCTATGGTATAAAATTGAGTGACAAGGACATATATATATATCCATTAGTGCTTGCTTCAAATGTCTACATCTGAGTGGAAAGATATTTAGGGAGCAAGTTGTAGTCAAAAGAGGAATGGAAAACTTAAACAAGAATAGAAGTAATACATAATATGGTTCAGTACAAAAAAGGGTAAAGGCAAACCCAGCTTTGGTATTTTTACACGCTCTCGGGACAGTTGTACACACCTTTTCACTGTTCTTGTACTTGTCCCAATTCTTGACCATCTTTAGCCATTTGTCCACTCGTTCAATCTCCTGCAGTTTTTGCTGAGAACAAACAAAACCCCAACAAAATTACATAAAAGTACATGATTATTGCATCAATACGCATCCAGACGCTGTGCAGGTTAGTACTTGATACCTTCTCTTCGAGTGCAGTCCGTGCCGGAAGCTCTTTCTCACTGTAGCAGAAAAAAAAAAGAAGCAAAACAGAATTAGAAGTGAGAACAGTGATGGAATTAACCGTGCTTGGTTACAGGGGTAAGATAAAATTCTTAAAATACAGAGGTTAGACCTTGAGGTCAGTAACTTACTGCATAAAGCCAAAACGGTCAGTGAACTTAAAGATGGAGAAATCAGCATCTTCACAGGAGTCAATGTTGACACCCTCCTTCCTGCCCTGAAACATCACCATACCACAACAATTTTAATAGACACGGTAAAAGAACACGTACCATGAACTCATGTTTTAAGACAGATGGAGTACAAATGATTGGATCCAATGAAAGTATCCTAGATGTCCTAATCTTATTTTGCCTGTTCTTCATTGTTAATTTAGTGACATGTCTCTGATTTGTGAACTACACAGCTACACAAAAAGTCCCCTGTTATTCCCTGTGAAACCATTTCCACTGCCTGTAATGAAAAAGTCTCCTCTAAGTTCACTCACTGCAGGCTCCGCTCAGAATGTCTTTGTACAAGACAGACAGACAACTTTCCAGTCTTATCTTGTTGGATTCTGTTCACCTTGGCTGTCTCAGACTTAAATGAGCTCTGGCTCATAGTCTAATATGCAGCGGTCATGTACCTCTAATGCAGTGGTTCTCAAGTCCAGTCCTCAAGGCCCACTGTCCGGCATGTTTTGGATGTTTCCCTGCTCCAACACACCTGATTCAAATGATCAGCTCGTTATTAAGCTCTGTAATGGCTTAATAACGAGCTAATCATTTGAATCAGGTGTGTTGGAGCAGGGAAACATCCAAAACATGCAGGACAGTGGGCCTCGAGGACTGGACTTGAGAACCACTGATCTAATGGATCCATGTCAGTTTTTTTACAACGTACCCATGAACTGCATTTTTTGGGGTCACTGCAAACATCCCAAGTTATATTAGATTTAGGTGATGGTATTCTCTGCTCAAATACATGAGGCACCTGCTTACCTTGTCATATTTAGAGATGATTTCTGCACGTTCTTCGGCGATCAGAGTGTCAATATCCTTCTTCATGTCAAAATCTGAAGAGAAACAGACAGAAAATGTTGTGTATTATAATCACTATCAACCTGATGACTTACTTGTTCTTGTGAAAAATATCAGGAGATCTGAAATGATCGTGTCTTGTGTTTATTTTGCAAAAAGTGAAATGTTTTGTTTTAAGGCGATACATGACTTAAAACTGTAATTAATGTACTGATTGGTTGAACAAGTAGGATAGATTATGACAGAACATTTTAAAGAAAAGTGAAGTTTGCGTGTTTATAAATAAACAGTTTGAGCCATCAACTTGACAATGCAGGTCAACAACAATGTGAACAAGGAAAGACTTCTCCGCTTCTCAAGAGAGATCCAACAGATGATCATGTGTGAATACTTCTTGCTCAGGGTGTGGAAAAAAACCTGTTTGAACACTGTTCATTACGTCAACTCATAATAGCTGGAGGTATCTGCAGACTGCACAGAACGACATAATGTGAGGTGGTAAAACCACAATCATCACAAACTTTGAGACCACACAGCATGTTACAGCTTCTTCCAGTACCTCTCACCATCAAACTAGCTTAGCACTTATTTGACACGTCACCCATATGAAAGGCAGGGTTCTGCCAAGGTTTGTGTGCCACAGCAAGAGCTGATAAAGTCTTAACATTTTAATATTTAAATTTGAATTTGCAAAGAGCTGTCAAGAAGTCACCCAAGTGTGACAAAACTTGCCACAAGGCTACCAACGACTTCCTGCCAGGACACCCAGACAAAGTATAGCTGACAAAATGGTTGGCGCGGTTAAACAGCAGTCAGGGTTTTAGGATGACTGTGAAGTGCTTGGTTATTATTTTTAGAAATAATGAGACTAATGCAAAAGTTTATAAACAGTAGGGTTGGTCAATCAACAACTATTTCAACCATCTACTCTTGTTGATCCTTGGAGCTGAGGTACCTTTTACTGTTTCACTTGTCTTGTAGCTTCTTTTTTATAGTGCTGTCTTAGGGCTGGGCGATAAACCGAAAATGTACCTATACCGAAATGCAAGACAATAACCAACGACATTTTGCCCATGTCAGTATACTCGGTGTCAAAAAAATAAATAAAAGTTGGTTTTGGATGTGTGTAGATAGGCTATAGTCTCATGTCCCTTTAAGACGCTGTCCTATATTAGAGACGTGACTCCACCCCATCCAGTCCGTAACAAAGAGGGAAAGACAGGTGAGGAGATGGAGGACAGTTCAAAAGTTGTAGTGGCTGAAGTAGACGGAGTTAATGTGGTAGGGGGTGAGCAGCTTGGGGATATCATCAGTTATCATCCAATTATCGTTATTGAAGTGAACTGCTCAATACATTGTGATATTGATTTATAGCCATATCGCCCAGCCCTATGCTGTCTACAGCTTAAACATGAATAATCTTGATCTCATAGTAGAGTGATGTTTTTAAATGATGTCAGAACTCTTGCTCAAAACGCCTATAATTAGCCTACTAAATCTACTAACCAGTTAATTGTTCTACGGCTAATGCGTACAAGAAAAAAAAACAAAAACTTTATTGTGTAACACATGCTCATAATGGAATATTAAAGACAAAAGCCCTGCCCTGACCAGCCTAACCCTAACCGCACAACCCAGTATGTCCAGGTGCTGATTTTAGTATAATATCCTATCCTACCACATCATCATAAATGAACCAATACTGTCCACACACTATGTGATAAGTATTGTACTGTGGTTAAATGTATTGTTTTACACACGCAGACATTGGTGCTCACTTAAAATACTTAAAATTGACAGAAAATGAAAGTCTAGCCAAGGTCTACAAAACCATACATATTGAAATTGGTCAAGACAGCAATCCCATGCTCCTGTACCCCCGCCTCCTCCTCCTAGTAAGAGCCCTGTGTGACCTCCTTCGCCCCACTGCGCCTGCCTCAAGCCTTCCCCGAGTGGATCAACCCAGACAGGCCTGACTGTTGTTAAGCAGTTGTCAGAGCTCAACAATCACCCGTGAGAGAACAGCCTCACCACTCGTTCACCAGATCAGCATCTCTGAATGACGTTTGGATGAAGAATATGCCAGTTATGCCAGGCATGCACTGTGGATGATGGGACATAAAAGGAGCAAACAAAGCCAGTCACACCCTTTTCAAGTGCTGTAGGCACCAGCATATCATGTTTGACCACTACTTTTTAGTGACGCGGGAGAAAATTTGAACTCCAACCTCAAATGCTGTTAAGAAGAGAAAACTAATATGAAAATAGACTGAAAGGAAACTGAGGTGCAGCAGATTTAGAAAAAAAAATCACCTCAAGCATTACAGGAAAACAAACATCAGATTTTTACTGCCGTAAAACCGGACCGTTCAGTGATTTTCTAGATCAGTTCTGTAAGTCGTGGCTTACAAACCTACAGAAGTGATCTGCTGCTGAAAATGCTAAGCAGTTGGGATTACTTTCGCTGAGGACTGACAGCATGTGGAGTCAGTTCACGTCACAGCAACATGCATGTCTAGCATGCCTTGCAAACAGGTGTGAAAGCACCTGCCAGCACATACAAAGACCCTTTAACTTTTCCAAACAGACTCTCACGCTTTCAGCTGACAAGGATAGGTTTGTGAAAGAAGAATATGGTCTATAGATAAGGAGGCAGGTACAGTATATGTTTATAAACTATGTGGGTATTAATGTGTGCCGCTTTGTCAGGTCCCTACAACATATCAATGTGATCTTCAAAACCTGTGCCTCCAGTCTTCTCCATCAAAGCAACAGCTGAGTCTCTAGTCTAACAGGTGGTCAGTGAAACCAGACCACTGAACAAACTGACTCTGCTGTTCAGTGCTTTCTTTTTCACATTCTCTCCTTTTCCCATCCATCACAGCTCAAGTTATTTCAGGTTTTTCAAGGTGTCAGCGTATTCTTTTGAACAGCTGGGCTGAGCAGGCAGTCTGTGTTACAGGACCACTGACACTGCTGTGACCTTGTCTATCAAAAAAGGGGGACGCAGTTGACCATCCATGCTTTGTTCAGGACTGCATTTTGATGTCTTAAGTGGCAGAGCTCAAACCAAAAAGATCTGAGCTGAACCGTCAAGATGAAATCTCAAAACAGAAATACACACACTATTTCCGACGAATGATCTGATCAGAAAAGTTGTGCAACCGCTGTTTAACACAGTGAGCAACACTTTCCTCCCACTGATTTTTATTAGTGGTGAGCAAGCTGTACTTGTACGACAATAATTATGTATTTATTCATAAATTTACGTCTTATTCGTTTATTGATCTTACTCTATACATGCCAATGTCTAGTAAACTACTAATCTCAAACCCTGCTTCCTTTTGGGTGTGAACAAGGTCTTTAAAAAAGCACTTTGAGTGTATGAGCTAGGGCTGGGCGACAAACCGAACATTTACCGATACAGAAATTTATGACAATAACTGACGTCAATTTTTCCATGTCAAAATATTCTGTGTAAAAAAAAAAAAAAAAAGATTTAAATTGGGTTTTGGACGTGTGTAGGTAGGCTATGGTCTCATGTCCCTTTAAGACGCTGTCCTACATCAGAGACATGACTCCACCCCATCCAGTCCATAACAAAGAAGGAAAGCCATGTAAGGAGATGGAGGACGGTTCAAAAGTTGTAGAGGCTGAAGTAGACGAAGTTAATGTGGGAGGGGGTGAGCAGCTTGTGGAGTAGTTACCGTCCATTTATCGTTATCAAGGTGAACTGATCAATATATTGTGATATTGGCTTGAGGCCATATTGCCCAGCCCTAGAATGAGCTGTAAAATGTTGTGTGATCATACCAACTAGTTCAGTGGTTCTCAAGTCCAGTCCTCGAGGCCCACTGTCCTGCATGTTTTGGATGTTTCCCTGCTCCAACACAACTGATTCAAATGATTAGCTCATTATTAAGCCATTACAGAGCTTGATAACGAGCTCATCATTTGAATCAGGTGTGTTGGAGCAGGGGAACATACAAAACATGCAGGACAGTGGGCCTCGAGGACTGGACTTGAGAACTACTGAACTAGACGACAGCAGTGTCTGCCTTTGAAAAACACAAATAATCTTCTTGGTCGTCTTGTTTGCTTTAGTAGGTCATGTAGAGATACGGGTGTTCATATTCAATCTGTTTCATGACCAGTCAAAAAGTCCAAACAGTCAGCAAACAGCCAAGCGTGACCTATATAATACGTTTGACTGAAGATGGATGACAGGCAACAGCAGAGTTTGGTCTATATCACTACCAGAGCTCATTGTTCAAATTAAGCAACTCTATTTCTGATTCCTGGCTTTCATTCTGATTTCATACACGCTCAGCAGGAGAGTGAGAAACAGGATGACTGACTCAAAAGGCTTCAAGGCTCTTGACCCTTGCAGTTAGTTTGATGCTGTGAGACTAAAAGGCTGCTGGCAGAGGACGGTGAGCTGTTTTCAATCACTGTCTGGAAGGTAAACTGGTGTGTAAGGTCTGTTGTGCTTCATGGCTAGGTCCTAGCTGCTTATTTCCGGTGTTGAGTCTCCAGTCTACTGATAGTATTGTGTTGAGGTCAGGAAGAAAAGGAAACCACTGACTGCCCCTCCTTCAACAACAGGTTCAATGAAAACTGATTGAGTCCTCCCTGATAGAGGAAAAAGCTCTCTCGCTGACACAGCCACAAATCACGCAGAATTTGTTTTTGTAGTCAGCAGGAGACAACCTGAGTAATCCCACACAGTGGTTAGTTTAGAAGAGTGGTATTTTGCTTTTTGAATCACCAACCGCGCAGAGGCCTTACTTCTTGCAGTCTGCTCGGTTTAATTAACTTCAAAAATCTTTCCTTTTCAGAGGTGAGTGGTGGGGTGGCTGGTTGTGGTGGGATGGGGGTGTCAAACAGATGGAAGCTGGAGGAAACAAGTGAGTCAGCAGTGGACAAAACGGGTCATCGTATCACGTCCCTTTGAGTGTAGGTGAAGTGAGGCAGAGGAGGTGAGAAAGTGAGGAGCTAGTTTAAGACAGTGATTGAGGAGTAGGGTGAGAAACGCAGATATGAAGCCGCTGAATATTTACTACTGCACTCAAACACTTCAGGGAATGGCTACATTTTAAGGGCTTGGTTGCTTGCAAGATACGTGACAGTGAGCCAAGGTGACATCATTTCCTGTTATGACATAGAGCTCTAAACTTAGCTGTGTATTTAAGATCTCAGAATACTTCAGTCACCACAAACATCTTGCAGAGCATTCTGACTCTTATCCAGCTGATAATTCAAGGTTTGAGCAGAGATGTAGCAGCCAGAAACTACCTACAAGTTCTGAATTTTTTTTAAGTACAAATCCCTTTATTTTCAAAAGGTACAAAAATCTAATTGTCAGACTAAATTTTAACTTATAAGTTGGGTGAAAAAAAGGAAAAACTCTCTTGAACTTCTACATTTCTTAATCGGAAATAAACACCTCATGTGTCTTACAATCAATCATGATCTGAGCAGTTATCAAATCTACAGCAAAGGATTATTCAGAAGGACTAAAGTTGTAAAAGTCTAGCGGCGGTTGAGACAGAACATGGAAACTGTGAGGGCAGCAGGCGACAATACACTCATAGTTTGGGTTAGATAAAAGGTGTGTCTGTACGGTCTGTGGGTTTTGATGGGGGCAGAGAAACCACTAAGCGGAGACCCTGAATTGAAGCTGCGACAGTTTGTGGAAGTTAATACCAACGGAACAGATTTTAGTGAAGTTGTTCGGTTGAAGATTAGGCCCTGGTAGCCCATTTCTGTAGCTGGCACATAAACCCTCTCTCCAAACTGCTGATGGCGTGACAATAAAGGAGACAACAGATGTGTCGTTGTCTTTACTACTAAATGATTAGTCAGCTCTGAGTGTTCAGCCAAGGGGACGGTCTGGCTCTGAGATCAGACGAGCTCGGGGCTGTCAACTCATTCAACATGGTTAACCACACAGAAGAGACGTACTCCCATTTATCATCAGTATGAATTATAACCTTCCCCCCTGACCTTCAACCTAGGGTCTTAGACAACCATCAACACAGTAACAAAGACGTGAGAAATGACATGTTTATTTCTATGATTCAGATATGGAGGCTCCTTAAACATTTGTATCTGTACTAGAATTTGAAAATGGAAACTCACTACGAGAGATCACAGTCCCTTATCTCTCAATCTCACCTCATCAAATATCCCTCATTTTTGTGACTGTGTAATGAGCTGTCTGATTCTAATTGCTGTGTAAAGACCATCTTTGTATACAATAAAACCCCATAAATTCACTATTTTCAACTACAGTTTTTAATTTTTTTTTCTTATCAAGCCTATCTATGAGTCTGCCTATGATGATGATGATCTTTTCACTAGTTTAATGCTATAGGCTCATGGTGATTATGGAGAACAAGCAAATCATTCCATTTAAAAAAAAGAGCGAGGCAAACAAGCAACCACATGGCTCTAATTTCCCCACCGAGTCTCAAGTCCCAGATGGCTCAGAGTTTTTAATTGATGTCAGACACACTGTGAGTGTGTGCTTGTAAGCGAGCACGGGCCAAAAAGAAGCAGAAAATAGCACACGCAGTGAGAAAAGAGATATGGCAAAGGCTGTATGAGGAGGTGGTGTCTCTGTTCACAGCAGATTATTTAGCTGTTAAAACCCATTAGAAATTCTCTTTCCTTTCGTATTATTGTTTTAATTCACAGATATCAAAGATTTGGGATCAGTGGTTCCCAGGTTCATGTCGCATCTCATCTTGCGACCCAAGGTCGTGTTCACACCTAAAGGTCCGCTTCCTAATTCGAATCCAAGGCAAGACGATACATTTGTTATGATTGTTTAACTGGTCTGGTTTGCGTTCACAAGGGGACAATCTCAATCGCTCCAGAAAACGCAACCAAAAGTCACGTGACCGCAAATATCGTTCGGTTATTGGTCATTAGTTTATACAGGAATACAAACCCCGCTCTGCTGTCTTCGCCTGTCATGGAGCATCGTAGGCTGATTTTGCTTTTGCTACTCACCTGGAGCGCGTATCAAAAGACGCTAGTCGATCGCGCGTATGAATGGCTCGTAAGCCAGGAAGCGCGAACTGCGGCATAAATTAATACATTCCGGAGTAGACGTGCTGCAAACAACAGACGGATAAAGACGAGGCGGCGACAGGAATTAATGAGAGTGTGTGGTGCGTTTCCTGTGATTGGTATGAATGACGTTCCCACCAGAAATGAACCGCTCCAGAGAGTTCGTTTATTTGGTACGCACCAGAGTTCGAGGTCAGCGTTCACACCGACCCAAACGAACCGCACCAAGGGGGTAAACGCTCCAGGGTCCAGTTCAACTGGACTAAACGAGGGTGATGTGAACGCGCCCTAAGTGTCTTGTGTCACACCCTAAGTGTACCGACCAATACAGAAGTGAATGACTCTGATTTCTGTTGTTATTATTGAGGAAGAAAAATCCTTGACATGGAGAGCACTTCACCGTCAATATTGAACTGTTCAAGGTTAGCAAATCCTGCAATATCAATCCACCTTAACAGATCTTTGGTTAAATTTCTCTCTCTTCTATGCTGATTTGTTTTTTAAAAAAGTCTGTTTATGAAAAGGGAAACCTGGAAAAATCCTAAGCAGGCTGGTATGAGATATTAGACAGACTCTCTTTTCTTTAAACCACAGTTTAGAGTCCAGATGGAAGTTCAGCGACACAAGAAAGCTGCTCTTACTTAAGGACTGAAGGTTCTCTTTTAAGCTGACGAGTTTTATCTTCTTTGTCATCTTTTAGCTTCTTATAATGGCCACTCACAGCGACGACATATAGGTGTAAATAAACCCAGACAATCAATTACTGTCAACCGACAAACAATAGCTAGGATGAAAATGTCAGAGTCCCATGCTGCCCAACATGTGTTTTGCAGGTGTGATGGTGAGTGGACAATGGCCAATTGTCTTGTACTACCAAAGAGGTTCCCTTTGGGATGTTTACATAATTGCCACTGACTCACAGCAACATGGGACAAACCATGTGCTAACTTTTAATACAGCTTTGACTGAGCAGAAATGACCACAAAGGCCACTCAAACTGAGAAATCATCTCAAGAATCAAGAGGGGACCAAACAATTCCAATGTTAGTCCTCTGTCCTAGGGTCTTTTTCTTCTGTTTCCCTCTAATTCCTTTTGTACAGCGATGGCATTTGTGATGGCATAAAAGAACAAAAAAACAAACAAGCGCAACAGTCACTTTGTGACCCAAGGGTGAAAAATTCAGGGCAAAGGGACTCTGGGCTCTTGGAAAAGCACACAGCTCAGAATAGCTTGTTGTCCCAAGGGCCTTGTCTGTCCTGCCCCACTCTAAACTAACTTTCATTTGATCCCATCATTTTTCAAAAGCTTAACAATTAAAACTCAGGATTCACTGGCAACTCACAATCTGGACCTACATCTACATGACCTTTCCCCATCTCAACGAAGGAAATAACAAACTGGAGTCTGAGGAAAGGGGTACTCAAACACCTCACCCTGTGTTTGACCCAGCCTGAGAACCCTTGCCGGTCTTTTCTCTGCCTCCTAACTTGGGGGAGGGGGTGGGGGTGGGTGGGTCTAAATATAACAATGACCACACAAAGTTTCAGTAGTTGAAGCTGCTGGCCAGCCAGCCAGCAAGGCCTTGTTTCCCAGAGTGGCAGCACTTTCTCAAAGGGGTGGTATGAGGAGTACAGGAATGTCAAGGGAAAAGTATTCATAAACACAAAAACCCACAGGACCCCGCTGAGAAAGCCACATTCTCATAAAGCGATGCTCTTCCTCGCAAGAAGTGAGTCAAAACAGCAGCAGTGAAGTTAAATGAACTCGACCTTGAGCACAAGTTTGGTCAATGCACGGTTATAATAGCGCGACAGAAATACACAGTGTTTGGGGAAGTTGTGAAACCCCTGCTGATTGTCATGTTATTTTAATCTCACTTTTTTTTTTTATCAAATAATCTTCAAGAATTTCTTTCTCTGTGACTTCAGAGCATCCATAAGCTCATGCACCATGAGATCTGATTTAAAACAAATAATCAATGGCACCGCACACCACTGCACTTGTCTTCAAACGTACAAACTGAGTAAATAACGTGTTTAGTTTAACATGTTAGAGGTTGTGTTCTCAGATAAGAACCAAAGGCTCCTGTCAACAGCTCAGCGGTTCAGTTCAATGAGACGCTCTCAGCTGGTGATTTAGTTCTCATAGTTTTCATGTTCAAATTTTGATTACAAGTGCAGAAACAGAGGATTATGGAACGTGGAAGTGGAGCAGTCTTATGCGGAAGAAAATTTTAATCTCACCATGATGGTACAGCATAGGGAGCTTAAAGTATGTGAAGTAAAAACAAACCAGGAGTTGCATCGAAAAAAGATATGAAGTAGAGACAATCACGGAGGGGAATTTCCAAGCTGGCCCACTTCAGCTTTACATGCCAGATGACAAACAGCTATTTGAGCTGTTAACCCATGGAGCTATTACTTATCTCCTTAAAGTTAATGCCGTTTTCAACCTGTGTGACAATCTTCACTCTCAACAGTAGAGCGACCTCGATTTCACTAATTAGTGAGTGTGGGGGGTAGATTTGGCTAATTTATAGACAGAATCAGCTCATGGAAATTTCACACTGGTTCTGGCAGAGATTCAATCTAGCTTTTCAGCCCAAACGGGGGAGCCAACGCGTGATTGCGCAGTATGATTATTATGCTGTTTGGCACTTGGGTCTGACACTTCAAATTTTCATCTATTTTTATTCATTATCAAAGTTTACAGTGTCATTCCCATTAATCACAAAAACAACACAGACAAGGGTGTGTTATTGAATGAGTATGATACTGTACATTCTGTATACAATCTCTATACAATCCAATTTATTACAGTGGCAGTGTGACTATTATTATGTCATGTGTTCAAATAAACTAAACCAGTGGTTCTCAAGTCTAGTCCTCGAGGCCCACTGTCCTGCATGTTTTGGATGTTTCCCTGCTCCAACACACCTGATTCAAATGATCAGTTCGTTATTAAACTATTACAGAGCTTGATAACAAGCTGATAATTTGAATCAGGTGTGTTGGAGCAGGGAAACATCCAAAACATGCAGGACAGTGGGCCTCGAGGACTGGACTTGAGAACCACTGAACTAAACAAAGGGTATTCTGTCTTTGACATACAGTATAATTTTGGATTCCACAAATACCAAAGTGAAAAACTGAAAACAGAACCTCAACTGTCCTTCGGAAGAAAGTATCCAGGGAACTCATGTGAGAGGGCACTGACCCTCTATTATACCATTATCCCCAAACGCTTTTACATTATCCCCAGAAGATACTCTACATCAGAAAGACTACAGGATGAACAAATCAATTTCAGACCTTTGCCCTAGATGTAAAACAGGGAAAGGATACACCATGTATACTGTCCTGGAACTGGAATCAATAAAACATAACTGGGGTTCAATTTTGGAAACACTCCAGGAAATTACCAGGTTTGAGATTCCCATTTCTCCTCGACTGGCATTACACATCTGACATCCCTGCTGCCAAGAGTAACAAGGTCAGGTTTATCAATCCAACAGTGATTACTGGGAAATAGATGCTCTGCTTTATAATGAGAGTTCAGATCCTTTTACTCTTTCCATATGACTTTAAGGTAAAGAATTAAAAAAAATATATAACGCTCAATCTCAGAGGGAAAAATCCTTTTCAATAAATGTTGGTCAGATTTCAGGAATCATAAGACTAGTGGTTCACAGTCCCTGATGGGTTGATAAATGGTACTACTTGATATGAACTGGTGTTATTTCATGTTGATATACAGTGCTGAATTTGTGTGGATCTATTTATTAGCTTTAATCTTTTTCTCCTTTACCTTTTAATTAGGTCCTAATCTTAAGGTCTCCGGGACCGTTTTTGTCGTGCGATTAATTCTGACGTCAATACTTTTTTTCGAACCTGTGTCCTGTCAATACAAGCATTAACATTAGCAACGTTTTCCCGTCCTGCGATATTGCATTTAAAGTTTCGCATACTCTGTGTCAACTTCTGACCAATCAGATTGCATGTTGTTGCGATGTCAGATTCACCGGTATATCCAACATGGCCAACCGGCTGATTGTTTACGTGTCGGAGAACAGAGTGCTGTTTGATAAAAGACACAAACATCACAAAGATAACGACCTGAAGGACAACTTGTGGAGAGTCATAGCGTCGGATTTCTCATATGACGATAGTTTGTGTGCTCTAACAGTTTGCTAAATGTCTTTATTTTAACTTTTATCTTTGCTAACGTATGCTAACAGTTGTTACCATAGTTTCATGTGCTTATCTTATCGCCTCTGATTGGCTATAAGTGCTGACCATTTGGCTTGAGCGTGTAATGATGTTTCCAGCTTTCTAGCGAATCAGAGGCGAAGGAGCAGGGACTTTCCCCGGCAAAAGTCTTCCACGGAATGCATCTTTTTCCCCGAGAAAGTTGAAAAATCACATCGGGCTTGATGTGTGTAGTCAGGCGCGTCAAAATTCGCCTCCGGATATCGGCCCCGGTGTTTAAGGACCTTTAGGGTGGGAGGAACTGGTCCAAAGGGATACGTTTTTTGATCTTATTTGACTCCCCTTATTACCATCCCTTCATTATTTTACTGTATGTTTGTACGTAAGCACACTGTAACCCCATTCCATTTATTTCCGTGTAATTTTTCCTTTGGTGTTTTGTTTTGTTTGTATCTGCGGCATCAGTTCATTACATTCTCTCATTCATTCCCCTGAAGTATTGTTAAAATGTACAGAGTTTGTCTGTAGTGTCTTCAAGACACAAAAAGAAAGAAAAAAAGAAAAGAGCCACGCACGCAGGTTTTCTGAACTGAACACTCAAAATAGCACGTAATGTGTGAACTTGAGTGTTACTTGAGTCCTGCTTACTTCCTTACTGTGAGTGTGCTGACATGGGCTCCATGACCTCATAACCCTCCCTGACCAAAATGACCATCCAAACAGACAACGCTGAAACTCTGCAAAGGCTCATTTTTATGAGTCACACTATATGACCAAAGCCTCTCTGTTTCTTCCACCGTATGCAAAAGCCTTTACTATCTGTAGCATTTTGTGACACTGGAGCTTTGTCGGCCTTTGACAGCTATCATAAAGACACCATTCATTCAGACAAAAAAGCTATTGATGCCTCTCCGCTGAAATAATATTATCTCAACAGAAAACAAAGAAGGCAGCTGCTAATTCAAGAAAGATCTTAGAGGAACCATGGATGGATGCTAAAATTGGAAACTGAATATGACAATATAGTAATCAGTAGTGTTTTGTCAGCCAAACTATACCTCAACTTTACAACTACACTGCGGCTGCATGACATGAATGGATTAGTGGTGACTGACACTAGAAAAATGAAAAAGACTTACTCACCACCTCTGAGGATAGAAAAAAGGCTGATGGTGCTGACTGAGGCCCATTCACGGGCATAAAAACAAAATATGGGCTCACATGCTTTGCCTTGCACGAGGCTCACATCCTGTTGGCATCAGAGAGGGCAGGCAGTTCAGAGTTCAAGAGCACAGTGAAGTGCCTGAACGTTTTTAACAAATGAAACTTCAGTTCTCGATTATTTCTAAAGTCAAACTGTGCCACTGGGTTAAATCCCTTCATTTACCAATAATAAGCAAGAGGAATGTTGATATTAATGCACAGGCCAAACATGCTTTCAAAGTGGTGGATACATGTAGCCAGAAGACCAGTTTTGTAACTAAATTCCACAAATGGTCATCTCAGAAACACATGATTGGTTAATTTATCAAGACTATTGGCACTTTTTTGAGATTCTCAAAGTAGAAGCAGAAATCACGAGTCAAAATACTGACCAGCAGAACAGAGCAAAACAGATAAGGTCCCAAATGAAAAAATAAATACTATGGGAAGACTTGTTAAGCACCCAAAAGGTTCTCATTGCACCCACTACATCAGTACTGTCGCCTTTCCGTTCTGGGACTTCCTCCCCCCTAGCACATGCAGTGTGTCACACGATGTGACACAATCACACCAGAAATTGAACATAGCAACAATAAAAACATTAATAATAATAATCATAAGACAACTCAAGTTTCAATGTATTCATGTACCCAAGCAAAAGAATGCCTTAGTGCAGTGGTTCTCAAGTCCAGTCCTCGAGGCCCACTGTCCTGCGTGTTTTCCATGTTTCTCTGCTCCAACACACCTGATTCAAATGATCAGCTCATTATCAAGCTCTGTAATGGCTTAATAACGAGCTGATCATTTGAATCAGGTGTGTTGGAGCAGGGAAACATCCAAAACATGCAGGAGAGTGGGCCTCGAGGACTGGACTTGAGAACCATTAGGTACTGTACGTAAATAAGTACTAGGGATGACGCAATGCTTAATCCAATTCTGAACTTCTCAATATGAGCTTGAGAATTACATTTCCCTTTTCTTTTTTTTTTGCTGCTTCCATGCACTATACGTCTCTCTGTATCGCTTCTGTTTGTGTGTGTGCATGTGAGTCTATTCACTGGATTGAGAAAACTTCTCCTTTCAAGTAAATATCCAGTCACAACAGACTAAATATATGTGACATTATGTTAGGTGGAACCCCCGCAGTCACATCCAGTGAGTGGCAGCAGCACTGTTAGCATTCAGCCTGGATGCTAGGAAAGTGCAAACACAAACCTCTAAATTAAAGGCTGAGAGATGCACTACAAAGCAAGAATCGAGGTGATCAAATCTGCGGATTTGAAAGTCAGTTTTCAGTCTCATGAAGCTGGCTCTGTTATACAGGGGCACTGCACAAAAATGTGGCCATGTACCAAGGTAATCTCTCAGGGCCCTTACCTACATCATTACATCTTCAAGAGCCCCACCAACATGAGGGCCCTGTACTTGAATACTCCTTTTCCCCCTGAGTCTGACACCCCTGGTCTTTATACCTGGCTGGATCCCCATGCTAGACTGGTCAGCACTATTACACAGCCTATGGTCAGGACAAGGTCATGTTAAAAGCTAATGTTATGTTTTTACATAAATATATCCATGACATGAAGCTGCAGTCACATTAACATTTTGTATCATTCCATTTTAAGATAAATGGAGATGCTCTTTTCCATTTACCCCTTGCTGTTCCTGTTAAATTCCCCTTAGCTGCCAAAGAACAATGACATCAAGAAAGACACCGAAGCTTCAAGCAATCAGAACCTAGCAAAACTGAACTGACCACCATGACCAAAACTCAGTGGACCAACTGTATTATTTTTATCTCTAAAATCTACACTACTCTGCAATAACAAACAAGCTGAACACAAACACAATGTTTCCTGTAACATCCCCTTTATTTCATATTAATGACATAGCAAATTTAAAATGAAGGGAAATAGCTTAGACAAAGCACAATTTCCATCAGAAACATGCACATCTGCTGCATAACATTAAAAACAAAACCACATGGAGGGGGATAATAGTAAGACAATGACCACCAGACATCTGGCAAAGGATGAGAGCTAAATCCTGCAGTAGATCTTACAGTCAGACTCTGTAACCTCCCCCACTCCACGCACTGTATGAACCAGTGAGACGCCCAGTTAACCTTCCAGAGGGGACCATGCATGGCATGACATGACATACAGACCACTGACTGGCCTACTTCTGGCAAAGCTGGGGCATCTGTGGAGTCTGTTTTAGGCTATATAGGGTAAAGTCCTTCTTTCTCCAAAAACAGAGACAATGTTTCCTTATGTACTTGAACAGATAATGGAGATAAACCAACAAACCATTTAAGTATCTGTATCAGCTGACATCTCGACTGCTGACAAATATCAGCTCTGGGTGAATCATTTTGCATTCATAAATTGTAGAAAGATATTATGACTTAATATGATTCAATTTGTGAACACCCAAAAGTAGAGTAATGATGGCCTGCATGACTGTATCATATTGCAGGTTAATTTGGGTCCCTGGACTCGATAGATTTACAAATAAAACATTGAAAATAATAAATCAAGTGAATTGTTCAACATTGAAATCTGAATCAGCCCTGATTTCCCCAATTGTTAACTAAATATCTAGATTGACACCCTGGTATGTGTACATTAAGAAAAATGAGGAACTGGATGTCAAGTGTGAACAGAAGAAAAACTGTGTCAGTAGGCAGACACAGCCAAACAGGAAGCCAACAGTGTGTATTAAAGTGAGTGTCCAGAGAATTAAGGACAGCTATAACATCACAGGGACATTTCAGACCAACCTATCCAGGGTTTACTTTCTATTTCACAGCTGGAAAGCCCGTAAGGAGTGATGCAAAACGAGCAATTCCCATGTAAACGCTTGGTTAAATGTTTTCACCACAGAGGGTTTTGTAAACTATGTAACGTCCTTTTACAGTAAGAAGTAGCTTTTCACAGAAGACGATAAACAGTATTAGTCTTTATTGCTATCGTTCACACGTTCATGTTAGCCTGCGTGTGTGTAGCAATTTAGTAATTAGTATGAATTGCTTCCGTTATTGTTCCGTAGTGGGTTAAACAAGTTGTAAAAACACAAAGAGACCATATCAGAGGATCCTAGAGGAAAGTATTTTATGACCACCCACAGTGAACGGGTTCAATTGTACATAACAGTGGAGAGTAAACAGTGTAGAGGAGACGCTAACACTCAGAAGTAGTGAACCGTCGTCGCTGCTCACCTTTTGGGCTGATTTCCCGTCTTCTTCTTTTTCTGTTACCTACAAGTAGAGACAAAATCCTCTATTCTCATCCTCCCCCTCGCTGTTCAGAGTGAAAAACGCTGTCACCGAGCTTAACGCTTGTCCCCAAATATCGACTAGCCTCGTCGAAATCGATGCTGGTCAAACGGAGTCAATACCCCTCGAGCACAGGTCCACATGCCGCGAGCTGGCTGCTGCAGCTGTCTGGCACGCGGCACACCAGTGACAGTCCAACGCACGCGCACGAACATCAATTGGGGGCGCGGCTTAGTAACCGAAAGTTTGAGCGTGGACTCCGTGTTGTGCAGGAACTAGCTTCAAATACGGTAAGCCACATTGTATTCGGTATTTCTGCGTCGTTTTGATATTTTAAGGTACCTACATCTGAAAAATTGGGGTTGCACCACTTCATCATTGTTATATTTGGAGTAGAAGTTGCGTTTCAGCCAGCTATTGTCCTAGGGAATTCATAGTTATTTGTTTGGATAATAGCTACAAATTAAAATGATGACGCCAGCAGTATGTATATAGTAGTTTATAAATTCATGGTACCCATCGCATCGGTATGTATCTAGTGAACAGCCAACGAAGTTTAACTCACCAATGTTTACGCTGCAAAGAAAGTAAGAGGATGAACATATTTGATATTGAAACAATTTGTCATCGTGCGCCCTCTGGTGGATATACCGTTCTTCTACAAGTGACTTCACTGTACTTGTCTAACTTGAATTGATATGGTTTTTAATTATTGACTGTAAGTAAGTAAGTAATGTAAGTAATGTTCTCAATAAGGGAAAAAATCAAAATGATTGTTTGAGCTCTGTCCAGTCTAATTCCGACTCTGATACCCTTTTAGGACGCAACAGTAGTAAACTTCACCAGAATGCTTAAATAAATTCAGTAAGATGTATCATGACATGTGACAGGATTATAAATAAAATAAAAAAATAAAATAATAATAGTAATAGTAATAATAATAATAATAATTATTATTATTATTATTATTATTATTATTATTACATTCCCTAAATGCACCTCCTATTTAAATCAGGACCCTTTTGGCACCCTGTCCTCTAATTTTGAACCAGCGAGGCAAAACATACAAGCTCAATAATGACACACTGATTTTGTAGTCCAGAAATAGCATGAGCTGCATTATATACATATATCAAAGGTGTTTCGGTATATGGAGCGCCTGTCATACGGTACTAAGGTAGAAATGGAACATGTGCTATTGTATTGTTTTGCAGTGATTGTGTAGAGGAAATCAGTCTGTAATATCATTACCAAAATCTGAGCGTTTCTGCAAGGACAGTGGTTTTGAATGATGAAACTGCTCTTACTATGAGAGGCCGTTAAAATTGTACTTTAGTGGGACACTGTAGCTTTGGCCTCTTGGGTTATTTAGACATCCTTAATTATGCCACATGTGTCATGTTGGAATAAATCCCACAACACAATTACCCCCCTTTATACATAGACTAAATTGGATCATTATATTCATATGTGTCAGTGAAAAGTTTAGTTTTTACCAAAGATGTAGTTTTATCTGCAAATCTCACTGACATCATACAGATCTCTATGTCCAGAAAAAAGCTTTGCTGCTGTGTTGAAGTCATTTTCTGCAACATGACTGAAAAAAAAAATCACTGTATTTCATTAGAAAAAAAACTGATTCTTCATACCATTGCATTTGCCTCAAGATTGAACCCTGATCTGCAACAGTGTTTATGTTTACTTATGTTACAAGAGATTTGACAGTCAATGACAGCATTAAAAAAGCCGGTGTGAAAAAAAAACTGGCCCTGTTGCTATGCAGTCTTTATTCATATCATCAAGTACTAACCTGCAACAAACCACAACATCTCAATAAAGGTCTGTAGGTGAGAATGTATATGAAAACAGTAAATGGTGATGCCTTGTTAAACAGGTTTCACCAGTTATCTTGGGATTATTATACCCGTCAACAGGGGCTGAAGCTGGGTATGTGAAGGCTGTGAGTTTAAAAAGGTCACATGACTCAACAGCTTTATATAGACACATAATACAAGTGTATGCTGTTCCATCCTCAGAGGTGCAAGGAAGCAAAAGTGTAAAGTGAGGTCTGTAAAGCTGGTTAGGGTACATTTTAAGGTACTGGCACGTACTGTTATGACTTAAGGTGGGAGGGAGATAAGACCGAGGATGGAAAAATAGTTGCAAATAATTACTGATGGAACATTTTTCTACCTGTTTGTGCATGCTGACATACTGCTATCACTGTTTGGAATGACACTAGAAATGGATCAGTATCATTACTGCAGGTGATTTTTCCACGATGTAGACTCTTTTTAGTGCGGTCGGTTGTTTGTTCAAAGAAAGAGGTACAAGGAGACCAAAAGTCAAAGAAAGAATTTAAGTTCTTGAGCTATTGGGATGAAACAGCAATAGCTAAATGATTTCTAATGATACTATTGGAAAAGCACTTGAGCCGAGTCTTCATCAGACTGTACTAAATTAACAACAATGTAACTGTACTTCTCATTGTTAAAAAGAATATTCTGAGTGATAAACAATAATTATTATAGAAGAGATGGGTGAACACTAAATCATCTGTAAACAAATCATACAATGCATTTTGTTACAGTAAGCTTCAAAAACAATGTTGCAGATAGATGTTGTTGTACTGTGTTTTAGAGGTGTTAGAGGTGGAATATGAAATCCATGGATGTAAATGTGTGTAGAGTGTTTTCTACAAGGTCATTTATTGGGGTAGTGCTTTTGTTATATCTATTACCTGTGGAAAGGAATTATCAATTGCAAATATAAAAGCATATGTGTCGGTGAGGTACTGTGACTAATCATCATAGATCATGTCTTGATATAAAGTATAGACTGCATATACAGTCTATGATGTCAAGATGTAGGTAACACTCCTTGTAATGTCTACCTTCAGTTTTAGCATGAGGTTGCAATCACTGAGTAAGACAGTTTTATTATTATTATTACAGTGTGGTGATTTTTTAAAAAATCAACCTGGCTTCAAGATTAGATTTTTATCAAAACAAGTCCATTTCATTAACCATAAAGCACTCCTTAGTGTCATTCCATTCATAACATAGACTCTATGATTCATAATATGCCAGAATATGCACACCCCAGACCCCCCACAAGCTCTATATTATAACGTGATAAAATAGCCCACTACCTACCATGCTAATGATGTAAATGATAACACCCGCTCCTTTTCTATTGTGTTTTATCGTCTTCTTCGGATAGTGCCCCTCCCTTGTACTTTGAGGTACATCAAGTACCCGGGACATCGTGTCTGTGTTCACACTCTTGTCTCACTCTCTGCGACTCTTACCTGCTGTCCTCACAACACCCCGTCTTGAGCGCATTAAACCTTAGGGGGGCGCTGTCTCCATTAGGACGCCTTCTGAAGACCACCAAAAGGGGCTGTCCCTGTGTACAAGTCTATGCTCCCATTCATGCAGTGTGTATATCAGTCCCCGCCGACAGACAGGCTGTGTCTCATCCTCGTCAAAACAGAGAACTCTGTCTTCTTAGACTGATAGAAAGGGTCGGTGAGTAGTAACTCTTCTTCTCAGACTAGCTCAGTGTTTACTTCACCTCTCTGTCGGCTGTTTTGGAAGTAGTCGTACAAATATGGCTGCAGGGGTGTTTAAAAAAAAAACCTCCGCCACCAAACAAACCCTGTGAAAACTGTCGACATGTCTGCGCACTTTAAGCTAATGTCAGTAGGTTGTGTTTCCCTGTCTGCGTTCCTGTGAGGTGTTCACAGGACTTACTGTACATTTTCTCAGTTTCGCATTGTCATAAGAGGATTTTAGGCCTGTAGTTCTTTGATATTAAGTCTACAGGAAAACAATGACTTTTCAAAGTCTACACCAAAACCTCAAGGTTGGATGTTGTGCTGTATCCACTACAATACTCTTAAATTTTTGCCATTCGGTCACAAAATTATACATTTTAGAAAGCCTCTTCTGAACCTACGTTAAAATACAAACCTCTTATGACTCAACTTTCTTGCGACCTTATGTGAAACTGTACAAGTAGGAACCTAGTCAGCACTGTTTCGTTGTTGGTCACAACAGAAATGTAGGCAAAAGTCCAAGTAGAGGTCATTCATTGACAAGCACCTGACAGCTCTTTTATAATGCAAGTACAGTCCTTTGGTTCTGTAATAACACTATAGCTGCAGAAGTTTAATGCAGACATGGTATTGTAGCAGTAGAGACATTTTGTGTGTAAATATCACCTGCTAGTGAAGGTCAGTAAAAGCATGGATATTGTCATGAATTCCTCTTTGTAACAGGATCATAAAAGTAGTTACAGCTCTGTTGACAAGAGGCTTTATAGGCTCATTATAATTTTACATAATAAACAGAGTACACCTCACCGTAAACCAGGGGAAGGAACACACTTGTGACCCCATTTCACAGGCCACGTGGGCAGGACACTTGATATAATAGGAAAAAATAAGTAGCCTACTTATGTGTAGAGTGTATCGGTCGGCTGTAAATGTATGTTTAATTTTGATGTGTTTAATGGCAGCTGCATAAAGGGCTGCAAGGTGGATGATGTGGCGTTTGCGGTCACATTCTCATCTAGCCGATATGCAACCCCAAGTGCATAAAGACTGGGGGTAGTTGACATGATTTATTAACATTAGACGGCCATTCTGATTGTACATCAAATGCTTACTAATGGCTAAAATAGGATAATTCATTATTCAGAAGAGAGGATATGTTTATACATTAAGGTGGTAATCATAATGGGGTAAATGTGCCGGCATACGACGTTTTGCGAGGACGATGTTGGCAGTTTTAGCCGGTAACTAAGCGGCGCAGCGCTGCGACCTTTCCCCCAGTTTGTGCAGCACAGGGTGGATCATGTGATGTTGGAAAGTAGCATGGGGGAAGGGACTGACTGCTGAAACACCGCTCTTTGGATGCTGCTCCTTCCGATGGCTGAAAATGCAGAAAGGACGTGTCCTGCGTTCTGAGTACCACTGCAGGTTGTTATAAAAGATAATTGTGCAAAGAGAAAGATATTGCTCTTCAGAAACAAGAATAGATCTAAGAGGGAAGCGTTGCTGTCATTAAAAGGGGAAATCAGTCGACTAAAACCGCATTCAGCAAATATAACCACGAGATGTTAGACGATGATGTAATTTTGAAAAATAGTACTTCCATGATAAACGTCATTCCTGGCTAATCAAGTTATTTTCAGTTATTATTCGTGCCTATTGTGGAGAGGTTGAAATTTCCCACTGCGTTTGAACGCAACTGGAAACTGCACTTCCCTCACGACGCCACCAATCACATATGGGCAGGTGGTTGTCTGCTGCACACCAGTCCTCCTAATAAGTAGTGGTTATAAGACAGGGCTGCATCACCTGTGTGTACTCTGTATTCTTTTAGCTTCAAACTGTGTTTTTAGGGATTGAAATCAAGATTGTATCATTGACATCTGAAAACGCCTGAAGTAATACCAAAATGCCTCAAACTTGTCATGGTCTGATTCTGGACAGACCCAAACTGTCTAGCACATTTGATGGAGTTATTGTACATTAGAAACAATTATGTCTGAAATAGGGCCCACCGATTTATCGGTGAGCCGATTAAATCGGCCAATTTTAGCCCGTTTGAGACTAATCGGTAATTGGCCAAAACTCGCCAATTTTCGCCGATATTAAGATCCTGTTTCACTTTGAAAATGTTCCGCCATTTGAAAAGTTCCCCGACTTATCCTGTAGATGGCGCAGCGACCTCATGACAGTCTTCATCCACTAACTACATTATAGTACAGCAGAGTGACGGATCTGAAGCAGGCAGCTCAGGGAGACACGAAGGAGAGTGGTCCGCCTTAACGGTAAATAAACTAGATTGTGAAGTAGACAGTAAGTCAACAAGTTTCAGTTCAACCCACTTCACGATGTTCCCCACTGTGCTGGTCTCGGTCACGCCGAGTTAACGGTGAAGCACCATGTAATATGCAAGCTAAAGTTAGAGTTAGCCACCTGCTATTAGCCTTGTTACACTGTTAGCCGTGCCAGTAACGGTAGAATAAACAACAGTACATATTACGTGATCGAGCTACTTCTCTTACTGAGGCAGCTTCATGTCTCCAGGCGAGACCTGACCAGAAATGTGTAACGTCTGCATATCTACAGTACATATGTATTTTTTATAACTTCCTAGAAATATCTAAAAAAAAATCGTCCGATTAATCGGTAATCAGACCCCCCCCCTAATAATCGGCATTGGCCCCAAAAAATCCATACTGTTCGGGCCCTAGTCTGAAATATACTGCGTTCATAGTCAGTGACCTTTTCAAGCAAATCCAGCTGGTAAACTGAAAAATCAGCTTGTATGTTTACAGGTTACTCGGTCGTAAAGATATTGGGTCTGTAGTTATAAATGCCAGGAAGGATAAACATAAACACAACTCCTGCCAAAAGAAAGAGCTTCAAACCAGACTACCCTGTGATCAGGGTTATTTCCCAAAGCTCTCATAACAGAGGAGATTTTGTATTTACAAGACATTTACGAGGAGGTGGGAGTGATTGAGCTGCAAAGAATAGACTTTGGCATCTCTGCAGTTTTAAAAAAAGATAACCCACTGACCTGTCCTCTGTGTCTCAACTCTCTCATGCCCCTCAGCCCATACCCACAGAAACACAATTGAATAAAAATGCACCCTAACGCGTTTTGAACCTGTTATCTCAGCAGTTTTAAAAAAAGATAACCCACTGACCTGTCCTGTCTGTCTCAACTATCTTATCATGTCCCTTACCCTATACCCACAGAAAAATAATTGAGTAAAAATACACCCTAACATATTTTCAACCTGTTATAACTTACTAAGGTTGACACATGTTAAATGGTTGTACAGATAAGGGTAAATGAGTTTGCTTAGCCGCATCAACACTCTCTTAGGTGAAGGATGTGGTACCGGTTTAACTTGTTTAGAACTAAGAGACAACAGATAATTATTGAAAGCATTGTTGAATGATTTTGCTTAAGATGTGTTCTTCACTAAACAAGACCCTTAGTTTCTGAGGTCTGTGACAGGATCAGAACAAATAAAAGTTTCAACTTAGACCTAGATACTTTGAGTTTCACAAATGTGACCTTGACCAGTGTACTGCTCCGCTAACCAACAGAGGTGACTGAAGACTGTGGCCATGCAGACCGATAGAGAGAAAGAAAGTGTTGATGACATAACTCTTCAACAGCTTCTCCTCTGGTTGTTTGCACACATAGGGCTGTATCTATGTTGTCTCGGGACCTTTCTACTTTGCTTCTGAGTTAGCATGCAGTTATCTGTCCGACCCAGTGCTGGCTTTGTGTCACTGTTCTCTGTAAATCCAATAAGAATCCCTTTCACCCCAAAGATATCAAACTGATTAAAACCTTGAAATTGGATAACCTGCTGAGTAGTCAAGGAATGAGAGCGACTGATTTCATGTAACTCTGAATGAAGTAGGTCAATTTGGAAGATAGTTCTGGTATGTCCTTGATAAGCTTCATTCAGGTGTGCCCTTTCACAGTGATTTTATTTATTTATTTATTTGTTTGTGAGTCTAAACTAAAAGTGTTCAGCAAAGTTTATGAGGAACTTCCAGATAAACTTAAAACAAGAAAGAATGAAGAGATGATTAAAATGATGTGGACTGGTTGATGTGTTTGAGCTGGATTAGTGGGTTTAAGATGCTATACGTCTACTTTACTCACTTTACTACCTTGCTTTTGTTATCAACAGTGACCCTCGACAGAAGTAGCCACCATGGCAGAAGCTCACCAGGCGGTGGCCTTTCAGTTCACCGTCACCCCTGATGGCATCGACCTCCAGCTGTGCCATGAGGCGTTACGCCAGATCTACCTTTCTGGCCTCCACTCCTGGAAGAAAAGATTCATCCGTTTCAAGGTGAGAGCAGTTGGATACACAATAAAGAGCTCAAAGGGTTTCTGTACAGGAGGAAGGGAATAAACAACAGGTGGGCATCACTTTAGAGGCTTATTCAATCTGACACAAACAGTCAACTCTGACAGTAGCCCTCCTGTCTGCTCTTTAGAAACAGACATCTAGGCCAAAAGCTGGCATAGAAACACTCATACTGAGTCAGTCATGACCTGCTAGTGTATTGACACACTTCTCTGTTGTTAAAGATATGTAATTAACAACAGATCTGCGAGATTTATATAAAAGAAAACATAATTTTTTCACTATATTTTGATTAAGAAGATTTGAGAGAAATGCCTTACTGAAAGAAGCTCTGTGCTGAAACTGTTAGGAGTACATGTAGCATATTTGTGTATTCGTCAGCAGTATATGTCTCAAATTTGACAGACAATTCATCACTGCTGATTGTCCCTCCCTGCATAAATGTATTTTTTTTTTTACCAGTGGACAAGTTCAAGGTTTAACCTTACATTCTTTAATTACTTCCTTCCTGTGGTGACCCCTTTGTCTTACTTTTCCACAGAATGGGGTAATGACTGGTGTGTACCCTGGCAGCCCTGCTGGATTCATGGTAGTAGTGGTGTCCTACATGTCCTACAACAAATATAATCGACTGGATCCCTCATTGGGGTTGATTGCCAAGCTGGGCCAACACGTACCAATCAGGTAAGACAGCTTGTGAGTTGCTAGGAGACAAAAGTCCTAAGTTTACATACATAGCTTCAAAAGTTTCTGTAAGCATGAGAAATGTGTTTTTTTTCTCCAAGTCAAGGATGTTGTTTATGTCTGTGTTTTTGACATAAAAACCACCCTAAAATGACTCAGTTTATGTAAAATAAGGGCACGTTTTGGTTTTATACAGTTTCACATATACAGTGCAGTTGCAGCGAAGCTTCTTTAAAAGGGAATATCAATTACTTTGGCTTGTCAGTAATACAGTTTGAGTATTGTAGTGTGGACAGCTAAACACTCATTGTTTGTCAGACATTACTTAATTAGACTTTGGATTGGGCCCACTCTCGCTGTAGCTAAATGAAATCAATTGTCTTTTTGTGTCCCCCCCCACCCCTGTCTCTGTCCACAGTCGATACATGTCCACAGACAGCCAAAAGATAGTTGGAGGAGTTCTGGTGGGCACAGGCCTGTGGGTCACCATAATCATGATCATGAGGAATGTCCTGAAGAGTCTGTTGTCATGGCATGGCTGGATGCAGGAAAGGCACGGCTCTGTGTCTTGGGCCACTCGTGTGTGGATGGTGAGACAATGAATGTGTTCCTCTGTTCAGCTCGCTTCACAGCTCTTCATACAGGAATGTCACAGAGCTATTAATGTCTGATGACGTTTCACAACTGGCCCACAATCATTAACTTTGTGGGTGTGTAAGGGTAAACATTTACCTGAAAGACCGTAAAAATTCTTTCTTCAAAGTGTTACTTTGAACAAGTATTATTATCATTAATTGTTAATCAATTTTGTACATATGAAGCCTAAATACTCAAGTTGAATAGTCCAAGATAGAATTCCTGTTCTGTTTTAAGACGCCATGAGTTTGTCTTTGTATTTCTGTTGTAATTCTTACGTTAGCTCTTTTTTTGCAGGTTTTCCGATAACACAAACTGTATCTTTAAATTCCCTCTCTCCTCCTGTTTATCTTATCGACTTTTACAGGTACTAGTTAAGATTTTTTCTGGTAGGAAGCCAATGCTCTACAGTTTCCAAAACTCCCTGCCACGGCTACCTGTTCCCACTGTCAAGGACACCTGCAGAAGGGTAATTTCCACCTCATGTAGCCTAGCTGTTGAGCCAAAGTTGAATGCCGTGTTGTAAAAATCTAAGAAGAAATTCTAGAGTATTTTAGAATAAGCAAATTAGGTGGTAAAGATTCAGACTCAGGGGCTTTAACTTCACATTGCTCTTGGTCAGATTTTTGTAGATTTCAGTCTTACCCTAAAAAGATTTCCAATCTGAGTGTTTGAGTAAGCAGTGCAAACTGTTAGCATTGTGAGTTCTGTTTTGTGTCCCCAGGTCATCCTCTTTGTCTCTTGATTGTGTTGCCTGGGGCAGAAACACTAAACAAACTTCCTGCATGCCCATCTTTATCTGCTCCGGGTGGATGGATGACTCGTTTCTCTGGCCAATCTGTTTCCCTTGTTTAAAACTAACGATCCCTTTCTTTACTCTCTGTGATGACACATCTGTTTGGATAGTACCTGGAGTCAGTGCGCCCACTGATGGACGATGAGAAGTATGAGCGGATGCAGGGCTTAGCGAAAGATTTTGAAAAGAAGCTCGGACCCAGACTGCAGTGGTACCTCAAACTCAAGTCTTGGTGGGCCTCCAACTATGTGAGTTTGACATTTCTCTCCCTTTTCCTTGCTCTCCTGCACTTTTCTGTCACAGTTTTTGGAATTGAATTAGGTATTGAATAAGCATCAAACTATGAAGAAATCCAGTGTGGTTAATAATCACACCCTGAGTTCATTCTTTCTCTCTCTCTTTCTCTCACAGGTCAGTGACTGGTGGGAGGAGTACATTTACCTCAGAGGTCGTGGGCCCATTATGGTCAACAGCAACTACTATGCCATGGTAAGCTGTCTCTATCCAATTATCTGTTTGCAAATAAGAGCTCAGTGTTTTTGCTTTTCTTGGGGAGAGGAGTTGGCTACGTGATGATTCTTGGGTCTGATAAATGGAGCTTAGTTGGGTCAAATGTAATGCTCTTGTCAATATCATGGTATCACTTGACAACGAAATTAAATAATTGGTCATATAAGCAAAAATTGTAATTCTATTTCAGCCACAGTGCCAAACACAATATTGTGCACCTTTGGGTTGGGGTCAGAATCCAGTTCTGTTATGGACCCAGTTCAGCATTATCAAAAGCCTGAAAATCACCAAGGGTTGAGCTTATCAGTTTATAGATTGAGTCTAATAGACTCCATGAAGTCTCACATCCCATCAAGCCATAATGAAACCATATCACTGGTGCAGAAAAATATCCATCATCCAATTAAGTTTCTGGAAAAGTTCTAATTTCCACCCACCAGATGTTAAACCACATGAAGAAAGATGTTAGTGGTTAATTTCTCACAAGGATGGTTGAAGGCATTAAGAGGACTAAAGGTAGGCGCAATGCCTCCGACCGTCTTCCTGTCAACTTAGGTTTTGTCAAGAAACTTGAAATTTGCTGTTGTTCAGGGGTGACATATATCTCACCAGCAATATAAAATAAATGTTACCCTATGAAGCCATAAGAAGTGTTTTTATTCAAAAACAAAGACAACTTTACAATGGAGGACTTGTTATACAGGTTTAGTTGTATACAGTGAGATTTAAATATCCTTCAATTCCTAGTCGAACTCGTTTTTCCTCATAAGGTCAGTATCAAATCCGCAGTCGACCCACGTGTCTGCGTGGAGAAACATACTTTGACAATGTCTCATGGGAACTCAACACAACTCCAAGTTTGTCGGTTAGATCTTTAGTTGGCAGATCTTCAATTACTGAATTACAGAGTCAGATTTGTGAGCGTGGACCCAGTGAACTCAGCATGTTAACTCATTCACCTTGATAGGAACTCTGCCTGGCACATATCTGCAGCTCCCTCTGTAGGTTTCTGCCTCAGCAAGTTGAACAGTAGACGGGTCTGTCACTCCAGCCTGGTAATAGCTACTGCGCATAGAGCACAGCAGGTCTGTTTTGTTTGTGCAGTAGAAAGAGAAAGTCACTTTGCGTAGCGTGACTGCATGTGTTTCTTATACATGTTAGAGGAAAACAATGCTCTCAAAGAGACCGGGCCTATGTTAGGGCTAAGCTCACAACAGAAATAAAATCAATTGAAATCCAACCCAGTTTCACTTCCTCTGTATTTGACTCTTTCTACCTGTCAAAGGTAAAGTACACCATACAAATGAAGAGGTAGACTTGATCTAGCAGCACTTCATCCATAGCCAATAAAACGCTGAACATTTTTACATTTTTGATTGTATACGCATAAGATTGCCATCTTGGATCAATGATTTAACAATCTCAGTCAATGTTGTTGCTGCTCTCTGTCCCCCCGGTCTGATTATCTGCAGTGTCTGACACATGTTCTGCATGTGATCAGAGAGACAGAGAGAGGAGGACAATGTCCTTGTTTGTAATGCAACAATTGAAGCGCAGCATGTAATGTGAAACAGGAACCGCTTCATACTGTAAAAGTTATGTGCAGCCTGTGTCTGCTGATGTCCTTCTTCCTGATTCTTAGCTTTGGATTTTTGCAAAATAATGAACAGGCTTCGTCCGTAAAAAGATCACCTTTTGCAACAACATAACATCAGTGATGTTATTTTTAGTAATTACCTGTACATCAAGTTTTTTCAAACAGAAGTTGTGTTTTTGAGTGTCCTTATGAAACATGCTGCTGATAACTATTGCTAAAAATGCGTCCTGTGAGAAACACTGACCGGGACCATGGAACAACACTCAACATTCTTGAAATAGCACTTCATGATAGCGTTTGTATGTGTGCGTGAAGTCCTTGACCAAAAATAACCATAAAGAATTTATGGATGATCACAATGTACCATCATGTTCAGAGTGTTCTGTCACATCTTGTTGCCCTGTCTGAAACCATTCAATCAAATGTTAACTTGTGGTTTCCTCTTGCTTTGTTGTAGGACTTCCTGTATGTGTTCCCCACCCCAATCCAGGCTGCCCGGGCAGGTAATGCCATCCATGCAATCATGCTCTACAGGAGGAAACTTGACAGAGCCCAGATCAAACCTGTAAGTACTGAGCTGCTCTGTCTCTTTGTTTACAGCCAGCAATGATTTTTGTTTTGTAGCCAAAGTTAATCTGCAGACATTATGCAAACTTTGATACAAACTTGTCAATCCTCTGTAAATGATCAACTTTTTTATTCATGATTTATTGAATAACAGCTCTTATCGCAGCAATTTCTCTTTTAAGTGTACGATGAGAGTCACTTATCTGTCGCCACCATTTCTTGTGAACTGTAAAGTAAATTTGTTATAGATAGTCTCACCAGAGATTGTGTGGAAGCTGGATAAAGTCCTCAGCTCACCCTGTCTAATTTTGACCCCGGAATGAGCCGTGTGCTGCGCTTTCTGCTTTGACTGAAGCCTAGTTGTGCTACGAGCAAAACTAGATCACAAGCTCTTTGTGAAGGCTTAGAAAAGACGGCTTAATGAATGCTGGAGATTTCACTGACATGCTGTAGTGTCATTTCTTTCCCGCACCTCCTTCAGTCCTCCCTCTTTACCAACCTGCATGATGCTCTTGTGCAAATTCTTTTGCATTTGCACAATCCTGAAATACAAACTACAACACATAAGACAAATTACATTTACTAATTGGTCAACATCCAATGCACGAGCCTTCTCTGTTACAGACTCACACTCAGTTGTCTCTGTTTTACTGTTTTGTCCCTTCGCTGTGTTGGACGCTGCGTTAGATTTACTTGCTGGCAAACAAGGTTCCTCTGTGCTCGGCTCAGTGGGAGCGGATGTTTAACACCACCCGCATCCCTGGTTCGGAGACAGGTAAGATGAGGGCACACCTCTGCAGTGCTCTCTGATCCTTTACCCTGTGACCCTCCTTATTGTCATGGCAACAGCCACTGGAAACCCTGACTCCAGACTTATTGAGGACAGCACAGCCCTGAAACAAAACGATTTCTCATTGGCTTTATCAAAAATGTTTTTAAGGCATGAATTTGGACAGCTTGAAAATCAAATTTTAATCATCTGATTCGTCAAAATTTTGTGTTTTTTGATACAAATATCAGGGTTTTGCTGGGTGTCAATGAGATGGCAGACCACTGGTTTCTGGACCCTGCTCATTCCCCTCCTCTCTGGCAGCCTTCTGATGTCCCCTCTGCTCCTTCAGACTGCTTATCAAACCGATCCTCATCGCTCCCTCTCCTCCTCATCCATGCTCACAACCCTGTAGGAGTTCTGCTGCTGCTGCTCTCTCGGGATTTTAGTCGATTAGTTTGTCATCTCTTTGTTTTTGACTCTCCCCTTTTGCTTTTCAGCTCATGCTCCTACACACTATTCCCATGTGCTCAGCCCAATACGAGCGTATGTTCAACACCAGTCGTGTCCCAGGGGTAGACACAGGTAGAGTCTTTAGCAGTGCCGCCTCCTCCACACTACTCCTACTGTACCTCTCCTTGGGACATTTGTCCATGTGTTTGACTAAGAGATAATCTGACCGCCATGAAGTAGTAATGCATGTGTGCTGGTCTGTGCACAGTCAAGGACTAATTTGCATGAGAGTCAAATTTAGTTCATGTGTTGAGAAGGCAGTAAAATAGGGATAGTGATAAGGTAAGGCCTGTAAGTGTCAGTGGGTGTTGGGTTGGCCTGGAAAGTGTGTATGTATATATAATTATTTAACAGAGGTAGTTAATAGTATTTTAAATACATTTTAGTGTATGAGTCATGCACTTGGACAGAAAAAAGACTAATCATTTGTTTACGAATGAAATAAAATGTTGACGTGCTGTCGTAGAAGAAATAACACGGGTTTAAAAGGCATGATTTAACACTCCGAGCTTAAACCTCAGGACCAAGACCTTCAGGTCAAATGTGTTCATGTACTAGAAGAGAGAAACTTGGGTCCCTGGCAGACTGTTTTGAGTCTCTGGCTCTAGAAGACAGATGTACATGTACATGTACTAAAGAAGCATGAAGATTTTAACAAAGCAGGAATACAGGAAGAGAGATGATGCTTTGGTTTTGTAGCTGTGCAGGACACTTATTTTTCATGTTAGGTGAAATTAAACTCTATAAGGTGTGTTTGTGGACAGCAAGTTACAGTTATTGACCCAGCTAGTGTGTGAGTGGAGTAACATTTGAAATGAATCTAAAGTGTCAAATTGAGCATACTTCTAGAAGTGATTCCCCAAACCAAGTGACTAAGATAATATGCTCCCAAAGGTCAGTTAACATAGTTGGAGGTGCCCGAATGGTCTTTTTACATCCGATCCTCCAAAGAAAGATAGCATGCCATGTCAAATGTTGAGGGAAACAAAACAGATTTTTATGGTTTGCCAATCATTTAAAGCATTTATTTCATTGAAAATAGTGCAAAAAAACATTGAACAAGGACAACAACATGCTTAAAAAAGTAGTGTAATGCAAGAAGAAAGAAATCTGGAGGAATGTCTCCCAAATGATAAGGTGAACAGGTTAGGAACATTACATTGGGTTTAAAGAGGACAGTCCAAAGAGGGTGAATCTCTCAGACGTGAAGATGGGAACAGGTTTACCACTTTGTGAGAGACTGCAAGAAAATTAAGCTCAGCAGAATAATGTTCCTGAGTGTAAAACTGAAAAGAAACAATCATGATCATCAGTACATAATGTCTTGAAAAGATCCAGAGGATCTGAGGAAATCTCTGTACAAAAGAGACAAGGCACTCCTGGCATGGGTAGTTCACACATCTTGGAAGACTAACTCAGTGCTGAACAACATATACAGGTTTTAGAGCAACATATGCTGCCATTTAGAGGTTACCTAGTTCATGGAAGACATTCATGTTTCAGTATGACAAAGCCAAACCACATTCTCCAGGTATTATAATAGCGTGGCTCCAAAGCAGAAGAGTCCAGCTGCTAAACTGACCCGCCTCCTGATTTGTTCCCCACTCAAAAAAAACAAAAAAAGGAAATCTCAAACTATAGTGAAGCTGAAATCTTACATCAGGCAAGAATGGTAGAACATTTGACTTCTAAACCCAAGGAACTAGTGTTAAACGTACTCCTGTGGCAGATTTTAATAATTTTATGGTTTAAAATTTAAAACGAATGTGTTTTTCATGAAACAATAATTCTATTTTTAACACTTGATAAGTGTCTTTTTGCACTGTTTTCAATTAGTGATCCAATAAAGGTGTAAATGATTTGCCAACCATCAAGTTCTGTTTTTTAATGAACACGGTATCCCAGCTGTTTTGAAGTTGAAGTTTTAAGAGGAACAATGCCATTTTAGTTTTAAGCAGTATGAAAGATCAACCTGGATGTGACGATATTGTTGTTGCTAGTGTAAGTATCCTCCCCTTTGTCTTCCCTGTAACAAGGACAATGTTTGTTTGAACATTAATCATCTCTGAAACTATTTCAAGACTCCCTATCATGGTAGCCATCGATAGTATGTGATTTTGTTTTATGTCTTTGTTCAAACAAACATTGTTCCGTAGTTCATTGTATTCAGAACCACTGTCCTGTTCCCAAATTATTCCCCTTTTCATCTCACTTCCCTGCACCTCCCATTTCAAGCTGCTTTGTTTTTTATCGGAAAGCTCTTCTAATCATATAGCGTCACCTGGAATTTACTTGTTTTTTGCATTTTCAATTATACAGATCTGTTCGAGAAATAAAAGCCAACCCTGCATGTTGTTGATATCACATCATTTTTTCACTGGGACCAATAACTGATTCCTAACACCTCTGTTGTTCCCAGAAATCAAATGCTGTGACATCCACACTTGATTTTTAAGCTGCATAAAGATACAAAAACATCAACCTCTCCAGATACCCCAGTTGTCTTCTTTTCTCCCTTTTTCTCTATCTATTTCTTTAATGCTGGTCCCTGTCTCTCAGACATGCTTCAGCACATGAACGAGAGCAAACACATAGCTGTGTACCATAAGGGGCGCTTCTACAAGGTGTGGATGTTTTATGACGGCCGGCTGCTGCTGCCACGGGAAATAGAGCAGCAGATGGAGAGGATTTTGGCTGACCAGTCGGAGCCTTCTCCGGGAGAGGAGAAACTAGCCGCACTGACCGCAGGGGAAAGGTGAGGGGCTTTTCACAGCAAACTGCGGCATTGAGCAGACCACACAGCTGGAAGAATATATTGTCAATATTATTGTTCAAAGTTTAGCTTTACTCTGCAAAACAGTAGTACAGTCTCTTTGTTAGGACATTGGTTCAAAAAGTGTTTACTATGGTGAGCAACCCTGCTAGCTACAGGTAAGGAAGTTAAGCCCAGCTTGAAGTAAGGCTAGTAGTTGTGAGCACTCCCTGTATATAGAATGAAGGAAAGATGCAGGCCACTCTTTAGATGAACAAAACATACCAAACTACTTCAGTACCACAGATAAGCACTGAATGAGACATTAAGAAGTTATGAAATATTCAAAGGGGATAGACCAATCTCCTCAAATGTAACCACACCCAAATTCCCAGTTGCAAAGTGGCTTGAGACTGAAAAACCAAAAACCGCAGTTAGAGACAGCCTAGATGATACATCCATCAGGTCCCAGAGCTGAAAGAAACTATGTGAGTTTTATGAAAACGCAAAATGGTGTGTCCATGGGTATAAAAAATACCAGAAGAGTTCCTCCTTCTCATCACACAGAGTAGAACACTCTCTGTCCATCACTTCTGTATTCCAATTTGGATCCACCTTTGACACACTTCTCTTAGGATCCCATGGGCCAAAGCTCGTGAGACTTACTTCTGCCGTGGTAAGAACAAGCAGTCCTTGGACGCCATCGAGAAGGCGGCCTTCTTTGTGACCCTTGACGACACAGAGCAGCGCTTTGAAGAGTCAAACCCAGTCAAGTCTCTGGACAGTTACGCCAAGTCTCTCCTCCATGGAAATTGCCATGACAGGTGGGGCAGAGAAACTTTCCACACCATCTTAGTATTTGTTTTGATTGGAGTTAATAGCACGTCATCATTCCTAAATGGACACCTTTTTATTCTGTCATTCAGGTGGTTTGATAAATCCTTCAACCTGATAGTTTTCAAGAACGGCACCATGGGACTGAACGCAGAGCACTCCTGGGCAGATGCTCCAATCATTGGCCATCTGTGGGAGGTACATAAAAATAGTTTTGAGCAGAGGAGCTCTGAGCTCCTGATTATGTCACAGGTCATACATATACCTTCATCGATGATAACTGTTTACATTTTATTGCTCAGCAATCTGGAGCGATACATAGAGAGGATGAAATGTATTCATATTCTGATCGGCAGGATATTCTTCAGAGCTTTGAGACAAAAGTGTGAAATCAGCCAGTGTCTTAATTCTTCATTTAACTGAGCTGCGAATGATAACATTGAACTCTGTTTCCCAGCATGTTCTTTCCATGGATCCTATAAAGCTGGGATACACAGAGGAAGGTCACTGCCATGGTGGTCCCCACCGTAACCTGCCAGGTCCTCAAAGGCTGCAGTGGGAGATCCCTGCTGAGGTAAGGACCAGGTTGTGTTTCTTCAGCATGCTTCCTGACAGAGATGGGGATTGTGGAATCACCAAGTCATCTCAATGCCATGTGTTTGTTCTGCTCTGTCACTGAACCAGCTGCTTCCAATGAGCAGCCAGGAAGGTGAGCTCATAAGTGAATTCACCTGGTTCAGTAACTGAGCAGAACAAATACATGGCACGGAGATGGCTTGGTGACTCCACAATTCCCATCTCTGCTTCCTGATATCTTCAGAATAAAATGTGTTTTAGTTTTTAAAGACCGCATTTGAAAGCAGGGAGAAAAACTGGTGAACTTGAAGAAGAAAGAAGTGTTCTTAGGGTTATAAGGTGGCTGTGGGGTACTGCCTTTGGGTTAATATTCACAGCCATTGGCTTCCCTCTGCTGGAAGCTGGAAGTATCTGCACTAGTGTTTGTATTTATGTTACTTAAATGTAGAAAAGTACAGACCTAATTTAAATTGAAAACTGAGTTACACTGACAAAGAAATGTACGTACAAGTGATATTTGTTCTTTATTAATATTTACTAATATTTTCAAATTAAATGCTGTCATCCATACCATACTGCACCTTCCTAGACTAATGTATGACTCTGTGTTACTTTTTTAGTGCCAGGAGGTCATCGAGAGCTCCCTGACAATCGCCAGGACTCTTGCTGATGACGTGGACTCTCACATTTTCCCCTTCAACGACTTTGGTAAAGGTCTGATCAAGAAGTGCCGCACCAGTCCTGATGCCTTCATCCAGATTGCCCTCCAGCTGGCCCATTACAGGGTAACTATGCACATTTCACCAGTTACTTGGCAAAGTTTCATAACTCCTCCAGTCACTTAATTGTCTTTAATGCTCTTTGCATTGTGTGCATTTAGTGATACAAAACCAATGCTGCCCTGTAACACTCTGCTTTCACTCCAGCAGAGGGCAGTCACGCCTTGTCTGCCAAAATATCACTGTAGGAAGCCATGAATGATTGAATGAGTTATTAAGATTTAGTTTGAGATGATGTTCATTTAGCAGTTTTTGATAGCACCTAAAAACAGCAGAAACACCTAAAAAAAAAAGACGATCATCCAACATCTGTTTAAAGTTTACGTTTGCTACCAATTGGCATTTACTTTTCTACCTGCCTTGGTTATAGGAGAGGTGTTTTTAATATGCTCCCGTTTCCTTGTCGGTCAAACCACAAGCTTTCTACAATACTCTGTTTTTGAACTGATAATTTTTAATTTTGTAAAACTGCTTTCTTTTGAAATGTATTTATTTATTTTGCTGACCTGGACCATCTCTCTATAGGACAAAGGGAAGTTCTGCCTGACATATGAAGCCTCCATGACCCGTTTGTTCCGTGAGGGTCGAACAGAAACTGTGCGCTCCTGCACCATGGAGACATGTGCCTTTGTTCGCTCCATGATCAGAGATGAGACAGTAAGGCTCATTGTATTCTCATTGACTGGTATTTAATCAACAAGAGCATGCTGTTTGATTTTTTTTGTTATGTGTTTTTGTGTCTCTTCAGAGAGAGGAGCGTCTGAAGTTGCTCAAACAGGCAGCAGAGAAGCACCAAAACATGTACCGCCTGGCAATGACAGGGCAGGGCATCGATCGCCACCTTTTCTGTCTCTACGTTGTGTCCAAATACCTGGGAGAAGACTCAGCCTTCCTCAAGGAGGTATGAGATGCTAATGTATTTTATACTGTAAGCTGCCAGATTTCCCCAAACAGTGTAACATATTCCATGAGTATAACCACAGACTAGCAAAGGTAGTACATTATATTGTATTTTTAACATTTATTACAAACTAAGTGGCTTTTATTGAGGCCTTCTCATGTTATGGTCTCAAAGATTGATTAATTTGTCCTAGATTGGCACAACAAATTAAGGGTGAAGTAAAATATAGTCAAACATTCAAAGCAATGGCTTTCAGTTTTCCATTAAGGCTTGTCTGGAGTTGAAAAAAAACTATTTCTAACTGGAAGAAAATACAAAAATAAATTGTCCGTGAACCCACAGCACATACAAAGTACACAGATATACAAGTAAATTCAGCTCACTACTTTGTTACAAAATCAAAAACTCATCTGAAGCTTAAAAAATATACTTGGACTCAGAAAGTTGCTTTCACCAGGGACTCAAATGCACTGTATGTTTTCTTTTGTTTAGGTCTTGTCTGAGCCATGGAGACTGTCCACCAGTCAGACCCCTCTGCAGCAGCTTGAGCTTTTTGATCTGGTCAAACACCCGGAGTATGTGTCCTCAGGAGGTGGATTTGGTCCTGTGAGTTAACATTAAGTTATCATTTTTAATAAAGATCTGTCAAAGACAGTGGGAGGACAGCTGCCCTACATTCTTCCTACTGAAAAAGATCCACATTTCTACCATATCTGGACTTTGGTTTGGTAGCTTGGAGAGGTGCCAGGTCACTTAATGAGCACTTTTGAAGTGCCCCAGAGCAAGGCACTGAACCCACCACCCCCACCCCCACCCCTTCATAGCTCATGGCAGCGCTCCAACCAGGGCAGCAAGGCCATTATCTGACATCTCTCTAAAGTGACTTAACCTCAACATAGTGACACATAGTAAATAGTTATTTGGTGCACATTTCTACTGAGAGTATGACATATGTCAGTCACCCTCATTTTAGTAATTGAGTGTCGTGACTCGTAGATGTTAAACTCCACCTTCTTTCCATCCTACGCGTTTCCTACAGGTTGCTGATGATGGTTACGGTGTCTCTTACATCATTGTTGGTGAGAACCTCATCAACTTCCATATCTCCAGCAAGCATTCAAGCCCAGAAACAGTGAGTCATCTTTTTAATTTCTAAAAATAAAATTTAAATTACAATTTCTAAAAAATTATTACAAAGGCATGACTTTATGTAGAAATGTTTCAAATATCCTTCCTCCATCATTGTGTTATTTCAGGACTCCCACCGTTTTGGTGCTAACATCAGACAGGCCATGCTGGACATTCTGGATCTCTTCCAGCTCAACAAGAAAAATGTCTAAATGTGTGACAAACACTGAAAGTTGTTTTTAGCAAGACAAATATTCTTCCTGAAGTTTGTACAGAATTGATTGTTGGGTTTGGGGTTATTTTCTAAGTTAATTAATGTTACAGATTTGAAGATATTTGAGAGGTATATGGAACCATTTCTGTCTATGTGTGCAAGGCATTTATTTGTACTGTACTTATGTCTAGGCAAGGTGAGATTGAGGTGGTGTTGGGTACAGGTAGTGCACAGATCGTAGTTTTTATTTCCAGAACTGTACGCACCGGTGCCTTAGTGACCCACAAATGTAAAAAAGGGCAGAAAGGGAGGAGAACAGTAGAGCTGCTGTAGTCTGAGATCCAGTCTGTTTTACCACAGTTAGATATTTCAGCTGAAGGTTTGTATAGCAGCATCATCTAAACTCTGGAACATGTTTTAAGTTAAGCAATATTTTCCCATGTTTTATTTTTTCTCAATGTAGAACCCCTAAGATATTTTTTAGATTTTGGCAGCACCTGAGTCATGTGTAACTGGCCAAAAAAGCAAATGTCACGCGAAATAACACTAACAAAAACAAATTGCATGTGGCCCTGGTGTCCATATATTTCATGTGGTTCAGCTCAAATAGCGGGATTTTCAAACCTTTAAAGTATCCGGTAATTTGTTTGCTACAGAGGCAGGCAGGAGTGAAACAGTGGTTTTACAGTCAAAGTAATAATAGATACCCAGCATTTGTCTGTATACCAGCACAGGGGACAAGGAACTGTTTCTACTGTCCAATCAAAACATTTTTATTTCCTCCTGACTGAAGATCGCAGCTAATATGTTGTGTTTTTATGTGCAGTAATTTCATGAGGTAGTGGCAGGGGCAGATTACATTTGTGCATGTGTGTTGTTTTTCATTCTCAGGTTTTACTAACTTGGCCTTGTATTCTAGGTTTCAGGCTACAGCATTTGAAGGTTTTGCTTACAATGCAGTACAATATAACTGCAAAGAACTAAAAGGTAGTAAAACAATTAGTTCGCAGCGGAATTGAAGGATCAGCAAAAGTGGTGTGTGTCAGGCAAATCTCACTTTAATGAAATTGGCGACACAAGACTGACTGACTTTTATCAGACTTTTTTTTATTTTATTTTATTTTTTGAACATAAAAGGGGGGTTAATTATACTCTTAATAGTTTTGTGCACTCCATAACTGGCCTTTTGGTTCAAACTAACCAATGTCTGAAAATCTCAGTAGCCTGTTGTCAAATGAACATTGATGTTAAGTTAATGAGCTAACTGTAAAGTTGTCAGTACAATGGTTGCAGCTGTAAAGATGATAAACAGAATCGCCTAATAGCTTGTAATGTCTCTGGTACAATAGGATATCTTTGTTTTGGTTATGCTTAGGAAGTGCAAATATAGAGGGGCTGTCATGTGTAGGAATGCCTTTCTGTTATGTATATGTTGTCAGTTCATCATATATTATTTATTTTTCCAACGTTTTAAAATGTTTCATGCAGAATTCTGTGCACTAAGATAGAGCCTTGCTAATTGATGAAGAAAAACAGACAAAATGCTTCCTTTTATTTTTAACATAAAAGTTCAATCATCAGATTTTGCAAGTATGTTGTAGTTGTATGACTTTTTATCTCGGTAGACCTCATGTTTACGATGCTGCATGGTTTTTGAAGATCAAGCTGTATATGTTTGCCTTTAATTTAAAATGTGTAAAAAGACAAGCAGCTGATATACCAAAACATGTTTTAACAATAAAGTGAATGTCTGACAGCTGCGTCACTCCAGTCTGTTAACTCTTTATTTTTGATTTCTTGAATAAGTTCAAGTCCTACTCCAATCATTTTTTTGTTTTACAACTTCAAGTGTTATCAGTGGTCTTTAAATTGTGATTATGAAGTTTTACAGGTGTCATTTTCAAGGGCTTTTCTTCTGCAGAGCACCAGTAGCCCATTACCCTCTGAGTGGTGGGCGGAGACAGCGCTGCTCTGCACACTGCTCTTCATGCTAGATTGCAGCCTAAAATTTTTAGTGTAGTAGAAGAAGCAGGTAAGATAGGAGCTATTCAGCCCTCAGACACTAATGCCTTTTGGGACATGATGAAAGCAAATTAGCTTTCTTACGAGCATTGGAATCCGCTACCGCACACGCTTGTTCTGCAATCATCCTCTTTACTTCTCTGAGTCTGGCTTGCATAGCAGGGCTTTGGGGGCGGAGCTTGGAATTGTGACGTATGAAATCTCACTTTGTCTGATTCTGCCGTTTGGGTCTGCCAGAGATTCACAGTGATTTGAATGTAGAAATACTCAGAAATGCATTTTCACACTTATTTTTCCCAAGATATGTCCTGTAGCATCAGAAAAATGCCACATGAACATGTAGACAACAAGAGAAACATGGTTTTCATCAGAGTGGGTCTTTCAGGACTGAAAAAAAGAGTTCCACAGCTGTTAATTTTGGCACTAAGCAAGACATGCAAGTCTGATAAGAAAAAAAATAGAAGGAAAAACTAACCAAGTAATCTTAAATACGTGTCTGTGAACAGTGTGAGGAAGCTGCAGTATTGGAAGGAAACCCAAGTAAGCATTGACAACTCAATACTCAACTTGGGATTTGAACCAGCAACTTTGTGGGGCCACAATACTAACCATTGTCGCATTGTACAGTTGATATTTAAGATTGGCCTAACATGCCAAGTAACTACCAGAGGACAAATATTGACTTTTTGCTGAGGCGAGAGCAAATGTAAATGTAGTATGGTCAAACCTATCGCCTGTGGTGGGCATAAACAGCAGGTCGTAGTGTAGTTCTGAAATTCAACCAAGTAGCCCTAGTCATGAAACTAAAAAAGGAAAATGCAGTTCATCATCAGAATCTCCACTTAAAGCCATGAATATCTGAACTTACTATCATGATTGACCTCAAAGTAATCGAGACATTTCGATGTGATATACTGACAAACTGCCATACCTTTAGCATGCTAATTTTTGCTAGCCTCGTATTCAGCATCCAGCAGGTGTTTAGCTTGGTGTTATTATGACCCATCTTCTTTATCCAAAGGCTCAGTGAATCAAACCATCTCCTTCCTCGAGAACCAATGAGGCTTTAGTATTTCCTGTCAAGCACAAAGGTCATGTACTTCACACCGTCATAATGGTTTAGCGCCTGCTTATTTTGGATGCTCAACCCTCAGCTGCATCAGAGGGTTAGCTTGCGGTCACGGCTACGTTTACCAGTTTTTCTTGGGTATGACAATTTGTAAACCCCTTGAAACAGGTCTGGTGTGAAAATGAGATCTTTCCCCCTGGCTAGGTGTTTACTTAATAGATGGGAAGTTTTAGCTTGGCATGTGACCAGGTGGTTGGGCTCAACTGGCATCACCCAGGAGCAAATTACATCTCTGAGGGTGATAGAGTCCCCCCAGTCCCCCCTCCACTGGTGTTGCTCAGGGGCTATTGAGCTAATAACTTAAATTAAGCAGAAAGACGTTCAAAGGCATCATTGAGGTGACAAACATCCAAGGAGGGTCCTCTCTCTCTCTCTCTCTCTCTCTCTCTCTTGCACTCACACAACTCCACAATGCTACGCCCGCCCTGATGTCACCCTGCTTGTAGCTTCCGATAGCAGGCTAACATTTCAAGCCTGCATTCCTGAGGTCTGCTTACTCCTCATCCACTCAGGGATCCTGTAGTTTGGCCATTTGAGAAAAGGATCACTATCAAAGCCAGTCCTGCTTACATCTTTTTCATTTATGTCTTCATTAAAATTGTGATATGAATTATTCCTTATTGTCCCATGAGAACATTTCTGATTTTGGTACTCCAATAAAAGATTTTAAAAAATTTATCCTCTTCATAAAAGCCAAGTATGTGAAAGTAAAATTCAATAAATCCAAACATTATTTTTTAAGTGACTCCAGCCGACTGGCTGTGGGACAGGCCTTTAAATTGTACACCTAATTGGCAAGCTGGAAAACCCATTCACTCAGGAGCAGACACTGAAACCTAAAACCTTGACTTGCACTTTCTAAAAGTAGACTTTGGGATAGATCTGCGGCCTCTGCTTGTCACCAGATTAATTCATGTGCCACTTGCTCCACAACACTCCCAAAAAAATGATGGTAGCCAATGTTGCCTCTCTTATTCGAAAAGCGTCTCTTTCACACAGGAGCGAGGACGCCTCCCATGTTGTCCAGTATTTACTGGTAGCTGTTGACAGAGGGAAAATATTGTTTTAATTTCAGCTACTGTATGCAGATCGTTTGTGTCATTCTTGATTCTGGCTTTGGCAGGACAAATTGTTTTTCCTGCATTGCTGAGCTGCTTACGCAAGCCCCCTTCATGCCCAAACTGATTTGATTAAACATCAATTTAGAGATTTGGGAGGAAATGATTGGACACTGTGTTCTGCTGCTAAATGTCACTTTAAGGGCAAATGTCTTGACGTAGAATTTGATGAGAAATTATGCAGCAGTTTAATTATTTTGAATTAGAGTGAACCTCACAGGGAGAATTTCACTTTTCAGAATCATTCATAATCAGAATTATATAATTGTCAGGAATAAGATTGTTGTTCCTTCTGAAAATTCATAAAACTTTATGTAGGTCAGTTTGGGGTTTGCACACAAAAAAGCTGTCTAACCTCCTCTGTCCCCTGAGGCAGAGTCCTGTCAGGCCTCTATCACTGTAACCTCATCACCTCACAAACCATAAAATCATAGTAGAGCGCCTTGTGAATGCTATATGGCTGAGAACTGCACCTCGAGATTTCTCAAAAGTGCCATATGAATCTGACAGAGTAAGACGGGGGTGTAAACGGAGAGGGCAAGCTCGGAGGTTGGCGTGGAGGGACAGCGCATGTCTGCGGGCAGCTGCACCTGTCTAACTGTGCTAAAGAAGCGGGGTCCTGGGGCCCCAAGGTGGAACTCAGCCAAGGGGCAGCAAGAGAGGAAGGTAAAGAAGAGAAGCTCAGTGGAGGTTGAGCCGAATGTGATTCCCCTGAGAATCTCTCCTACTGCATGCTCACTCAAGCTATAAATAACTTTTATTAGGTTTAAGTAGAATTAGTGGAGACAGTGATGGTCAAGCATGCTCATGGGTATGCAGAAAAGGAAGAGCGAGAAGTGTGAATGATAAAAGCCTTCACTCAAATCCAAACCCTTGAACAGCGGCCTGCACAGATACTCTAGATTTATACAGTATGTATATTATTTTCTATATTTGATTATTTATATCAAAGATCCCTCTGGGACTAAGAGCCTATCCTGCAACCCTTTGGTAGCCAGTAAGAGACTGACTGACATGCCATCAGATAAATGCATTAGGCAATCCCCAGGACTGAACATGAAAACCAAGTTAGTGGTGCCAAAACCTGCCGTTCTTTGAGTCGCCACTTGGGGGTTGTAACAAATAGCCACTTAATTCAGTTAATCTCTGTACTTCACTGCTCAGTTTTACTGCAGAATTTAACTTGTTGATAGTCTGGTACAAAATCATTTTTGTTTTTTTTTTAAGTATATTTTTCTCAACGAAACCATACAAAGCTTTGATTTTCCTTTAGATTAAATCAATAGTGATGTGCTATAATCAGGAAATGTGTTAATACACAGCTAGGTTAAATATTATTTGTACCACAACAATGACAAAACAGAGGTAACTTTGGTCTACTCGCTAGATAGTAAGATAGTTGACAAAATGTCACCAAACATCTCATTCTGGTGAATAGCTCATTACCCAGCCAATGAATTAGCCATTGGTGCAGTCTGTATATCTTCTGTAACTTGAACAAATGTGATTTTTTTCTGTCTCCAGAAAAAAAAAAAAAAAAACTTGGCTGCAAATCAAGAGAATATTCATGTATTACACAGTCCATGCATAGCTATATACAATCAGACACTCTGAAGCAAGCTCTTGAAATTTGCACTCAAAGAAAACTAAAGTACTTTGGGAATTGGAGTAAGAAAATGTAAACTTTATTGCAACTTTGTCATTCTAAGTTCTCTGAATTACAGAATAGAAAAACACTTGTAATGGCACAGTCATCGTAATATGTACATTGCTGATACTGCAATAATCCAGACACTTGGGTCGTCCAGATTCAAGAGTGGCATATTAAGGCACATGTTTCGCTCAGAGGGAGAAGGGGAGGAATAACACATCAAAAGCTTTTCTTGCAACTCGTACATGAACATGCAACAGCATTCCATAAAAGGCATTGGAACAGGAACTAGAAAGTCCCTCACATCAAGGGCTTGGTTGGGAAATCACAGTTTGTCCATTGTACATTCAGCTCTAGGAGAGATTAAGACATCAATACTTAGCAACATGTTATGTTGCGCTAAGACTTTGGTGATGTGATAAGCTTCGGTAGACCTGAGTGTTCGAGTTGATACAGTAAACTTAATACATCAAAGTTACACAATTGATTTAGTGGTAAAGCATTCACTTAGTAATATGTTTTCAGAACCTGTATCATCACTGCTGGCCATTTAAGATTTTGAAGAACAAATCAATAAAGAAAAGTTACTAACAAGAGCACCATTAGCTTCCTACCTCTAGACAAACCAATAGGGCTATAAGATAAATACACTTTTGTATCAGCTAGTTTCTATGTAGTTTTTTGATGAAAATCACTTTACTCGTGTTCATATAATTTGTCTACAGTGTTTAGTCAAATTTGAGAATTAGTGACACAAGTCATTCTGCGGGATAAAAGTATGTAATGAGGATGTCTGTGTAGGTTCTCATTCATCCAGGTCATGGTTATCCAATTATTTGTTGAGAGGGCAATTGGACTTGTTTTAGGTTCTTTAGGACGTTTCGTCTTTGTCAAACTGAAGAAGCCTTTTGGAAGAGAGACGGAACGTCTTCAAGAACCTCAAACAAGTCCAATTTCCATTTCAACAAAGTATTGGATATGTAATTAAGGTATATTTAGTAAGCTGAGTTTTGCTAAACACGAAAGCTGAATTTAATTTAAACCCAATAGGGCTGACAAAGAGTGACAAATGCATCTCTGACTTAAAGGGAAGTTTTTTTTTTTTTTTTTAAACAAATGAAAGCATCTATCTTGAAGGATTTTGTAGTTCTCAGAGCTTTTTCCCCACGTTCTTCAGTTGAAAAATAGTTTGACATTGTGGGACAAACTAGCTTTTATTAGAAATTTTAATGAAAAATGATACTACTCTTATGTCTCTACAGTAAATTGTAAATAATTTCTCCAGCCAGGAAAAGGCAAGTATGCTTTGGAGAGTGTTAGCAAATTTAGCTGGAGGAGAGTCTTGGCTACCATAAATGACATTTTTGGGCTTACAAATACTGATTTTCTCTCTCTTTTTTTGTCGGATTAAACAAATAAAATATTGCCATATAATTAGTCTTTGGGTCAACCTAGCTTTGAGCCATGCTAGCTTTTTTCCAGTTGTTTACAATCTTGGCTAAAGGCTTTGTTTACCCTGTTAGCTGTTTCACGTTAACTAATGGCTAAAAGGTCGGGTAGCATCACGCAGATCTTCAACTCTTTAATATTTTGGTGTAAATGTTTTCGAACACATCAAACTGTCGGTCAGAAATCTCCTTTCAACCTTTTGCGGTGTTGTCAACCAGGCTACCTTTCAAACTTCATTTGGCACACAATGAAGATGGAGAAGCACATAAACACAACATAAAAAAAAAGTGAGCAGCTTCTTTGAAAGCTGGTATTACAGCAGGTTAAGTAAGAAGGTTACAGCTAATCTTAATTTAAATATAGCCAGAGTTACAATTACAGTGGCCTGGCCTCAAGTTTTCCTGGCCTACAGTACTTAGGGACATCCAGAGGTGTCCGACAAAGTGGTATGCTGTTAAATAAGTTAAACTAGACTAAAAATAAGTGCTAAGGGGTGATAGATGGTTAACTGTAATATGTAAAGCAGTGAAAAACCATAACTTGAGGTACATTCATAAAACATCAGACAACAGGCCTGATCATTTCAAGTAAAAGCCTTTCTGATGAGTTCGCAAGACATACAATACCATGGTGAGTCAGCCTTGGTACGAAGCTATCTGCAGGCAACTTCCCTCCCTACAAGCATTTCCTCCCGTAAAATCCTTTCAGACATTGTCCGTCTCTATCTTCATTTGGTCTTCTTGAGAGATTCAGATTCTTTTTAAGCAAACAAGGGTCTTGCTTTGTTCCTCCTTATCAAGAGAGCCAGCAGCAAATCAAATTTTAAAGACTGTAAAAATGCAGTATGTAAACGCACAGATTTCTCCAGAACTTACATACAAACAAAAGCAGAGAAGATTCATAGATCCGGAAACAAATCAGCCACGAGGTAAAACTGATTATCTTTTCTTTTTAAAAAGGATGAAAAAAGTCACAAAGGAAAAAACAATACAAATCATTTTTGAACCGTAAAGTGCAAGTATAAAAAAAACTTTCTAGATTTATCTCAAGATAGGACCTCGAGACAGGGTCAATGGTCTTTAGTGGAAAAGTGCAAGTTGAAAACAGCACAAAAGAAAAAAAAAAAGAAAAAAAGAAAAAAAAAAGAATTTGATTCGAAACAGTAACAGGATCAGTCAGGGAACTCTGAATCAGTCATGTGACTCAGCTCCTCCGTAAGAAAACAGCCACCTCCTCCAAGGCCACGGGGTAGTCCTGAAGGAACGTCCCCCCGTCGAACACCTGGGCGTTCTGGCTGTCCTGCCACTGAAAGCCCCCATCAGGTAAATAGATATCCCTTTGCAGTGTCCCTCTCTCAACCACTGGAGCCACCAGAACCTGGAAATACACACAGACACACACACACAGACACACACACGCACACCAGTTTTGTAAAGGAAATTCAGTTGCAAAGGAGAAGTACACCTAATAAGCAAGACATCAGGTTACAGTCGGGGAGTTTGTTGGTTCATGCACTTTCAGATGCCAAGACACTCTATCTCTCCCCATCAGAACATCATTAAGTCACCTCGTCTCCGATGAGGAACTGGTCGTCGATGGTGAAAGTCATGGGGTCACTAGGACTGAGCCACCACATCGGACGGTAGATGGGGTTTCCTGTTATTCGCCACTCCTCTGCATATTTTTCTATCAGTGGTACCACGTCCCTCTGGTGCTTTGCTATGTAGGTCCGAGTTAGGTTCATCACCTAATAGATGAAAATACAACGTACATGTTGAGAGCAAGGATGGGTTAGTCAAGTAATTTTCCACTTAGTCATTTTGAGCTCCATTTAAACCTAAAACCACTTATGTCTGCAATTAACATCCGGTCAAATATAGTTTCAAGAAATCTAGAGCAAACTGAAGCCCACAAAAAAACTGAAAAAAAAACTTCCTTAACTGAATAATCTGCCACAAGGATTGGAAAACACAATATTCTTGACAGAGAGGCCTGCAAAAGACATATGTGCCATCTCTGCACTTAAACACGCAGACAGAGCTTTAGCAGCTCATTGTTGACGCAGCAGTTTAACACTGTACAACTCTTCCTCCTGTCTCCCTCCGGCCAAACTACTTCAGCATTCCTGGAGGGGTCACATCCTCCTCAGTGTCCCAAGACAAAAACAAAACTTTACCGCATCTATAAAAAATGTATTTTTACGAGCTGGGATGGAGAGAATTTGCAGGAATTAGCTTGAAGTTGCAACCCAGTTTTGAGTGGATTCATTTCTAATTGAGAATCCAGGCATTTGTGTGGCTTTGAGGGTTTAGTGCTTTTTGATTCTATTGTGGTTTTTGCTGTGACCTGTCTGTGACTGACCAAATTAGCACACGTTCTGGAAACAAAGGTGTGCCACATTTAACTAGAGTAAAGCCTATAGAAAAAGCTCATGAATTACACTTTTTCCTCCAGAATTTCTTCGTAGTCTCACTTCATCTGAGTTTGAAGGCCACACAAGAGACCTACATGGAAAATATTGCTGCTGTCAGATGTCTCACTGTCCAAAAACCTTATTTTTATCGTTGTCACACAACTCAAGTCACAACCAATATATTCTGCTGCCTCAGTCGTCTCAGTGTTGGGGGGAAAAAAAACCCAGTCAACAGCTCCTGGTGGCTCCTGTCACTCTTGTCAATTACTCATGGAAATCTTAATTGCCACTATCAAGTATTTTTCCCAGATTTTTCCTCAAATTCATTATCATTCCTGCAGCTCTCCAGAGTGAGGGCAAGCTGTAAATCTCAGTGAGGGACAGTAATGCAGAACAGATGGACTCTTAACCACAGGTGGTGTCAGGAGGGGGCCAAGCCGTGGTTCCATTGAGAAGAAAAATAGCCTGCACAGTTTCGAGAAGCAGCAAGTGCTTCTCTATTTATCAGCAAGAGCCCGGATCCCACGTTTTTATATAAGCATCCATAACTGCTAAGCATGGTACTCTTTGTTTTCCAGACATTCAAGCAAAACACTTCACCTCTGATGTCCAGCAGAGAGGAACAGGGTTTAATTCTGCCTCTCCTGCAGGTCTGAGTTTTGATAGACCAGATCTCGTGCTCTTCTCCAAACACATCACTGGGAAATTCACAGTACTGATCCTCAAACCTGCTGAGAGGCTGCTGGGTCAACAAATTCTCCTCTCTCTTCTCTCTTATTAGGCAAGCTTATCCTCCCCAAAGAAGGGATAATCTTTCTGGCTTTAAGATGATTCATTGGCAGTATTCACGCACCACCTCACTTGATCTCTCAAGGTGAAAATCATACTTTCAACCCAGAGAAGAATGTGTTTTACAAAGGCTAACACAAGGTAATCCTACTTTGATTTTTTGGTTCAAGATTTCTTTTTGTATAATGTTGTTGTGTACCCGCTCCTCTCCGACGACCCAGGGTGGCGTGTGGAAGCTGATAACAGGGAGAAAGGCTGCAATCTCCAGCCAGCGGATGAACAACTCCTCATCTGAGACCAGATCTCCAGACAGAGAGCCACCTGGGGGAAGAGGGAGAACCAAATTAGCATCAGTTATACGTGGTTGTGTTAAATGCTGAACTTTGATTTGACATAAACCCATAAACAACAGAGTATTGCTGCTCAAATAAACTGGCAGAAAGGAGCATGTTTCACCTCTGCCTGTTGACACTGTGGCAAAAAGTGTTTCCATTAGCACTCTTAACCAAAACATTACATTGAGAATGGTTTTAAAAGCACTTTTTTTATCACCAGTCATTAGCAAAGATAAGAGAGAGAAAGGAGGGCAACAAGGAAGATAGGACGGTTAAAAAACATAATAAACTGAGTGACAGAGACATCGACCACATTGAGAGGACAGGCATGGAGCAAGCTCAAAACGACCCAGAGTACAGGCTTTTGCACCGTCAAAGGATTGGTTAAATGAGAAGAAAATGTCAAAGGACTTACAAAGTTACCAGAAAGAAAATCTTAATCGGATCTTTATGCATTTTTTGAAACACTTTTAATTAATTTCTCTTCTGTGAAAAGAAATGTGGTGTTAAATAATAGGGGTGGGAGAAAAAATTGATACAGCATAGTATCACGATATTTTGTCTGGTGATATATTGTATCATTTCATCTACCAAATATCGATTTTTCAAATTAAATGTTAATGTGAAGTCAAATCTATGATAATGGAAAAATAAAATCAACTGTTTGTTCAGTGAGGTTGGCAGACGTGGCATCATAGAGCAGGAGAAAGTTACTACAACAAATACATACGTATATATATATATATATATATATATATATATATATATATATATATATATATATATAAGGTTTGCAAGATGTGCAACATGAAAATAAACTACAGCATAAATAGGGCCATAAACAACCATAAAGGGGAGACAAATACTAAATTAGCTTAACATTTATGTTAAGTGTAAATCGCATTATATTGTATCCCAACAGTCGCTGTCTTGCAAAATGTTAGAAAAAATCCCGATAGTATCGTATCGTGGCCCAAGTACAGTGAAATTATCGTATCCTGAAAATATCGTATCATGGACCAATTATTGTGATAATATCATATCATGATAATATTGTATCGTGGACCAAGTATTGTGATAATATCGTATTGTGGGGCCACTGGTGATTCCCACCCCTTATAAATAATGTAATCTAAAACTGAAGAGCAGGAGGCTGCTTTGACTTTCCAGAGAATAGAAATATTAAGGATGGAAAAGCTAGCTAAAGTTATCATGAATGAAACCATTAAAAGTTTAATGTGTAGTATATAGCAGCATTTAGCAGAATAGACTTGGTAAAAATGGAATATAATATTTTTAATAAGTACTCTAAATCAATTTCAACCTGGATATCAAAATCACTTTGTTTTTGTTAAAGTACACAAACCTCTTACAACTACTCATAAGCAGCTCCCTATCCTTCACTGCCATCTTTCTACAGAGGCTCAGAAAAGACAAACTTGGATCATACATGTTTTTGACCCTAATGAGTGACTGCCTGAAATACACCAGTCAGAAGACAAAAAAAAGGGTCTTCTGGTCCTCAAAGGCCACCGTCACTACGCTAGCAGTTGAGGTGAGCAATGGAGCATTTCAGTCTAGAGTCTAAACCACCAGATATGGCCAGATATTCCTATTTCTACACACTGTACCCTTAAGTTTAATGTTAATTCCACCCACAGGTAGGCTAGTTAGAAAAAACTGTTGCCATAGAGACTCCAGAAATCACAGAATCAGAGGGGTTACTTATTCAAAACAACTTTTAAATCAATAAAAACATTTTTAAGTGAATACTTTGTGAGACAAGGCCCCCTAAATTTCACACCAGTGTCTCGCCTCTCCAGTTGGAATTTTAATCCACTGTAACAACTGGCTGGCCATAAATTTACGTCCTATTTGGTTTGAGTCTGGTGAGGAAGCAAAATCTAATCTAGTCCAAGGTGAAAACACCTGTCAGTAACCTATGATTTCCTGTTGTTGAGAATGCTAGTTTTACTGGAAAAAAAGCCAAAAATATGAGGAAAAAAGGTTGGCTTGGTTTTTGAATAGAAGAGGTAGTAGGAGTGTAAAGCCTATGAGGGTAAAACTAGCTTATACTACAATCTGGAGAACTGTACATGCAGAGTGCAAAGACAAGCTGACCCGGACAAAGGTTTATTGGTTTTTCTGTAGTCCAATCAGTCTTTATGATGAAATGTTTTCATATAGAGTTAGAGGGGATAATAAGAGTGACCCATAGGCTGTGGTATTACCTACTGCATCAGGAATGAGGAAGTTGTATCCCAGCAGAGTGTGGTGCAGCAGGGAGGGAATGATGCCTCTCAGGCCCATCAGGCTCCAGTCTGACTGCAGGGGGGTCATCCTCACAAACAAAGGCTTGTGGCTTGACCTGGACACAAAGACCATGATTTCAGAAAAAAACAAAATCAAGCGTTGAAGGAAGACAATAGATGAAGGAATCCCAAAATTACAAGAATAGAAGTTGCTGTTGGGTAAATATTAATAGTTGACTGAGTATAGAAGTTAGTTATGATGCTTGTGGGCCTTACTGTGTCCCTGCTGTCACAATGGTGGTGTCTCCTATCCTCGTAGCCACATCAGCCAGCAGACTGATGTAGCTGTCTCCACCCAGAGCCTGTGGCGATCGCAGCCCTTGCTCCTCAAACAGATTCCCTTCACCCCCCTCCAGTATGATGTACTCCATCCCCAGATGGGCCTGCAAGGATCCTACTCTGTCCAGGAACCAGCTCACAGCTCCTGGGTTTGTGATGTTCAGCTTTACACAGAACTTCCCCCGCCACTGACTCATCACAGGGACCTAAAGGACAAATATGATACATCAAGATAATTATTTAATTGCTAACTGTGTGTGATCTGAAGTAAGTTGTTAGGACTCAGTCCTGTTTGCATTTCTCCACTATCAACTGCAGCTCATGAACGGAGGCAGCCCACAAGGCAGATGGAAAGTGTCCACTTTGGAAAAGTTTGGTGTCTGGTTTCTTTTTATATAAGAAAAAAATGAGTGTTTTCAGAAGTTCAGGAAAGTTTATTGTTTCAGACTTGGAATATATTTCTATGAATGGATCAATCACACTGTAGAGGAAGAAAGAAGTCCCCTTATTTTGAGGGAAGAATTTTAACCACTACAGCAATGACCACAAATCAAAGAAAGGACTGTGAGCACAGCTGAGTGCTTTGCAGATCATGACCCGGCTCTCACCAGCTGTCCCTGAGGGGCTGAGGGCAGACTGAGCCAGTAGGCCTCGGTGCCGTCCATGAGGGAGGTGTGGAACTGTGTGGTATCCACGGCCAGGAAAGGGGACAGGGTGATGGAAATGTTAAGAAGCTTGACAAGTGGGAGGTCCCTGGTCAGTCTCTTGGACATCCCCCTTCTCCTGCTGTTGAGGTAGTCATGGTCCTGCAGAGAGATGTAAACATGCATTATAATTCTTCTTTAACTTGCATCACTTACATTGGCTACTTTCAGCATTAGTATCATATTACATGACTTTCATCAGAAACTGCCCTATTTGAATGTTGAAAAATACTTAGAAGACATAATGCACCAATGGAACAGCTAAATCCTCACTGCAGACTGCTTTATATTAAGCATAGTGGCTTCATGTGCCATGCAGTGATTGCATGTGATCTTGTTTCTTTGCAAACAAGTAGCAGCAACAGCATGACCTCTGTCAGAATCATTTAACAAAAATAATCCTCTGGAATTTGCACGGTGAAGTAAAGCACAGATTTCAGGTTATGTAACGTCAAGATCTTTTAAGAATACAGAGACTGGCTCCAGGAGGTGAACCTGCCGTGTGAAGAGGAGAGATTAGCAGACATTATGTAATTCATGAGAACATTGTTTTGGTTCTGATACTTAATATTGTATCTTAATAGGACCACACAAGCAAGGTTCTTTCAAAACAGAGTTGATAGAAAAGAGCCGCTTTATGAAGTATCCCAGGAATAACTTCAAACACAGGGCAAACTTATTAACCCTTATTTTCCAAAGCCAGTCATCATTGCAAATGAATACGGAAAGTGGAGAAGAAAGGTTGCAGTGTGACTGATAATTTATGAATACTCGTAAAAACTGTAGTGAAAGAAAAGCTTGGTTTATGACAGAGGATCGTTGTTGCCGGTCACACTTCTGTAGAGCCGAAAAGTTCCTGAAGTTTCCATACAGCACACTATGCTAACCCTGATTGAGGGAAAGTGAGCCAAAGGTGGTGTTAACTATATTGGATTTACCAGAAAAATTAAAGATTCGGGGAAACTTTCATTCACCAAATGACCCCCCACCCCCACCCCTCTTTTTTCAACCATTTCACACCTTCTAGGCTGGGAAACATTGTGTATTTGCCTGTAAAAAATGCCTGAACTGGACCTCTCTAATGAAAAAACATAGCAGAAAACACCTCCCCCTTCTCTCATAGGTCAGATAGCAGCATCCAGCTGGGGTCAGGATCACCTACTGATGCTAGTCTTGGCTGAAATTCTGCCATTTTTTCAACACATCCAGTTCTCCATCCCACAACAACAACCCTACTTAGAGCAACCTGAGATCTGCGATGAGAGTTTCTGTTTGTCTTCTCTCAGCTTTGTTTGCTTTGTAATGGAACATCACCAGGTATGGACTTAGATCCACTTAAGCAGTGGTCCTGCTGGTTCTGTTTCCCGACATTTCCTAAGAACATTCAAAGAAAGTGACTGGATGGATAAGGAAAAGTAATAAACATCAGCATGGAAAGAAGAGAAAACACCTTGCCTGATTTTTCAAGTGAACATACAGACTATGGAGTAAATTGATGTAAATAAATTCAGAATACTAAAAAACATACGCCTAATTTGGGACATGAATCAAAAACAGCACCATTTGGGTTTTAAACTTTATACACAAAATTTCCAACTTGAAGAAAGGGCCTCTAATTCAATTTTTTTTTCTACATTTTGACATTTCAGTGAACCTGTCCTCCCTCCCTCCCTCTTCCAGCTCCTTGGAGATCCACTTAAGAAACTCTTTCATCTCTGTCCTTGACTAGTTTCGAGCCTCTGACGGATGAACCCACCAGCCTCACAGCCCAGATCATCCAGAAATACACAACAACTGAATTATGCCAAAACTGATGTGCAAAGCAGTGAGCTGATTGTAGTAGGTACATACATGTTCAAAAGTTTGGCATTGATTGCCAAAAACCTTGAATCAGTGCAGACAGATAAGAGGACTGTCTTTATATTTCTAGATCAAAACTAATCCTACAATGAAGATTAACCTTCCTCCTGTGTTAGCTTTTACTACGCACCCACTATGTTAAGGGTCGGTTTTGACCTGTGTCTTAAATCAGTTGTAAATTACACTAAAACAATTCTCTATCATCCATGTTGATTCTCATCTCTAGGATACATTGTAAGGCTTCATTATCCATGAAAATATTGCCTATAATAGTTTTTGTTGTGGTCCTCTGGGCCTTTCTTTGTCAGTATACCCATCACACAGACATCAATACTGAAGTGATGTCTGGACATGTCTGGACATGCCCAGCGTTGTTTTTTGTGCACAGAAAGACATGGAAAAATAAGAATTTCCTAAATCTCACATGACTGGAGGAGGATCTGACTGTCAGTGTGGTGCCTGTCAGTGCACTCATGATTTAAATTTTTGCTCTAATTACTAGATATTAATCTAACCGGGTCAACAGTGACCCTGACATGACAAGTGCCATAATTTTAATAAGAGCATTTTATAATTTAGTCAATTTAATTTTTTTATTTTTAATTTGTTGAAAAAGAGGTTCCTGACAAAATTAAAAAAGGCTTGATGCAAATAAACATATTTATGTGGTTCTTTTAAGCATTTAAAAACAAAAACAGGTCAGTGCAGACCCTAACACATGAGGAGGGTTAAAAAAGTGATGGTTAGTCAACAGAATGGTTTTACAATACTTTAAGAAACGTCAACCAGTGGTTAAATAAAATCTGTGTCTTAAATGAAATGTAACATGAAAGAAATGTGATTTTAATGATATTCCTCCTTTGCTATTAATACTGTGCAGACTATTGACACTGTTTTTTTTTTCTTTTCTTAAATGAAGTCCCGGTTTGCTCACATTAAACTAGAGAGAAACTTAAAAAAGGTAGCAGATGATGTGCTTCTCCAGAGGGTCTTGACTGGCATCAGACCCTGCATTCCACCAGCCAAAATGTCATACTGCCTGAGCTACGAGTGGGTTTTCACAATTACAGAAAGCTCCTGTTAGGAGTTCTTGATTAGTTATGAAACACAAGGATGCCGCTCTATAATGTACAAAAGCAATATGAGACCATCAATGTCAAGATAGACACTATTCTAAATGTAATTTCAACGCTTGTAAGTGTTGTGAGGTAGTCGACACACTGTAGAAACAGCCTTTGTTACTTTTCCTACAGAAAAAATTCATGCTGATGTTACATTTCAACGTATTAAAAAAAAAAAAACAGGAGGAGATTTTGCTGTCACCTCCACAAGGATTAGACAAAATTAGCAACTATACAGGCTACCAAATTTTCCACAAGGGGCACCAAAGTCAAGTTCCTCTGACTGAAATTTCCGCAAAGAAACTCTAGGTATGACTAAATGAAACAGACCTCAGTCAAAGGACATACTGTACCTTTCCAGGTACAAATATTGATACCTCTGTCTTCATGGAGTAAAGGTATTTTACCAGCTGAGCTGAACCCAAATAAGGGGGTCATGGGAGACACTGTCAACAAAGTGCATGGTTGAAGTTGGATTGCTTAGTAAAGCATTTATTCATCTGAAGTGAATTTTCTTTTCTTCAGTAACTGACATCTTCCCTCATCGAGAGTCTACATAGAATAATCTATGACTCTGCATCTTTCAAGTTCAAAGAAAACTCCCTGTCAGCCTGTAGAGACCACTCATTTCAGAGAAGCCGAGAGTTCGTACCATATCAGAGAGGAGGGTGGTGGAATGTTCATTGAGGCTGATGACTCCCTCCCCCAGCTGGTGTCTCCTCAGGCGGTTAGAGAAGGTCCTCAGCTCCCTCTCCACCTTCGGCCCTGAATCCACACTGGTGAGCAGCTTCCAGAACGGCAGCCTGTGAAACACACAAGAGGAGTTGAGCATCATCTGGATTAATGTCAGTTAAAAGCTGTATTTCCACCCAAAACAATTGAAACTTCTAGGGGCAAGGAACATCTTCCCAAAGGACTCCGCACGGCCAATCTTTTACCACTACCCCTGGAACAGGGACCTCTTTGAGGGTACTTTGACTGATTTAGTCCCTGGTCTCTGTAGTGGAAACGCACCAAGCACCTCAAATGGTCGCAGGTCCATGGGGTGAGATCTTGCAGTCAAAGTACCACTTATGACTGCCTAAACATTCACTAAACTTTACCTCAGTAAACATCATCTAAACCAAACTTACCACAGTGCCTTCCTGTTTGGTAGCTCCCTCCTGTGCTGGGAGAGCTGTTGCACTGCTTCCTGGTGTGCTGCTTTGACATCGCGGGCCACACACACAGTGTATTGTAAAGGGAGACGCTCCATACTGGGCAGTGACTGCAGGCAGAACTGCTCTCTGCTGTCCACCCCCAGCTGCAGGGGAATATCTGGGGATACCAGCACCGCTACACCTGCATGGACGAGAATATGAAATCATGACATCATGCTGCTCAAATAATCAGGGACACAGCTTCAGAGACTTACATAAACATATTATATAATGAATCACTTGAAAGAGATATACGCCAAGCCTTGATGCAAAGCAATAAAAAGTACCGTACAGATGAGATGCACTGCAAATTCTTCTTATGTGACATAGTGCGCAAGTGTTACTGAGACTGGAATGAGAGTGACGGATGGAGTGTTGTAGGCTGTGTCAGCTGATATTGCTCCACTCAGATGTGAGAAAAACACTCTCCAGAATGAGATATAGCAGCGATTAGATGAGTTTACCCTGCTGGCAACTTCTAAGTGGGTAGATTTCACTCCTTCACACCAGTGTGAGGAGGGTCAAGGTAGCAAGGATGTATATTGAAAGTGGTATAGAAGATGAATTTTGGTTTTCCTTGTTAAATAAAGCAACTCTCATCTGTTAAAACCACAGAGAACACCTGCCATGTCCCACTGATGCACATGACTAACCTATGTTCCTGTGAGTTTTTGTGCTGTCATGTGTTTCAGGTCTCTATCCTGGACCTGCATGATATCAGTCACACTCCTGTAAACATTAACGCACAGCAGACTCTATAGCTAATATTAGTCATATTTTCTCTACTACGGTTGTGTGTCTTTTACGGTAAAATTGTACTATTAACTGTAATGAAACTTTTTTCAGTCTTGCAACTTTATTTTCTCAGTCCAGCCATCAGTGGCAGATGGCTGTTTACCATGACTCTGATTTTACTGAAGGTTCTGCTTGTCAAAAATGTTTTTTTTTTTTTTCTGTGCTGATTGGTTATATTGGATCTGTTGATTTCTATATGGTTGTATATATTGGATCACTTAATCTCTATGTAAAATGTCCAGAGATAACTTCTTTTTTTGTGGCGCTGTACCGAATAAGATCGATCGATCTGTGTTCAAATGTGTCCCCTGTAGCCATTTAAAAGATTTTAGCCGAGGGAAATCCCTTGTTTCTAACCCCCCTGAATGTATACACATTCTTTCATAGGCCATGTGAAATGAGGAGATCATGAAAAGCAGATAATCATGCCCGCAGATGTAGTTGCCCTGCAAGGAATGCCTCCTGCCTCTTGGGTTACCTCTACCCCCCTGTCCTCACCACTTCTCACCCATCCAGCCTGATTTATACTTCTGCATCTGACTGCTTCTGACTCCACCTGGCTTTACCTTCCCAGCTGTTTTTTTGGCCTCTCCCATTTCAAGTCCACAAAAACTGTTGCATTCAGCTCGCTCACTCGCTCCAGCTTTGACTTAAAGCAGCTCTGATGGGATTTAGAATTAAAGCGGTAAATGTGCCGATTAGATTACAAAACCTGTTTTCCAAACAGGCAGACAGACTTTATTCCCAGGCTGAGAGCCCAGGCTTGCTTCAGCTCCCCTCTCTAGTTTCAAAGGGCTCACTATTCTCCCACAGGCATGGACCAGGAGCAGACCGGATACTCATCTACCGGTTTATAATCAGATTAATAGTTGCAGAGATCAGTAGCAAACTACATAAAGCCCACCCGAGAGCCTTTCACCTCAGGGTGATTCTCACGTGTTTGCAATGGATAATGTCAAAGAGATACTGGTAACTCCTCAGCTGCCTCTCACAAGGTATTAGGTCACCTCCTTACTGCCTGTGACGGATTCATAATGATGGACAGATGTAGATTTTCACGAGGAATTGCTCTTTGATTTTAACTGTGATTTAAAAATGGCATAAAGGAATTTTCACTGGAGGAAAGGTAGCATGAAACTGAGCACTTTAGAGGGATATATTAACAGGAATAGAAAGCGGGGCAGGGGAGAAATGTCATAGCTTTATGGGAGAATAGAAGAGGAATGCAGGCAGTGGAAATAGAGGCGACCCAAGAACACCAGACACCGAGCAGCCTTGTAGAATGATGTGCAGATACAGCAGGCTGAAAACAGTGTGTGTGTTTTACTAAAGTGCACACAGGGTGGAAAGTGGAGTTAAAGTTTGCAAGCATGACTTCTCGAGTCATATTTAATTTTTATGGGAAATGACACTGCAGGGCCTCAAGGAAATGGGACAACCTGGAGAAAAGTGGCCTTATCTTTTGTCCCTTCTGCAGCCAAACACATTCGAAACACCGACTCAAGACTGAGTGTTTAAAGAGATCTACTTACACCGGTTCATATTTTAAACTCCTGCTTCATAATCATGCCGTGTGTGTGTGTGTGTCACATGCAAACACACTCATCTTTGACTCAAGGATGCATGAAGCAGACTGCTGCAGGAATCAATAAGTGTTATTTAAAGAAAGTGAAGCAGGTTTGAGGCCTTGAGTTACAGCCAAAGTGGGGTGCCCAGGAGTTAAAGGGGAAGAGAGAGGGGGGATCCTATTTTTAGAACAATTCCTTAAACACTTCAAGCTTCCCCTGAAATATTTTCCACTAGCTCTCAAAAGCAAAAATTATATGCCTGACTGAGCGTATCCCCTCACCTTAAAAGCAGTAGACAGGGAGAGGAGAAATGAATGAAGTATCACGGATTTAGTGAACGCACCATTCCAGCAACTTCTTCTCACACACCTTTACTCGCTTTTGTTAACAGGAAGCTTAAGACTTGCGAGAAATACAGAGTAAAACTTATGAGATCGTAAAAGTTGTGCACTTCCTCCTGCGCCGTCTGAGCTGGACATTTGTAGGTGGTGGCTTTTGTGAACCCGTGCAACTTCTGATGGGTCAGAGAGGATGGCGTCTCGGCTCTCACACAGCCGTCTGACCTCCCTGCTGCTGTGTTCCAGATGGGCTGCACTCTTTTACCTGTCATATTCCTCCTGTTATTTATGACACCTGTGCACACTTACAAACCTGACTAGGACTTTAAAAGGTGTATTCAAAACTAGTTTTGTATGTGAGTCTGCAAATGTGTGTGCAAGTGTGCTCAGGCATGCGTTTCCTTAACAATGGAAACTTAGTTTCTGTGCCCAACCTCAAGAAATTGATGGCCACAAAACTGGGATTTTGCCATGGCAGTAAATTTCCAATTCCACTTATTGAAAAAATAATGAAACACTCAAGAGACGTTCTCGGCACTTTTCGTTCTATCAATCAGTTTTATTGTTTCAGGAGTGAAACGCTGTGTTGTGTGTAGATATCGCAAGTGCATATTTGTCTTTTGACTATTAATAGATCAAACAAAAATATCTTGAAGGATAATAGAAATGTGCTTTCTCCATCAACCAGTTTCTTCTGCTTCAGCTCTCAGGGCAAAGTAAACATGCATTTCAGACAATTTGTTTGTACTTTTTGGTGCTTAAAAAAAAATAAGATCCACAGATCCTTCTTCCATTAACTTTGTGATAAATGGTTTTAAAGTCTCCTGCCCACCACAACTAGACCAGAAGCTGTTATATCAATCCTCTGTTGAAAAAGTCCCTCTCTGTAATGTTTCCCGCTTGTCGTCCCTGATGGAAAGTATTAGACAGGCGATGGAGAGTGGAAAATGTTTGTGGGATGATTTTCATGCATTAGGCTGCTCACACAAGGGATGACAGCTTGCTTTTGACAGCGCTTCAGTTGGATAAGTGACTCATTGTTAAATTGTTTCACCCCTGACTGGTCCACAGAGACTCTGAGCATCGGGGCAGCTGTGAAGGGGACCTCAGACTAAAACAGTCACATGCGTCCGGACAGTAGGGCCAACTAAAGCTTGTTATCTTTTTACATGCAAACTTGGTGGTTCTTTTTTTTTTTTAAGAATTTACTGCTGTACAAATTTGGCACAATGATCCTGTGATTGCTGTTTTTTTGAGTAAATTAAGAAAAGAAAATTATCTCCCTCAGACTAAAGAAACAGTGGAAACCCAAAGTCTTTAAATCGAACCACTTCACTCCCTTAACTGAAAAGTCCTGAAAGATAAATCCTGAGTTCTTACACCAGCCTTTTCTGAAGATTCTCAGAAAATCTCAAGATCTTTTTTGAACCCTAAAAAGGAGAGATCAAAAAATGTTGTTTTAAAGGAACAGCCAAATGGCTTTTTTGTCTTTAGATGCCTCGCCTTCTTTGCTGTTGCTCCCTAATAAGCAACAAAACTGAAATACATCTCCACTTGTTGTACCATAAAAAGCTGATGAAGTGCCATCATCTGAAAGATAGAAGAAAAAAAACCCACAATAGGTACATAACTTTTATTCCTATCTGTCTGGTGTGCTTGGCCTGATCCCTCAGAGAGATCAAATAGTAAATAAGGAGTTGAGTATCGTGTTTCTGGATCCCATGAGTAAAGATCGAATCAGTGATAGAAACAAAGAAAGAGGGGTGAAAAATATTCAGCTGAAGGAGAAATATCTAATTCTTATCTGTGATGCTCACTTCATAAAGGCTAGTATGATAAAGGAAGATAAGAAGAGACAGTAAATAAACGACTTTTATAGGAGGAGATGTCAGCACTGGTTGAGCGGTAACACTCTCTGTCTGCTCTGAGTCCTTATATGTTCTGATGAATTAAGAAAACCTTGATGGAAGCAAGTTATCAGATTTTAAAGTATGTAAATATCTGCATGTGGACTTGGAGAATTTATTGACTCTTAATTTTTATGGGTAAGAAAAAAAGCTAATAGAATTAAAAATATGACAAATAGTTTGGCCTAAAAGCTAGAAAGAACCATATTTGTAAATTGAATCCATAAGGAACAAAGACTCTAGCCCAAATAAGAGTATTTTTTCCAATCATGGCAAATCTATTGTTGTGTTTTGTAATGATTCAAAACAAATACCGATGATTTAGAAAGCCCATTATACTAATTTGGTTCAACTTTACTTAAAAAAGTAATGTTACAAAATGATTGTTTGCTCTGAAACGTGACTTACTATTCGCTGTTGTGGTTACATTAACCTGGCTGTCACCTTTAGTTGCAGATTAAATTGCAAGTCATTCAAAGCACTGACGGCTGTGTCATAAAATATCCTCCATCATTCTTGACTTAATTTAACTGTCTAGTGTTAAAAATATTTTTGAAGGCAACAGAACAGAAGATTTTGTCTCTTTAACTTGAAACATTGTTAGTCATATAATGCAGTTCTTAAAAAGTCTTTTAAAAGCTAAATCAAAACAACAATAACAACAACAACAGATTAGATTAGATTAAATTGAGCAAATTGGATTAAAAACATAAATAATAATAATAATAATAATAATAATAATAATAATAATAATAATAATAATAATAATAATAATAATAATAATAATAATAAAATTAAAAACAAGTGGATAAAAAAAAATATATGGCTGACCTTTTAAGTAAATAACAGAAACTAAATGCAGGTGAAACAATTAAGATGAATTTGAAATCAGGTGGTTGCACAATATAAATAATCTAAGGATGCACAATATTGGCTTGACATCACATCATTATCAGTACAGGCAGATATGGAAACTCCTGCAGATAATACTAGTGGCCAAAACAGTGATAAATTACATGTTAGATTAATGGAAGTGTTTTGGAGTGGAAACAGACAGCAGACTCATTATCAGTTTATCTGTTTATAGAAAAAAAAAACATTAATTATTTATGGTTTATGTTCTGGCTGGAATGTCACTATAAGAGGTAAACTCTGTTACAGCAGAATCTGTGCACACTTTACAAAGGAAAAAAAAAGTGTGTGTGTAGATATAGGTGTTATGTCAGTCTCAGCCACTATGAGTTTGAAGAATCTCAGTTAATCAGATATCCACAAAAATCTAATATTATACGTCCTTAAAAAAGCACATGACTCCCTCCCTGTTCTCTCTCCCCATTACCTGCTCTATCCTTTCTATATAAAGGCAACAAAAGCTAACATTTGACCCAAAAGAAAGAAAATCAAGAAATAATGATGCACATATGTTTCTTAACAATATTAAATACCATCACAGCAAATTGGATAATATTGCTCCAAATATAGACCCTGAATGATGACATCTTTTAACTCACTACTGTCAAAAGCAAACCGGCAGAACCTGGGAGCTGGACTTTTTCTAGCTGCATTACTCTGTTACCACACATGAACTAAAAAGTGATGACAAGATTTCCTTATAATCTACATTTAGGAAATGTAGGGAAAAAAGTGGTGCGACTACTTCTCCCCAGATATTTCCTCCAGTGTTTGTAATGCAGGAGGGGGCTCGTTGACTATTTATTTGTTCTTATAAGCCACAACGTGTTTGTTTGTGTGAACGAAGAAACTCGGGGCTGAGACATGTTCCTGCTCTCACTCTGTTGCTGCACAGTTGGATTATCCGTACTGAGTCCCTGCTTTTCAATCTCCTCTTAACTGTTTTACTTTTACCATATTTAATGTGATTTATACAGCCTGTAATGTCATTGTATTGCTGCCCCTCTGTTTCAATCCGTCCTCCTCATGCGTTAAGTGTCCCCTGGAGTCCTCTCAGTTTATCAGCCACAGCTCCATATTCCAAAACACATTCATAATGTGCTCCTGTGACTAACTAGAGTAAGTGCAGACAGATCTCAAGCTCATACAACCCTTCATATGCACAACAAAAATAAGTTGCAACAGTAACCGAGTTCACACAGCTGTGAATCCTAAAATTATTACATTGCACAATGCTCTGAAACTGCAGTTTATTTGTTTTACTAAAAAGTGCAGCAATAAAATCTTTACCCAGAAAATCTGATTTTTTGGTCCATTTATTATAAACAAAAATTTCAACAAAATGTTCAGGACTTGATGGAGTGCTGCCTTTCAAGAATCTATTTTAAGGGAAATATAATGAGTTTTTTTTTCTTTTTTAGTCAAAGCAGGAGAAGAGCACCAGCTTTCTTATTACAGTTAATGGCTTGACATACAAGAAGTCATGGCAAATTGAAAAAATGGCCATTTGTTTTAAGGTGTTGAAAGCCCGGTTCTTTGTGGAAATACAACAACTGATACAAAACATGGCTGTTAATGTGAGTTATAATGACTCAAAATGAAATGTTTTACACACTGGCAGTGAGTTTTGGTCCTGTAAACAATTAGATTTTGCCCGTTTATTACAAAAACAATGTTTTACTGCCAATAATCAATAATCTGCTCGCAACGTCACTCAGTTGCATAATCTAACACTTTCTTACAATGATCCTATTTATAGCCACACAAAACTGGATATATTTCTCAACAAAAGCTGCTGTAATTTGTTCGCTGCATTTATCCTCAGCAAAAACTCTGTTATGGCTATATCCCATTATGCAATATATTTCTAATCTGTGCTTTGGTTCTTGCTTCGAACAAAACTGTTGGACGGAAAACAAGGGTGCAGGATGATATTTTTCAATCTTAAAGCCAAGAAAGTTGATTCAAGCCTCGAGAGAATAGATAAGATTCAGGTTCAGGATCAACAGAGGGTTTTCTTTTCCAAGCTCTCACTGGTATATACACACCATGCGAGTGTGTATATAAATAGATAATACTTATGTATGATACAATCTCACGTTATACATTTTAAATGAAATCACAGTCATATCACCTGTACATTGACTTGCAGTCTGTTCATAAACAGTGTTTGTTTCATTAGTTTAAGTATTAAAAAGTGGTTAAATTGAACCTATCAGCCCTTCTTATATCTTAAAAAAAGGTTTACATACTCCTAGAAAAAATACTTAAAAAAAAAGGTTTACATACAGAACGCAAACCTCTGAGCGTACCATTAGTAGTCAAACAGTAATCAGTGCCTTCATAAATGCAATAGTAGAATCATAAAAGTGATGCTCTATGAGATTGCCTCTCACACCTTCTACATCCATCCCTCTTTGAAACAAGTTTTATTGAAGTGTAATAAGCATCACTGCAGTCAAATCCCTCATGCATTTAGGTTTACATTGACATCTACATGACCCTGCAGGTCTGATTTTTGTTTGTGGTGTGATGAATATTTAATATCGAAGCATAAACAGCTGACATGAATGAGGCACAAACAGGCACATTAACTTTAGATTGTGCTGTTTGGATTAGGTCTGATGAAATCGTGTCTGGAGTTGGTTGTTTTATGATAGTTTCACCTCAAGGCTGAAAATTTCCACTTCGGAAAACAAATGTAAAATAATCTTGACCCATGATCCAACTCTGACGCCTGGCACTCTTAAATTCTTTAAAACTCATAAGCAGCTTGCACAGGGGGGAAAAACAGTACATGTCAGGACCGTGATCATTCCTGCTTTCAAAGGCAGAGCAGTACAAATCTTAATCCATCTTTGTCTGTGAAACAGTTATGAACATCATGAAGATATTCGAGTGAACATCCTTGAACTTTAAAGCAGGATATCATGTTGTATGTATCTTTAAGGCTCCAAAACTCATTGTTATCATTGCTGAGCATCAGCTTGCTATGTCAGGGGGAGCTATGTACGATATGTGTCTTTGCATGGTTACCAAGCAACGTTGAGACTGTTGTGGCTCTCATCACATGTGTGTGTGTGTGTGTTTTTGCTCCGTGCAAAGCCGGTCAGAGAAACAAAGGGTTACGGGGTCCCGATCACCACTGTCCTCTTCTCACAAGGTGGAAAGGGGTTTAAGTCATGTGAGGGTGTTGTTAAGCCGTGTGCCACTGTGTTACATAACATCCCCAAATGTGCACCGGCGATTGTGTGGTCATCTGTTTCTGTCAGTATGTGAATGAATGTTAACCGCTAAAAATTAATTAAGTAATAAGAGATGACCCACCGTCTGGTTCATATTATAATGTGCTGACAAAAATCTGCTATTTATTTCTCAATCTATTTTTGTCAGCCTGATTGTAAACAGTAACTGTATTAATGTACAGTTTTAAAAAAAACAAGATCTGTTTGTTTGTTCTGTAGCTCAGGAAGCAAACTCAACACATCATATAAGGCTTGAGTCCCCCAGGTTAATGTTATACTCACATCCACACAAACACCACACGTTCCTCATCAGTCACATTAACCATTCACATCCGCCTGTGGTCCCTGCTCCCCCCTTTGGCCCCCCAGAATAAAATCTAACACCCCCCAAAATAACCTGGTGAGTTATAAGAGTCAGCAGGGCCTTCATCCAACCTGCTCTTTTAATAGAAACAAAAGGCAATTACCTCGGCATCCCTAAGAGTTAATTTAAGATGCTAAAGGTGGTTTGCTTCTCTTTGTAGTCTAATCTGGAAATTAAACCAACGTGCCACAGACAGTGTCGTGTTTCGCTCTATTTGTGGGGCAGCCAGTGTTGAGAGTGTTTTTAGGGATGCCAGATCTGGAGGTGGTGGGACTATTTTTCTCAACTCAAACACAAACAAACACATGCATGTGGAAAGAAAGCACAACAACATCCAGAGGGCTTCCCTCTTGCCCTGGGATTCACACCCCTTCATTGTACACCCGCTGATGCGAGGTCAGATTTCAAGAGCCCCTTTACTAACCCTGTACCAACAACAAGTATGGAAAAACAGATGACCTATGTGCCATTGCTATCATTGTTCAAAAGCTCTTTTAGACCCGTGTGTAAAGAACAGTGACCCTGCCTCTGCCAAAAACATAGTCAGCATTAGCAGGAAGATCTTACCTGATGAGCCCAGGAAGTAGCGCTCCAGGGCTGAACCAAAGCCCGAGGGATTGTCCTTCAGATTACTCACAGTGAACGGCTGCATGGTGGCGTTCTGATCATTGATGGGCCAGGTCTGACCCCGGACACTGGCCCCTCCGTACCAGGACACGTTGGTCATAGAGAAGCAGTCCTGAAGAGATGCCAACAGTGCATCAACAAGCAGAGATAAAACAGAGTTAGAGAGATATGACACCAAAAGGAAAGGGGCAAGTAAAGAAAGGCTTTACTTCATATGAATTACTCGAATACAATAATAAGAAAAAAAATCCAAATATTTCAGGATATAAAGAAAATCAAAGGCCATTTTTTCTTAAACCACCTCCATAAAAAATTTTATTCCAACTATCCATCATATTTTTATAAAAAGTCGACTACAGCAGTTAGATGTTCTGTCAGAATTGAGATTCATGTAAAATAAAAAAAAAATGTTGAAAGAAAACTTTTAATCTAATCTTTGACACTTGGTAAAATTCACTATTTCTTCGTTGCAGAAATGCGTGGCACAGAGAGGAATGTGACCACTGTTACGAGAGTATATTCCCCACACACACGCACGCACGAGGGATTGAATGACGAAGCGTTTTCTAAGCGAAACCTTGTCCTCCCACACAGCGTCTTTACGCATGGGGACAGATGCTCAAACTGGTATCTTTATCATTGAACTCCAGCAAATGTGATCCCTGTTAAGGACTTTGAAAGAGGGTGCCAAGTGGTCACCTGAGAAGTACTGAGCAAGGTTTCAGTGAGGAGATGAGGAAAATAAAGGCTACTTAAGTTTGGACAGAGCTCCAGAGAGCAGTCGTGCCACATGACAGGGAGTTATGGCGAGGAATGTTCCAGTGGGGACAGATTAACCTCCCCAAACATCCCAATAGTTAAATGCCTTTGATAATTAAGCTGGGGGGGAAAGTACAGTAAGTACTGTGCGTGTAAAAAAAAAATCAAAACAAGCGTTAGGAAGCAGATCTAACACGAGGTTTATCCCACTCAGCGCAGTTTGTGGACTGTGAGAAGTAAAGGTGTGATGACTGATGCAAACTCTTTCCTTCCTCCGATCAAAAGTCACAGAGACGTCATTCGTGTGCCTTTTCAATATTTCAATAGGATGGGATTGTTTTTGACTTTACATTTTAAAACAATAAACTGCAACCATAAAACAAACAGTGAAATCAGTGTTGGAATTTTACAGAAATCATATAAACCAGATTGTTCCTGGATTGTCCTCCTGGGGAAGACTATAGCATCAGTTTAATATAATCTGCTAATTTCTCAGATCCTAACAATTTGGGTGGTTCAGTAAAAATCGTGTCACTTACTAATATAAAAAAGCATAATTTTAAAGAGAACAAGAGCCATTTAGGGGAAAATTGCACATTTAATATTGTGCGCCAATGCTAATAATGCCATGCACAAAAACACGTTAAACTGCAAATGAACTCAACTGCAAGCGCCAAAGATGTTTTTGCTTTTCACATTCATCTTAAATGTAAGATTCCTCCTTTCATCAGCTGAGGTGTGCACTTAAAAGCAGAGCTTACCTTCAGCTCCACATGACAGTGCACCGGCGCCCAGCTCATACTGTAGCACTCCGTCTCTGTCTCCTCATTAACCTCCAGAGAAATCTTCACCTCGGCCACTGAGTCCCACGTGTAGCAGAACTCTGTCTTATTGAACCAGCACAGGTTCCTCACGAAGGGAACCTCGATGTCAGGGTTCCCTACATTCCCGACGTCTATCTCTACAAAGGTCTTGTCCTCTGTTAATGTCTGTATGACCAGCGAGTGGGTCCGTCTCTCCCAGATCAGTCCGCTAAAAGTCCCCCTGAGGATCCAGTTCTTGTTGGGCTGGTCCACCACTTGCCAGTAAATGATCCCAATGGTCATGACAAAGAAGACGGCCACCCCGAGACAGGCTATAGCTCCTTTCCAGGTCTCGTTCATCTCCTTCAATCCCGTGTCCCATGTTACTTCTGGGATGGGGCTAGGGTTCCTATTTCGAGCGTGGGGCATGTTGTTTTTTTGAGATCAGCAAACAGTCAAACACAAAAAATGCTGCAGAAATCTCTGTGCGTCAAAGATCTCTGTTGCTTCATCATGTCATGGTGTTTTCACTAAGGCTACAGGGTAAACCAGCCTGCTCTTTAATTTTACACCGTTTACACTGTTGGCTTTTTTTGCGCAATTGTGCCAGCAACAGAGACCTGTCATGTGAAGAAGGCTGTGAAAAATTTTTGAAAGCGAAGCAGTATGAATGAATAATTGACTTACCACATACTGCTGCTGTTTTAAAAGAGTTGGATTTGTCAATTGCATTGGCTGCAGTGAGCTCGTGAGCAGCCTCAAGCCGGGTTTGGCAGTAATGCCTACGAATAGCTCCTAAGACGCTCTCTTGCTTGCCCTGCACCGTCTGACGTAACGCCGGGTTGTTTCTTCAGGGGAAAGGTAGAGAGAGGGAAATGGGGGATCAAGAGGGTTTGGCTCAATCTTGGAGCTGCCCGCCGTGGTGAGGAGGCCACGGACAGCCTGGAAGGGAGGGACCCCCCACGCGTGCTCGCAAACTCCCCGTGCGCTCTCTGTGCGTAAAACTTTGGAGACTTGTCATCCGGTGGTTTGGTGGACTGCCAGGGGCGTCAATTGGGCATGGCAGGGTTTGCCTAGCCTTATCCAAATTTAAATCTTGTGGTGTTTAACATTTTAAAGAGAGCGAGGAGAGATTTTGGAACCACAGGCACTGGAATCTGAACACAATATTTCAGACCAGAGCTGTGTTTGTTTTGCCATGGGTTAAATTGGGCACACTTAATGTGCTTATTAATTAGATTGCCTAAGGAAGATTTTCAGCTATTTTTTAATTACTCAGGATGTATGAACAGCCTGGTTCAGTTTGGAAAGAGAGGAGGATCCATTTAAACCCAGAAAACATCCCCATGGAAGCTACATCTTTTATTGCATTCCAAATCCTTCCTATTGACTGACTGTTTTGGAAACAGTATAGGTGTCTGCTGCTGTATGTTCTACCACTATTCTGTTTTTTATGTTGTGAAGCACTTTGTAACTCTGTTTCAAAAAGTGCTGTATAAATATAGTTATATTATTGTTTTATTTATTGTTTGCTTTTATTGTTTTTATTGCTGTTTGTTGTTTTTATTTATTCATTTTTTCTATTGTAAAGCACTTTGGTTCACTGAAAGGGTTGTTGTAAAGGGCTGTATAAATAAAGAACATTAACATTTAGATTTACATTATTTTGACTTATGATGCAGTGGCAAGGTATTTGTTTGCACTGAGCAAATCATGGTTTGTGTGCACTGAAAAGAAAAAAACTAAAACTTTCTGGATAAATGTATTTTTAACTGACATGTGACACAGGTTCCTGTGAACATTATTCATGATAAAGCATTTGATACAACATTACTGATGAGTGAATTACTGACCTTTGTGACATTGAGGACCTAGTTTGGTGTTTTCTGATTTCTGATTCCTTTTTATAAAATGGTATGAACGTCTTTCAAATAATTTTAAAGCAACTGTAAGGAGTTAAATTCTGGTGATAAAAAAGACAGAGATATATTTAAATAATGATAATAACATCTTGTGACTGAAAACACAGCTTGAAGATGTACAAGACAACATCAGCAGAGAAATAAGACTCCACTTTATCCTAAAAGGTTGCCTTTTGACCTTTTGAACGCAACATTTTTTAAGCTTGTGTTCACACATAATAGTTAAATTTTAACATCAAATCCAACCTCTGACATGGCAGATAGCATATTATAGTTTTACAGCATCACACTTTAACCTAGCAGACACTTGTGTCTGACGCAGAATACATCCGAGAGTGGGTATAGCATAAGCAAAGAAACAATATGAATAAGTGCCACAAAACCCCATCTGTCAGAGTTTTGCTCTGTAGACTGGAGACATTACACATTCTTTTCCCCTTGTTTTGGATTTTGGGTTGGCACCTCGGGTGACCATTCAGATTTCAAAGGAGACTGTACCACCCTGGTCACCCATGTAGCCACACCCCTGCACTTACGCTTCGGTACTTTTTTTCCTCCAAATAATTGAAACACTTTTGACAAGAACAGACCCTGACTCAAACTCTCCCTGTCACGTCTATTAGCATAATTTTACTGCAGGTTATTGCTAGATTGGCTACATTTTGATTTGGGGTATAGAAACAATAGTTTTTAAAAGAGAATATCTCAATAATTTAACATTTAGCAACATTAACTGGTTTCTATTGAGGCTAGAAAGGGTGTCCACCAGGAGGCAATCCAAAAAGCTGACCTATACAGTAGCTAAACTTTTATGACCAGAGGACCTTGTAAAACCTGTGTTGGGGTTATTATTAGTTCCACTGACACGTTTGGGATATTCATTTACATGAATTTAAAAAAATCAGATACATAAAAACAAGCAAACAAAAAGCAGAGCATGAAAAGAATAAACACAACAAAGATTGAGAGTGTCTTGTGATGTATCAAAACATTATTGTTGGTGGTGCAAGGTTTAATGAGTTGTATGACTCATGGGCAGCACAGAAGACATTTGAGGGCAAGAATGTTGTTTATGACTGCCTCAAGTGTAGCGGGTGCTAGTGTGATTGGTCGAAGGTGGCATCAGTTGGCATTTGGACTGTCAACATCCATTGTGTCTGGAGTTATAATGTCAACATAGTATAGCTGGACTACTGTTTGACTTGTAATGTTTGACAATAAATGTGCACATTAGTGCACATGCCCAGTGTGTAGAGGTGCAATACTCAAAGCTTGACTGTAACAGAAGCAGATCCTTTGTCATGACTTTCTGAAACCTGAACAGTGCACGGATCATATTGGCCCACTTATTCAGTATCACCATCATTTATTTCAACACAGTTCTTACAGTAATATGGTCAAAGCTCTGCTGGTATCTACCAACGACTTTAATGGACCAACAAATAAAACAAGAGGAATTGTGCCTTTAACAATGTTGTTATATTTGTAGTTTGAGGTCTTCTTGGTGCTGTGCACAAGGAATCCCAAGAGTGTCGGCTGACATACCTTGAAGATCAGTTGCTCCTGCCCCCCCAATCCATCACATAACTCTGGCAGGGGCAGAGACACTGGATAAGGCTGTGGGAACCTGTGTGAGATCTCCACCTAATAACCCCACTCTAACTTTATAGTCAATTTAAGGATCTCAGGAAAGAGTGTGTTTAATTGTGCAAAACTTTGTGATCATTTAAAACCAAAATTTTAGAAAGAAAGAAAAAGATATATCTGTAGCTTTTGTGGTTTCTTGCAGAAAACAAGCAGCACTTCTCTCTGCACACAAGTTATTTTTGACACAAGACGTCCACACTCAGTGTGGTTTGTTGCTTAGGATGGAAGTCTAAGCACTTTGCATCATGGGGGGACATGCATTGATACTTTGCATAAAACTGTTTTAGATGCTGCACTTGATAAGTACAGTTGTGTGCATGTACATGGACTGTAGATGTTTGAGTGATTGCATGAGTTTGCATGTGCTGGCATGCATTCGAACCCCTGAAATTCAAGTTCAACATGGGCCTTGTGGCAGTCAGGCTCCTGGGTCAGAGGTCAGGCTTATGACATCAACGGAACATCCAAGGGGGAGGGTCTAAATTTACACGCCATCCAGATTGCCCCCTACTCCATCCCTGGCTGCTATTAATAGGCAGAGGACTGCTGCACGGCATGCCCTCGCTCCCTCTGAGAGTGTGAACATGGGACAAGAAGAAACAGAGGAATCTGACCTGAACTGGCCACTACCTCTGACCACAAATTTACTGTTGATGGCAAAGGGGCAAGAGCTTAATTGGGTATGGGGTGGAAGGACCTAATGGTTTAATGGTTAGACTTAAAGCTTCATTCAGACTGTAGGAAGTTTACAGCGATTTCATTTCTTTGTAACTACTTCAAAAAGTCACTTCATATTTCAAACAGTCTCAAGGTTTAAAACACACACATCTATCAAACCTTTGTCTTGGCCTAACTTTATTTATGTTTAGTTATTACAGACTGACTTCCTCCCTGCCTAATGGCCTCTCTTGCAAATCTTGATCTGAGATGAATAGGCTCCCCTACAGCCATCCTAGCATCTCTGTGAGGTTGCAATGCAGCACAGTGGTGGACTGAGCGAAAATCTGCATACTTCCATGCTCACAGACTCAAGGTAACTTTCTCTTAGCAGCAGGCTAAGACGCAAAAAGTGAAGTGCAAACATATCCACGTTTAACAGTTTTTACCAGCCAGACTTTCCATTTCAGTTTTGAGTGGTATTTTACTTTTTTCTTTTTTTATTTGTAGCACTTAGCTCAGTTTGAAGTATGTATTTTGCCACAACACAAAGCTGTTAACAGAAAGGATATCATGTATTTGCCACATAATACCTAACCAGAGCTATAAAAGTCTAAATACAATTTTTGAGGAGATGTTCTTACTGGAATAATGAAAACTTTGACCATTTGTTAATAAGAGGGGTGAAGTAAAGTGATAACCAAAGTTAGATGGGTACAATAATTCAGTGCAATCCATCAAACAACTCCTGAGACATTTAAGTCTCAACCAAAGTAGTGTACAAATACATTTTTGGTCACTTATAGACTTACATTTCCCACACTTATACTCCTGATCTTCAGCCAGGCTCCTATTCCTGCAAGTCATCCTATTTTCTGTCATATAAAATTTCAGTCTTTATTATCAGATTTTTAAGGAGAGCAACTACTGCCTTCTGTATGGCAGAACCAAATGCTTCCAATAGGAAACGTCAAAACAGCAAGTCTTTAACATGCAAAACTGTTCACTTCAACCGACAAACTTTTCCATCTTCACGTCTGGATCTTCAATTTACAGTTTCCTTTTTTTTTCTTCCCCAGGATATTCAATACCAACAACTTCTCCTCCGGCTGCCTAAAAGTCGGAGGGGGAAGTTTCCATGTGGCCCCGGTGCAGGCTCTTGGCGGGACAATCCTGCTGTAGACAGAACTGTTTCTGTCTATCCACCTCTGTCATAAGGGCTCTCTCTCTCTGTCTCTCTCTGTCTGTCTCTCTGTCTCTCTCTCTTTCTCTCTCCTCCTCTTCCCTTAACTTTCTCCCCCTTTTAGTATAGTGACACAAACAGCCTCTTTCCACTGCCCCAGACCTGAACCTTTCTTAACAATTCTGTCTCTAACACTCATTTTCCTTCTCTCAGGTTCTTTTCTTCCCATAAGCTCTCAGACATAAACGTGGCTTGAAACAATTGACTTTGAATACTAATGTGGTCAAAAAGGTTATTTAACTTTTGACAGCCCATGCACACCTTTGCTCTCTTGCAGAGAGGGGCCAGGGGGTGATATCAAGAGGGGGATAAAAGAGGTGCCCACAAACTGTCTTTTTTTTTTTACTTAGAATGAACTTTGAAAGTATCTGAATTAAAAGGAATATAAAGTGATTGTTGATGAAACAAAACGAATAATACGTGATGAAGTGAGTATAGTTTGACCTACTGTTTGAGTGTGCATATTCACATGTATGAAAACCACATGCTTGCATGTATATGCATACATTGCTAAATAGGAATTTGGCTGAACCATTTATCTGGTTATGACTTCTGCAAAAGTTTCAACATGGACAAACACTGATTTTCATCAGGAGCAAATTTAAACAGTAATGAGAGCAGCAGAGGTCGCGCAGGCTTTCTGCCCAGTCACTTCCATGAAACCTCATTAATCATGCTTGCATTATTATGGCAACCAGTGATACTACCAAACGGAACTTTAATTTCCACCATAGAGCAAAACCGTGTGCATTAACTAATCGGCTTGAATGGCTTCTAAAAATGGCAGAGTTGGATAACAGTGTGAGACTGAACCTTTGGCTGATGGTTGCATCGTTTCATGTTGCTGACCCCCTCCTCTCCCCTTAGACCTTGCCTGGTTTGCAAAGCTAAAGCTGCTGCTGTGATTGCACCCTGAGGAAGCTCCTGATCTGAGGTATAGGTAGAGATGAAAGGCATAAATGTGCAGAAATGCACCCGAGCCAAACAACACAAACAAAGAAATGTTTTCTACAAAGAGATGAAAAGTTCATCCTTCACTAGAATGATTACGCACTATTCCCCCAGAAAAGGAAATTTGTTTGTTTTTCTACATTTATTCATGCACTGATGAGACTTTTTGATACTGCACAAAGACCCTGCCATGCAGGAAGCAAAATTCACCCCATTGTACCAATTGTTTTCCCTGACTTCCAAGTTAATCAAATGTTTATATAATGAATGATTATTTTACGCGTAGTATTTACGAGAATAAAAATAAATGCAATAGCCTTTAATGTTGTAACATGTCACAAATGTATGTACAGACAAACATATTATACACCCAACTACATCTCCTAATGTAATGAATCCATCCCAGATTATATTGTAAAACAAAAAAGCTTGTAAAAGCTCTTTTTCTTTTATTTTTTTTTTCAGATTTACCACTTTATATTTCTACTAGGTTCCTTCGCCTTGTTTTTTTTTTTTCTTTTTTTTTTTGGAACGCATCAGCTGTTTTGGAAAGTTTTTATTTCTTACTGTCACATATAAAACAAAACAAATTGCATTAAGACTGACTGACCGTGGACTATTCCTTTTAGTTGTTGTATTGTAGGGGTTCATGAAGAAGAACGCTCCCTCACGTGTAAGTACAACTAGGAACTAGTAAGTCTAAACCCAGTTTAATTCAATGCTTTACATTCTAGACAACTTACTTAAAAGATGAAATGCTAAAAAGATGAGATTCAAATGATTTAATTTTAAATTCATTTTATTTAACAATGAAATAATTTAGTCAGTAATCTGCAGTGGCAAGTGCACGTTGGACCTACAGTATGTGTTTTGGAAGCAACCTTCTTCCACCTTTTGAAACTCCAGTACACTCTTGTATCAGCTGTCAGATGAACCAGATCCAATGCAACAAACAAGTAAACAACCAATGAACTTCTGGCTGTAAACATTTCCTCTGTTGGGAAACAGTTTCACCTGGATATCAGTAAGGATGCAGGATGTTCTATTTTAGTGTGACAAATATCTTTGCCAAATGAAGAACATTACATTACTGCATAATAATCAAATGCTAAACTGCACTGCTGAACCCCACACACACACACACACACACACACACACACACACACACACACACACACACACACACACACACACACACACACACACACACACCATGGCATCTTAACTGATGGAAACTTCCCCGTGGACTGTCAGTGTGGTCTGCTTCCTGCCAGGTCTGAACCAGCTGAGCCAGGGACTCATGTTCCACTCAGGGGGCCTTCAATCATTCTTACCCTAGGCATGCATATCGTAGTGTGTGAGGTCAGACACTGGGGCACACAGTGTGAGGATATATGGGACAAGGTCTCCCTCTACTGTTTTCTTATTATATGTGCCCCTGAAAAATAGACCAATTGATGAAAGTCCACCTATTCTGGGTGGATGCAATTTGCAATAAAATTTATCATGTAAAGGTACTGTGTGTAGAAATGGGAACATTTATCAACATCGCTCACTCACTCATCCCATTGTGAATAGTTGGTGGCCTTGGGAGGTCATGCTCCTGAGATGCATGTGTGGTGTGATCCTACGGTGGCCATGAACCACCACTGCTGCAATAAAAACAAATGCAAAAAAAGAAGCCACAGCGGAAGTTTGATGACTATATTTTCGTACAAAGTTTTTGTAAATATTTGTTCAAAGTAAATACTAAGATATGAGAAAGTTGTTTAAAAATCCATTTTGCTCAGTCATACACATTAAATTATCCACTTTGTGTGTGTCCGAGAAACTTATGTCAACTGTGTTACCCAGTGAAACCCCCCCCCCCCCCCCCCCATAAATCAGCAATTGTTTGCTCCTAAGGCACATGCCCAGCATCATTTGATGTCATATCCTTTTTGGAAAGAAATTTAAAACACAGTGTGGGAAGTCTTTACTTCTCCTCTTCAATATTTTATCAATATCATTGCGAACACATAGAGCGGATTAATTGATTGTCAACTGTGTTGTTAACATATTCATGAGAACTTGCTTTAAATGTTTCACGTACAAAAATGTAAATAGGGCATATAATAACAGGAGTCTATAGGGTCTTACGGTGACAGTTCTGATGTCTGCAATTGGCAAAAGGCCCTTAAATGGCCAAAATATCAACTATGTTACCTGTCAACTGTGTTACTCATCAGCTGTAACACAGTTGATAGTGTTCGAAGTTTACTGCCACATTTTAGGTTTATATTTAGAGACAAACAAAATGATTATGTGTTTTAGAAAGATTGGGTTTATCTGCTTCTGAGAAGCAGCGCCAGTACAGGGCTTGGCGTAATGCTGATGCTAATAGAAAGGCTGCATATTTACAGAAACACTGAGATTAAAAAGGTTCACCTGTCCTGTCAACTGTGTTACTCCCATCAACTGTGTTACTTTGTCAACTGTGTTACAAGTGTTTTTTATGTCATAAATCTCTAAAATGTTGAATAAACAGTTACAAAAAAGATGAGGGATATCTCTGGAGCAGGAAGTCTTACATAAGAATGGGGAATAACTCTAAATTCAGTGTAATGTGAGTTTATGTTGAAAAAGGTTGCAGTCTACATCATACTAGTATCCCATAACATCACCATTATGAAGCTCAAAATTCACATTTTTAAACCAGTTGGACAGATAAACTCAAAACCCCAGGTGTATAGACTAAAACACTATCAAACAAATGTGTTATCAAATCTTTAGTGTTTTATATATGTTTTGTTTGACACAACATTTGTCCGTAACACAGTTGACAAAATGATAAATCAAATGTTCATTTTCATTAAAATAATTCAAAAGTCATTTGAGCTTAAGCTTGCCAATTAATTGATTTAGCATATTAAGGGTGTATATCATAGAAACATGTTGTTTATTTATCAAAAAAGAATACTGATGTTTTGAGTTTTTGGTCGACCTGAAATGTACCCCTAATTGTAGAATGACTCATAAACTGAATTTCTATTAATCAACATGTATCTATAATTCCAGATTGGTGTATTGTGTGGAGTAAAATTATGACAGTAAAGCAATTCCCCGTAGAGCAGGGCTTGTTGGTGAAAATCGGAGAGTTTAACCGGTAACGATTTATTTTCCATGGTATAGACCTCTGAGTAATGGGAGCCTGGAGTCCACTTACTCCAGAACTCACGACCTGAATCTAGTGCGCTTGCGCATGACAAGTTCCCCCGGAAGTACTTTCAGGCACGTGTAGCATTTTTGACAACCTTGAAAATACACCAAAACAACCACCTGGAAGCTTATATAGCACAGAAAAACGCTCCAGAAATGCCAGTCACAAGAGTCTTGTAAGTAACAGGTTTTTACTTCTCCGTTAATGTCGCCTTAACCTCGAGGTAGTTTTTCTCAGTCCAGTGGTTTGAATATTTGCAACACCAGAAACAATGCTAACGTTAGCATCTTACAGCTGTTTTGTGTTTCTGAAGACTTTTAATTATACACAAGGCGCATTTATATGTGTTGTCTATGCGTCTTCATGGACGTCTAATAAAGGTACGCAGAAGGGCAATGGCAGGTATTAGCCAGCTGAGCTAAAAACAAGAGGCCGTTAACAGGAAGCTACAGTCGTAATACAGTAGCTATGCAGGTTTCCATGACACCCAGGTCAAACCCAAAGGTGCAATTTTTTACCTTTTTCTTTCTTTTCTTTTTTTTTCTGTGGAGCTTACACAGTGTGATGTTAAAGGTTTTATCTGCTTTACCTAAAATTTTCTAAATGATACCATGTACACCCCCTGTCCAGAAAAAATAAATAAATAAATGTGCCACTTTTTAACTGGCTGTTTTAAAAAGAAAAAAAAATCCATGTTTTCATTTTCTCAAGACTGGACTACTGTAACTCTCTCCTCCCTGGTCTAAATAAGAAATCACTCTCTCGCCTCCAACTAGTTCAGAATGCAGCAGCTAGGCTTTTAACTGGTTTTAGTAGACGGCGTCACATCACTCCAATTTTAGCCTCCCTTCACTGGCTTCCTGTCAGTTTTAGAATTGATTTTAAAATTTTATTGATTACTTTTAAGGCGCTCAAAGGACTTGCTCCGAGCTACTTTTCAGAGCTTTTAATACCTTATGAGCCAACTCGCACCCTCAGATTCTCTTGTGAAGGTGTCCTAGTCGTTCCAAAGTCGAGGCTCAAAACTAAAGGTGATAGATCTTTCTCCATCAGAACTCCTTGACTTTGGAACGACCTGACAGAGGAGATAAGGCGTAAAGCAGAGATAGTCGCTTCTTTTAAGTCGAATTTAAAAACTCACTTTTACAGACTTGCTTTTATGTGATGCCTTCTTTTCTCTTTTTTGTTTTATCTCTTTTACCTCTATCTTATTTTGACTTACGATCCTTTTAGCCTTTGTTTTACTTATAATCTTTTCTTATTTTACCTTTTAGGTCCTTTATTTATTTTATTGTTTTTTCCTGCTCATTTTTATTATTCCATTTTATCATGAACAGTACCATCAGTATTATTTTATTATGATTTTATTTTCATTATTGATATCCTCTTTAATAATTACTATCCTGTTTCCTGCTTTCTGCCCTCTTTTCTATTTCATTTCTGCTTCTTACCTATTTTTATGTTTTTATTTTGGTCCTCATGGTCTCATTTTATGTTGTAGGGTTCTTGTATTGCCTGGGTTTCTTGTGAAAAATGAAATTGGCTTTCAATTCGGAGGTCTTCTTTTTGACTAAGCTTTTGTTTTTAAATGTTTTTATTTTATGATTTTCATGTGCTGATGTTCTGTGCTTTGCAACTGTTTGTCAAAGCACTTTGTAAACTTCTGTTTTTAAAACTGCTATATAAATAAAGTTATTATTATTATTATTATTATTATTATTATTATTATTATTGTTTAACATTCAGCCTTCAAAAATCCAGTTTCTTTCACATAGTTGTACTACAATAATCATGTGATTACTAAAACATGTTTAATACAAGTGAGGCTCTAATTTTTTTCCCATTTGCAAATATTGGAAATACTTGCATGGATGATACTATATGTGATAAGAGTCTGCTTTCCTCTTAGATTCCCTCTCTACCAGCTTGGAAATCCTCAGATGAGGATCTTCCGACCAAACTGGTTCCTAACCCTGGTGAGGCCAGGAAGAGAGCAGCCTCCTGACACTGTACAGTTTCGCATCCCAATGGAGTAAGTCATTGATTACATCTTTCTCTGAGCATTCTGAAGGAAGGTTTTTTAGAAAGTACCACATTTTTACTCTATGGCGGTTGTTTTCCAACTCTTGAATGTGTTGGATCTCTGTTGTAGTGAAATATGAATTTCATTGTAGACTTCTCTCATTTAGGATTGACTTGAAGCACTACTGTCAATGTGAATTGTAATATAGGGAAAATGCATGTACCTCCTGCTACCAAACTAAATCTGAAACCTTTCTGTACATGTGTGGAGATGCAGATATAAGCTCTTCAGAAGAAAACTGTTGTGAAATTATCAGGAAATATCTGTTTAGTCTTTCAGTTTCACTGTACCTGCACACTTTTGCGTTCCTCATGCTGCTGTGGCTCATTAAAACACGTGCCACGATTTTAATTACGATGTTTAATTTTCACTAGAATTGAGTAAAACGGAGTCCACTCTACAAACGGAAAACCTAATATTTGGAAATTGCTATTGCCTACACTTAAAGATTCTAATTTGTTTTCAAGATTCAAAATATGGGAGGTACAGTGGTGTAGTGGTTAGTACTGTCGCCTTACAGCAAGAAGGTCTTGGGTTCAATTCCGGCTCAGGGCTTTTCTGTGGAGTTTGGATGTTCTCCCTGTGTCTGTGTGGGTTTACTCGAGGTACTCCGGTTTCCTCCCGTATCCCAAACACATGCCTAAGTGGTGTTAGGTTAATTGGCCACTTTCAAATTGCCCTTAGGTGTGAATGTGAGTGTGGATGGTTGTTCGTCTCTATATGACTAAAATATAGTAAGTATTACAGAAATATTTACAAAGTGCTCAAGCAGTGCAGTAGCTTCTATCAAAGTGTACATGTGTGTGATGGGGGATAAGTCAGTGGGATAAATGAGGTGTGAACTGCCATATTGCATGATATTGCACATCACAGATAATATTGCACAGTTAAGTAGGTTATTGCACAGTTATTACAGGTATTGCAGAGGAAATAAGTAACAGATATGTATGACATGCATGACAGTTGCATATCTATGATTTACATAGACTGTATATACTATGGACAACTTGGATCTGCCTCCCGCCTGTATACAGATTTGAAGCCAAAAAACTCTCGGTATTTCCGGGATTTTTCTTCATTCCCTGAAAACCAGCGCTGTGCAGTAGCATTGTGCACATTCCGTGGGAGAGTCGCCGAGAGTCGCTGTGATGACACTCGGCTCAAACAGCGTATCCCCCGCATGAGCTACGCAATTCCTGAACGCCAATAGGCTGTATCAGGTGTCAATCAAAGAAAACGTGAACCCCCTAATAACTTTTAAAAACAGGACTTGAGCACAAACCAGTCTTAATGTATCTACATGTCAACATTGCAAGCAGGGGGGAGAAAAATTTATGTTCTGTGTAAAAAATTTCTAAAGTTTGTCCACAGCTGGCGGAGGCGGGATTTATGACCTATACTGCAGCCCGTCAACAGAGGGTGCTGTTCTTGGAGTGGCTTCACCCAGTGAGGAGGCAGATGCTGTCTGTACAGTCTATGATTATTTATTTCCTTTGTTTGTTTGGATCAGAGTTATTGAAGCTGGTTACTCTTGTCAGACTGAACAGAAGTGGTTTAGTGTCATTCATACATGCTTTAACATACAATAAAAAACATGCTCCTGGTAAAAGGGTGCAGTGATTTGGTTTTTATTTGCATTATCTTGCTTGAACTAAATGATGCAGGTGTAGTTGTGTAAAATAGCCACCAGATGGTGTTATTGCTCCATGCACATGCAGCAGAGTTGTAAGTAGACAGTCTTACTTTGATCAACCAAGTCGCAGTGATGACTGGCAAAAGGCAGACATGGACAGTGGGTTGAGGTAGGGTCAAAGTGTTTTTATTTGGCACTGTAGTGGAGGGGCAAACAATGTTTTCCATAACCAGACGTCAAACTTAAAGTCATGCAGAACAGCCAATATTGTATTTTCTTGATTCTTCCCCAAAAGTTATTTTTGATAGAGTATGCTGTTTAAGACACATTACTACCTCTTAATTTTGCACATGAATGCTTGTTTGCTCTATATACTCTGATGAGCTAATTTTGACCACTTTTTGCGAGCCAAGGTCAGTGAGGTGAGCAGAGCTCTCCTCAGGCAAGCAGACGGCCAGAGCCCACACTGGGGAGAAGAATTTAAGTTTGAGGCAGATCATCTATGTGTCTCTGGTGGGGTTTAGACCATAATCTGTTCATCCAGGTGCCTGGCCTCCCACTCTGATTCTTGCCTCTCCTCTGCCAAACTCCTAGGGTGCTTATGTAATTGTGTGTGTGTCTGTGTGAATGCTTGTCAGTGTGGGTGAGTGAGTTTTGTGAGAACGGTGTGTCTTTGTGTAAGTTTGCACAAAAGTGGGTAAGTGCAGGGTGCATGTGTGTTTATAAGGGTGTGTAAGTTTTTTTTTTCTTTTTTTTTGCAGTCTTTGATGCATGGGAGAGGTGCAAGGCTGATTGAAATGCTGTTGGAGCTTCAGTGTATTCTGTAACGCTGTTCTTTTATTACCCATCTTACACAATGTAGTAAACGGACACATACCACAAGACAGTGACATAAACCAAATATTACTCCCACTGGAGCTTATTGATGAGTCTGAGTCATTAGGGCAGTGAAAGCTGTTGTGGTTGTAACTCAAGAGGATAGGTTAGCAGTGAGGGTAAGTTGTCGTGCTGAGCAGCTGTTAATGAGAAATGGCAATGTTGCTGTTCTCAGGGCAATAAAACAAGGTAGCCTTTATCTGAATGACACCTGGGAGCTTGATACTCATGGTTGCTTGCCTGTTTTTTTTTTTTTTGTTTCTTGTTTTCTTGCTTGTCTTTCTCCATCTTCTGCCTCTGTCTAAGCCTGGGCTCTGTTGTTTGTTCGGCTTTTCTTAAACAATTTGCAATGCATCCAAAAGCAATCCTCCCTTGGCACGGGTTGTTTGAGACACCTGGGCCGCGTTGTCTCATAATTCTCTTTCTACGTACTTAAGGGAAGTATTTATTTGTCTGTTTGTTCCCAAACCTTTTGTGCTTTGTTAGTATTTCCTCTCAGCTCTAGTAGAAAGATCATCAAATTTCTAGGTTTACACCCACACGAGCACTTCTTGTGCCTCACCTGGCATGGGTTACACACACACACACACACACACACACACACACACACACACACACACACACACACACACACACACACACACACACAGTCTCACTTAAAGAAAAGAACACAGCGTCCAGAGCTGTGCTCAGTTATTTCTTCGGTCACATTTCATGCTACTACTGTGTTTATTAAGTATGAAACCAGGCCTGGCTGGGGTTTCTCACAGTAATCAGGCATGAGCAAACTGACCCTGCTACACAACATCTCACATTGTCTTTCCACTCTGTCAACTACTCAGTACCTGTTGGATCAAACAATGTTATGATCACCATGGCAATAGCTCTGCGTCTGTTTGCCTGTTCCACTTTGTTAACAGGTGGTTTGAGTTGGAAACTGGGTTGTTTTTTGTGCTAATTAACCCGGCGTATGTCAAAGGAAGTTATGTAGTGAACAAGCAGATGAGGGTAACTTACTGCCGGGTCTCAACTGACCTGTCCCTCTGTAAGAAGTTTGGTGACTCCAGATGACCTGTTCTTTGATCTGTTTCTGTCTCATTGTCAGAGCAGAGCCTGAACAATATATCTAATCCTTCACACGCTGCTCTGATACTCTCAGCTTCCAAACTGTCTTCTCTCCTCGAGTCTCAGGTTCCTCAGTGGCTCTCCCTGCTATTATGATCTTGATACTTGGTGTTGAGCAACTCCTGTGCGTGTATTGTCTGTGCAGATGGGAGGGTTAAAGCAGTGAGTGTGCGTATCTGGACTCCAACCTGACAATAGGGCAGGCTGACAATGTGGAGCGGCTTTCCCTAGCCTTTCATCTTTGCAGAAAACAACTCTCCTGTTTCATTCTCACCACTCAGCCGCTCTGACACAATGTACTTTGATGTTTGTGTGTGTGTGTGTATGGGTCGTCTGGTGTTCCTTGGATGACAAATCTATTTTGTGTAAGTAAACATAGACAAAAAAGTCCGAGACACATGTTAGAGCTAAGCATATTCAGTTTTTTCTTGAGATTTTAAGTTTAAACTTGGTTTTCTGTTGAGGTTTTTGAGCCTGAAGTTTACTGCGCACTTATAAAATCACTTAGTTTTGCTGTAAATCTGTCAACAAATTAACATCTGTGCCACCCTTGTTGGAGAAAGACAAGGCGACAAGTTCGAGACAAAAGAAGCTGGATACTCAGTGATAAGTAAGGGGAGTTTCTTTTCCTCCAAACATACTGTAAGTGAGCACTTATTGCCTGTAACTCTGCATCACCTTTATGTGTGGCTGCAGCCTCTTCTTTTCCATTCCCTTGTAATACTACAAGTTTATCTGCCGACCAAAATGGCACCATAAAAGTCCAAATAAAGATGCAGCCCAGTTTGTATCAAACAAGGAGCCACATTAAAACTTTCCAGTGGTTTGCCAAGTGGAGTTGCTAAAACAAGCAACCTTTCCAAAAAGGATTCATGGTAGCCACAAAAAGCATGATGGTCACTGAATCATCCCTTTACAAAGTAATGTTTGTCTTGAAACAGAAAGGACAGCACCCCCATTCTTTGAATCAAATGTTGGTGTAGCAATTACTAATTTACAAGGACTGCGGCGTGGCATCCAGTCTATACAGAGGCGCACGCATGCATGTACCCACACACACACACTCACTCACCATTTTAAAAATGTGATTCACTGTGATGATCTCCAAACCTGAGCAAAGATGGATGTAATAAGCTTCCAACCATGTTCTGTCACTTTCCTGTCATTAAACCAGCTGGCTGTTGTCAGCCGACAGAGAGGGTTTACGGCAGTGTGCCCTCTAACCATGTGGAAATGAGTCATTATGATTTAAGCCTACAGGTGGCAGCAATACACTGAGTACTATACAAACATTAATGTAGTCATACATTCATACACAATTGATGAGGTTAGACCAGTGGGCAGTAACAAATACCCCTGATGTAGTTGTTTGAACTTCATTTATGTTACACTTATTTTTACTGTATTTATGTTGTTTGATCAACTTTTTCCTGTTCATTCAAATTTCACTCAAGTTCACTCTCGTGAACATATGCAGCAACATTACTGACACGCAGCATTTAATATACATGCTATTTTAGAATCATTATGGATGTTTCAGATTTATGATTCTGACATTTGCATTGCAGAACTGTCTGCACGTTGATATCTTCTTCTTCTTCACTCTTTCTGAATTGACTTTTCAATCAAAGTGGTACTCTCAAAATTGTTCTTTTTATTAGTTTCTCTTAATTTTGAGTCAAAGCCATACCTGTGGAGCAACAAAGGAAGTATATGATAGTCAATATTTATGTATAAATGTTGCCTTTTGCCATACTAACATACATATTTGTTGAGTCCCAAAGTGATAGTATTATGTTGTGGGATTTTATCTCAGTTAAACTTCTGTTGCCATAATACTAGAAAAGCTCTACTCCCCAGATAAAAACAAGAACAAGCAATTGATGGCGTCTCAGTTTGGCAATATTCTGATCTTGAACATGTTTGTATACACCGTGTGTAGTTGGACTAGCTTATGTACAACATGTAACCAACACAGGCATGTGAACATTAACCTGTGAGGGTGGCTAAAGGATGGTGGTACTAGCTCTACTAATTACCCACACTCAGCAGACCAATTTGACATTGTTCAGCTGCAGACTCATTGATCATATGATTAGCCCTGACACATTTTAAAAGTTTGAGCACTTTCTTTTTCATTTTGTTTGAACAAATGGGGAATTAGTTGCTTCATAACATCCGTATTCTAGTCAGCATTTTACACAGACAAAAAAGAAAGAGGATGCAGGAGATGAGGGAAGGTATCTTAAAAGTGGGAGTGCACCTCATGATCATGGCTGTGATGTGGACTGAGTGTTGAATCTCAGTCCATCAGGACCATCTTCCTTTTATGACACTTGTTGTTATGATTAATTTATGTTTAAATATACCGGTGGTGTTGTACTCTAAATCAGCACTCATGGAATACCTCCTGTCCAATCAAGTAGCTGGGTCAGAACAGAAAAAGGATTTTCAGCTTCTTCAAACATTATTCAACCAATAATCCACATCTGTGAAACCCAAGTGTTTTAGTCAATATTTATTGAGTAGTATTGGCGGTTGAGGTCATTGTCATTGTTACTGGGTGGCTGTATAGAGCATCTTTTGTGCACATCAGAGACGACACCCATTCACCTGGCAGATGTTCTTTTAGCTCTCATAGACAAGTGGCATACAGTGGTCTTTCTCCCGGCTTTCAGAATACATTAATTATCCTTATTGTCAGTGACTGTCAAAGCTGCCTCTGTCCTGTCCTGCACTTTTTCAACTGCGCCCTTTCACCTACTTCTCTCATGTGCCTTTTGGGCACAGGTGTTAATGGACCGCCTTATTCAATTGGAAGTGATACTTACAATCTGTTGGGCTCAGTGTGTGTCAGCCCACACTTAAGAATAGGAAATATCCAGGAGCATGTAGATCCATAGCAGAGGAGGGATTACTTTTCAAGAGCAGCTAAAAGAGGTGAGTGCTTTAAACTTCAGTTGGGGCAGCTACTGTAATGTCATGCACAAACGACAATATCAAAGCAGAGAAAAACAAAAACATTACCATGTTCTTTTCCATGCCTCTTTTTTCTCAAACCACTTGATATCAAATTTGGGTTTCGTTTCTCCCCTCCACACCCCCCTTGAACGATGTAGGACAATATAACTTTTCAAATTGTTTTCTAACAATGAAGGCACTGTGCCTGTTTTAAACCTGCTCAGCATAACAGACTATAATTGAACCTAATCCATCTTCTGCGTCATCTGATGCCTTTCTTGGTTTTGTGTTTGGTGTTCTTTCATCGTCTTGAAGGAGAAATCTTTGTAGCATGCGTGTTTGCGTATAAATATATACCAGTTGCTGAGGAACGATGCCTTTTAAACTTGGCAGTTGCTGAAGACAGGTTTTCATTCTTCCTGTGAGGCAGAAGTGTGAAAGGTTAGCTTGTGGAGTCAGATGGGTGTTTATACCGGGATGATGATCAGATGCTGCCTGCATCACTATTGGAGACACCACGCCCTTTGACTAAGTTTAGCCTTGTTTATGTACAAGCTTAACTTGACATTTTCTCCTCAGCTTTCAGCCCAAGGCTTTATTTCCTCCCGGATTCCAGTCTGTAGCTAAAATTAAAGTCATGTATTGACTCAGGTCAGAAAGAAAACAGGAATCTAATTTTACCACAGTAAATCTTGTGTTAACCGTTTAAACATGTGGATGTATTCATAGCGCATCTATAAATATATGATGGTGGTAATGATGGTATTCTGAAATTTATCTATGTAGAAATTCCTGAATTTTTATACTACGTTTTCGCTTGAAATTTTGACATATTTAGAATTTACTTATGTTTAGACTGTGACGTGTCTATTTTTGTATCTTTTCTAAAAAATTTGAAGCCATTGCTAACGCGCTCTTATTTAGCATGTTTTGTGTGCATGGGCATCTTTTGCAGGGAATCAGATTCAGCTGTGGTAACACATGCTTTCTAAATGCTTTCTCTGTGTTTCTGGTGGCTGGATAATTGGAGTTGTAAAAGTAGTAGGATTCAGATGCAGAACTGTTCTCATTAATCAGGATCAGTGTTCCCTCTGTTAATGATCCAGGGGAGACCTCACAATCCCCAGGCCACTTTCCCCCCTCCCAATTCCCCGCCCTGCTTTCTAGGAAAACTCATCTCACAGCGCAATCACTCTCTCTTTATTCCTCTTGATCTCAAGTACCCCGGTCACTGTGCTCTGCTTCACTGCCCTCTGGCACACACACTGCAAAGACGGGGGTTTTGGGGGGAGGTGGGTGCAAATGGAGCAGAAAGGCGCATCTGCATGCCATATCTTAGGAAACTCATTTTCCCACTCATGTCTGGGTAGATAGAAACAAAGAGACCTTAAAGAGTTTGTTTGTGCCTCTCTTTTCTCGGTAGTAAAGAAGCTCCTGAGTCGTAACTTTATGAGTAGTCCTGGATCAGTGTCAGGGCTGAGAGGGGGAGCTTAGGGTGTACTTAGCTCTCTCGTCTCTCGGTCGTAGCTGCATAAAGCCGGTGTTTGGAAGAAAAGCCCTATCATACTTTGCCCCATCAAACCCACCAGCTTTTCGTTACCATGGCATCAAATGTGGAAATAGTTACCCAAGTATCGTAAATGAAGGCTAACCTCTCTAATCAACGGAACTCAACCCAGAGAGTCAAATGGAAGTGTTATGTGTCTACATCAGAGTAAGCTTTGTCAAATTTTGGCATATTATCGAGGAAAAGGCAATTGTTTGTACAGCATGGAAACATTATGTTACATCATTCGGGGGTACAAAGAGGCTTTGTGTTCACAGACGGGATTTTCTCATGCAAATGTTTGCCTCACCCAATATTGTTACCAAAGCACAAGGTGTTGTGCTGTTTCCTCTGAAAACTCGAGAATATCACATTATGTTCTTCTATCAAAGAAACACATGAGATGATAGACTCCATATCCGAGGCACTCATGTCAGACCACAGCGTCGCTATTAAGCACTTTGTCAGACGCATTTGCGAAGTGCTCTCTACCAGACTAATCCAATTGGCTAGAGATTGATTAGCAGTTAAAAGCCCTTCTTCCTCTGGTCGGAGTGATCCCTTCCAAATGCTGCCCAGTGGGCTAGCTTTAGCAGGACTGGCCCACCGGATCAGTTGGTGCCAGGCGCACTTCCTGTGTAGGGTTTCACCGGGAGCGATCAATACACGCAGACAGCTAATTGGATGAACACTGACACTCTCATTTCTCTACTCCCCACTTTATGGTCCAGAGAATAAAAGCTGAATAGGGGTTTATAGTGGAACTTCCTGTCTTGTTACAGTAGGGAATATACTGAATTTATGGGAATGGAGTGAGGAAATTGGCTGTATAATTTCTATATCTGTTTCAATTTAAAGCATAGGTTGTTAGTTGATGCAGAGGGATCCAGTGTATAACCTGTCATAACCTCAGATATCCCTCCTCGCTCACACTCTCTCGCTGTCCATAAACACTTTCAACAATACTCACCTCACACCAACACTGATACTTGTTGCCTTGCATAACCCCTGTAGTATTTTCCCTCAACCTCCTGTTAGTGTGTTTTTCTCTAATCAGTGTGTTCTCTGTATGCCCGTACAGGATGACCAAATTTGATGTGAAGAACTACCTGGAGAAGATTTATAGTGTCCCAGTTGGAGCAGTTCGCACCAGGATACAGTTTGGTGAGTCTGCACTGCTTTGCACAAGTTCATAGAACTGGAAGTGCTTGACACTAACTCTCATTTATTTAGCAAATTTTGTACCTGCTGTTGAAGAGGTGACTACTACACACCAATAGCTGCTATTCACATGATTGGGAAGTACTAGTTAGTGATGGACTGTTCAGTCTTCACAGGTCCTTTCTAGGCCTTGTAACTCTTGACTTGGTACCAAGTAAAAGGTCCAAATGACTTTTCGTAATTGTAGGCAGGATCTTAATGTAGCGACATGAGTCTTGCCAGTGGGCCATTTTGAGAAACATAAAACTCTGGGGTGTGTGTGACCCAGGCCAGTATTCTGAATTGGTACTTAGCGTGTTTTCCTGTCATCAGTCATACTCTGACTACAACATGTAAATACATTGAAAGAAATAGTGAGGAGATTTTATTTCAGGTCAGTCTGATGTTATTGTATGACTCATCGACATTATATCGAGGAAACTTTTGTGGTGGAGGCTCATTACATCCATCATGGCTCTACACCTATGTAAAGACATGGAGTCCATCCAAATTGTTAAAAGAGATGGTGTTAAGTCAGTGGTGAAAACACTAGAGTCATGGTCAGCAATACCCGGCCACAAACATTGCATCCAAATTAAAGCCCTGCTGCAGCTGTTGGGGGTAAATTGAGGGAATGGTTCACCGAAAGTCTCAGTAAACTCTAAACTGCCAAGTGTGTTAACTCCTGCCTCCTCTAACATTGAGGGCTACAATGGGCCTAAAGTTTTCCTGAACAAGGCCAAGTGCTTGTGTTTGTGAACATAAACAGCCAACTTTTTATATCCCACCAACCTCCCAGTATGAATTAGAAATAGAGTTCAGGTGTGGGAACTTAGCTGAAAAATTCACATTAAGTAAGCCAATGTCAGTGACGATGCCTCTGTCTTTAGGCTGGTGTTTGATCTAGTTTTGCTGCTTGCTTGTTAAGTACTACTGTTATGCAAATCACTAGCAGAGGCCTCCAGTTTGTGCTAGAGCTGGGCGATTAACTGAATTATTTCCAGTAATTCAATCGATTCAATTTTATTTTTTAAATTGATGTGAAAAATTAAAATCTCAACATTCAATTTAAGATTTCCCTGGCTGTCCGTTGTTTTGACCTTGCACATGTAATACATGCAGTCACCAAACCAGGAGGACTGGTGCTGTGTCATAAACAAACTGTGGTCAACATCTGTTTGCGCATGACCGATAGATGAAGAACACACGTAACACAAGATACCTGTGAGCCGGTAAACAAGAAGGATGGATAGAGGTCGGACACAGAACAGACCAGTGTGCTATTCAAAGTTTCTAAAAAGATTGTAAAGACAAAGGGAAGTGGCTAGGACTGGGCGATTATATGGTTGTGATTAATGATCATTATTAATTTCAGTTCGATTGCGGTGATCAGCTGTAAGCATATTTACTCAATCAAACGTAGTGGAAATGTGTGTGACAACAGCCAATCAGAGTAGAGTTTTTCCTGCTCATTGCTGTTAGTTGCCGGAGACGTAAACAGGAGAAGTAAACAGAGTGACCGACCGTGGAGCTAAGAGCGGAGCTGAGAGCAGCAAAATAGATTTCAGCCATGACTTTGAGTCATCCTCCGAAGATACCATTGTTGAGAATAAAAGTTACTCAATGTGAGTTGTGTGGTGGTGGTTCGGGTATCTCCAAAGTGACATTGAGCAATTAAGCCAATGTGCAAGGTATGTCGGCAGTCGGTGCGGTCTGCACAGCGTGCCACTGCTGACGGCACAAGTAGCATTAGCAGTTTAGCCACAACTAGCGGTGCAGCCCCCAGACCAAAGCAGCAATCAATCGTATCATCTACGTTTCCATCATCTAATGTTTACATTTTAAGGCATCTTCATTAACCTTGAGGGGTGATTTGTTTATTTTGGGTCTTGCATACTTGCATTAACACTCAGGACTGTAAACTAATTCAGTTTATTCATCTACATTTGTTGTTCATCTTATTTAATTTGCTTTGTTATTTACTTGTATGTTAGTAAAATGTTGAACTAATCTTTAGTTTCTTTAGTTTTTAGTACAGATGCTTTAAAGCTGGCAGTTTGAAAAAATACAACAAAAATCGTGATAATAATCGAAATCAGACTATATGACTAAATATACTGTGATCATTTTTTTTCCAAATCGCCCAGGCCTAGAAGTAGCACAACAAATCCCTACCAGCACATCAAGCAAATGTCCGACAGAGTGGGAGCAATGTGTGAGGCGTCGCCTCACAAGCCCTGATGCTAGCTCTATGAAAAAAAAAAAAAAAAACTCCAGCTAAAGCAGAGCATAGTGTCACTGCAGTATTTTCCAAAGTAACGCCATATGACAAATCAGAACAGAGATAGAATGATATTTCAAAGCGGTGGCCTTTTATGTACATGCCACAGAGCACGCCTCAAGCCAGAGTCTGTTGATAGACTTGTTTTCTTGGTAAGAAATTTTAAACTATAATCCAGCTGGGGGAGAAGCAAGTTGATGCATAGGTGTTTAAAAAGTGTTCATTTTTGTTCGGATATATGATTGAGATAATCGTGACAAGATTTAATGCTTACTTAAAATTTCATTTGTTGTATTGCATTAATTGCACTTTTTTCTCCAGTCATACAGTACTGTTTTATTTTTTTTTTTCAATACAGTGCCCATGCAAGAGTTCTTGCTAAATTACCTCAACAACAGTTATATTGCAAAAAACTGCAGATGTTGTGGCATCCGATAAAGTTTCTTATTTTTGAATTTACACAGGGAAAAATTGATTACAATCATGTATTGGATTTTAAGCTGAAAAAATCAATTAAGATTTAATTTTTTGGCCGTATCACCTAGCCCTTGTTTGTGTTTTTTTTTTTTTCAATGTTATCAGGTCACAAATGGGTAGGTGCACAGTAAGAATAAGGCAAGCATGTTTTGGTACTCTACTGTTCCTGAAAGAGAACTGTACCTCAATTTTCCATTCCCCATCAAATAATGTTTCTGGTACATGATCACTTTATATCACACCCCTATCTTCTCCCTTTCTTTGTCAAAGTGAATAGATTCATCACACACATAGATTTTCAAAAGTTTATTTCCCTAATTTTTTATGACTGTAACTTACAGCTAATGAAAGCCATCTCAGAAAATTTGAATATTGAATAAGTTCAATATTGGACTCATGGTGTCATGCTCTCATTAGATGATTAACTCAAAATACCTGCAAAGGTGTCCTGAGCTTTTAAATGGTCTGAAAGTCTGGATCAGTAGGCCACACAATCATGTAAAAATCTGCAGACTTGACTGTTGTCCAGAAGACGATCAATGGCACCATGCACAAGGAGGGTAAGACACTAGAGGTCAATGTTGAAGATGCTACCATGCTTTATCCAAGCACATTTATGGAAAGCTGAAAGTGAGGAAAAAAATGGGGTAGAAAAGGGTGCAAAAGCACCAGAGATAACTGCCGCCTTGAGATGATTGTAAAAGGAAGCCTATTAAAGAATTTGCAGGAGATTGAGTGGACTGCTGCTGAGGTCAATGCTTCCAAGAACCACCACGCACAGACAGATCCGGGACATAGCCTTCAACTGTAGCATTTCTTGTGTGTGTTTCACTTTTTGAACTGAATTACTGAAATAAATCAACTTCTTGATGATCATCTAATGGGGCTGCACGATATATTGTTTGAGCATCGTCATCACGATGTACCTGTGCGCAGTTGTCACATTGCAGAGCCAGCGATATAGGAGGCGAATGAACTCATTTAATTTCAAGGGTAGCTGACTGAGATACTCTGCATGTGAATCTGCATTTGCTGTACAGCGATCCACCAATCATTTTTTTACTCAGTTGCCAATCAGACTACCCTGCCAGCTGTCAATCAAAATAAGAGAGGAGAAAACCACGCCCCTGCACATTGAGTAAGTCGCTGGCGCTGTCAGTGTTTTGCCAAGAAACGCAAGCCCGCCGAGGATTACTTTGGGAACATTACTCATCACTGTTTAGCCCCACAAATAAGAACTGTATGGGTTTTAAATTGTACATTTCCGTGGACCACTCCACTAAAAGTGGTGCATGTTTTGCGAAGGGCATGCAATTTTCAGCAGCCATGTGTTTCTCGGCAGAACACTGGTAACAACGATTGCAAAATGAGCAACGAACATAGAAAACCACCGAAAATGAGGACTTGTTGCCAAAAAGAAAAGCAAGGTCACTTATCTGGAATTATTCAGGTTACAAGAAAGATGATGTCGTTGACCAAAACATGTGTTCTGTGTTCATCTGTTGCCACAATAAAGTCCCAGCACAATAAAAGCTAAAAATATCTCTGAGACAGACAGAAGCCATTCTACTAACATTCACAAAAAGAGGTGAGATCAGTTCAGGTTGATTGCCCACAAAATTTCAGCAGTGCAGCAAAGCATAAAGTGCTATTCAGGTCATCTGGTGAAAATTCCTGTATTTTTTAATATCGCAAAATATATCGCAATGTTAGTTTTTTCCAATATAATGCAGCCTTATCTTCTAATTTATTGAGATGCACCTTTAGCAGGGGTTGAGAGGGCTAAAAATTAAAGTGAACAAGTAAAGTAAATCAGAGTAAACGGAAAACATTGCACTGTGACCACCCCAGTTTTTTTGGACATCTATGCACTTCATCTGACAGGTAAGACTTTATGCTGTGATGGGATGCATCAACTCAGGTCCATTTCAGGGACATTCACCCTGAAATATGTAGAAATTGTCCAGGGTGAATGTCCATAAACAGCTCTTGAGCACTTATTTTGGACAACCATGTTTATTGAAGGTCTAAAGCAGTCCCATTTTATATGTAATATTGTAAACCTTGTTTGACCTGCTTCTGTAGTGAGAGGGCTGCACTAATTTTGCTTTTATTCATAAATTTATGAACACAATCAGAAGGCATGGTGATAAATTCAATCAGCTGCTCATACTGCACATTGTTCTTGGTCAGACATTATTGATCTAGTTTAGAGATTCTCAGCACAAGTCTAATGTTAACAGAAAAGTGAACCAAATTCAATAATATTTTATCATGTTACACTAAATAGTAACCCCCGGTTATATTATCTACTGACACTGTTAGCATGTACTGCTATGACTACTGATATCTCTGTGCTTTAAAGGCAGCTTCTTTGCATTTTAACACAGGCTTATTATTGTCATCTGGAACATCAGGTGCAGTACCTGATGTAAAGAGATTAATGTGAAAGCTAAAGATGAGGGGACCTTGGACAGATGCCTGTGGAGTTCCCCCCTTAAAACAATAGCCCTTTCTCAGTTGGGAGTGCATAACCATGGCATAATGCATCTGCACTGTAACCTCCCTTTTGTTAGTTCAAGGCTATCCCAGTAGGACATTATATCTACATCCGAGTTAGGGATTTCATATTGCGTAATGGGGTTGTAGAAGCCTGAGTGCTAGCAGGACCTTCATATGCACAGAGCTGTTCAACCCTGCCACTATGTCAGTTTACAGGGACCCCTATCCTGCTTCTGTATACTCCTCTTACCATTGACTGTATATAGAATGTATGCTGTCTTCCTCCTAGCTGGGTGAAGCCACCCCGAGAACAGCACCCTTTAGTGACTCGCTGCAGTATAGGTCATAAATCCCTCCTCCTCCAGCCATCCCTATGGAGCTGTGAACAAACCTTAGAAATTAATTACACAGAATATACATTTTTCTCCCCCCTGCTTGCGATGTTGACATGTAGTTACTGTGAGACTGGCTTGTGCTCAAGTTCTCTTTTTTTCTGTGCAGCTCCATTTTTAAAAGTTATCAGGTGGTTCATGTTTTCTATGATTGGCACTTGATACAGCCTATGGGCGTACAAAGATTAAGTAGCTCAGAAAAAAACGCGGAAAATACTGAAAACTTTTTGGCTTCAAATACGTATACTAGCGGAGGGCGGATCCAAGTTGTCCGTTGTCAGGGTTTCCCCTACATGCAATTGATCGTGGCACACCACCACGACTAAATAAAAGCTGCCACACCTAAAAAAAAAAAGTTTTAATCTCACTTAGTTCTACCTTGGACTCATATGTATCAGCAGTGTTCCCCTACATTAATTCAGCAGCGGCGCAAAACCACTGATAACTACAAAAGCACTCACAGAGCACAGACCTCCGCCAAGCAGCTCATGTCCCCCCTTATATTGTGATTCACACCAAAACTTTTACTGTTACGTGTCTTTTATTAACTTTTATTTGTGTTTAAACTGGTATGTTCACTGTTCATAATGTTCCTAAAACAAGAAATGCCCTGACCCAGATTCGAACCCAGGACCTTCTTGCTGTGAGGCTACAGTGCTAACCACTACACCACTGTGCTGCCCATTGGTTATCTTTCAGCATTGAAAATTTCAACAACACCCTTATTTTTGTGTGTTCTGGATCACAGTATCCGGAATTTTGTCTGGATCAGGATCAACCTTTGACACCTCATAAAACTCATTGAGATCCTTTTGTGTCATTTTTTACTAAAGACTCTGGCCATTTTTATAGAGTTAAATGCAAAAATTCCAAAATTTGCCCTATCTCACAATGATAGAGAATCCTTCAAAAAATTCCTGGATCCGGAAGGCGATCCAGATCACCACCAAAATGTAATGGGATCCTCCTGGGGCTGAGACGCACCCCTGGTGAAAATTACAGGTCAATCCGTCTGTTACTTTCTCCGTAAAGTTGTTCACATTCAAACAAACAAACAAACAAACAGGCAAACAAACAAACCAATGCTACCGAAAACATAACCTCCTTGGCGGAGGTCATTACGTGCGCCGCTACTGAAATTTCACATGATCATTAATATCAATGCGCCACTAATGATTTTTTATGTCACTGTGTGAGCACAACACACAGTGTTATTTTTGACTTGTTTTGAGTTATCAATGAGCGCCTCTTCCGCTAATGTGAAGGGTAACGTTGAAGCTTATATACTGTCTGTATAGCGAGTAGCGCAGGTAACGTAACGTGTATGTAACAGTGTAGCTCCTGGAGCGGCAAGAGATTGGGAGTAACAACGACCCCCCCACCCCAACACACACACACACACCGCTGCTGCTGAAAAAAATTCTAGGGGAGACACTGGTAGTATATACAGTCCATGCGTCTTACCAATTGCAACCTCCACTGGTGCCTGTAGTGACATTTATATCTTGTGAATGTCACCTTGAAATGAGCTTATGAGAAGTGGCATCATGTCTTTAATCTTTGTGCACTGCATTCTGTTTTTTTTGCTTGGATTAGTAACGTTTAGCAAAAGTTTTTAATTTTCATATGCGTGCACTAAAATTTCATAGATAATACGCACTTTATAGTCTCTTAAATCAGTTGATAGGTTTGCAAATTATATTTTTGTTGTTTATGTGAGTCACAAAGAATATGCTTTTGTTTTAAAGTATAAAGTCAAATATTCCTGTTATTTAGCCTTTAAGCAGCTGTTAGTGGGGACAAGCATTTCTCAGCTTGCAGTGTAGACTGTCTTACCATTGACGTGTGGCAGAGGGAGTGTTTTCAAGCGGCTAGTTGTGGTAGTGGTTAGCGTGCCTGGCTCTCCTTTCTCCTAACACACACAGCTGCTTATCTGACAATCTGCTGCTGCAGCATTCCAGCCTCCAGCTGTCCCAGGACACCCCACTCTCCCTCCGCACAAACACATATTATTCACTTACAAACGTGCATCTTTGGGACCCTTAGTGCCCCCCGCCCCCTCATCAAGTGTTATCGTAGAGCCAACAGTGTTATATCACTGACTTAATCCTCGACCCGCATTTGTATGGGTTGATTTATGGGCTCCCTACAAATTTAGGACCTATCAAGTGAATGAAGGAACAAAGGTGGAGGACATATAGGTGACTTAAACTTGTGGAACAGCTGAGATGAGTGTGCATGAGCCCCCTCTGTGCAGTGCCTGAAGGGCCAAAAGGAGCCCCCTCTACCTCTGGAGGAGAGGCTGGGAGGGGAGGAGGAGAGAGGCGCCTACCTTAGCCTAGCCTACAGTGTGGAGTACCCATTAACACTGTTTATTAGGGTTGTGTTGTTAAAAGCTAGGGGAAAAGGAAAACCCCTCGGGAGGGTGGGTGGAAGGAAAGCATTGAGCTGTGAGGGTACAGAGAGGATAAAGTAAAAAGGGCAGCTCAGGGCCCCTCGGTGATCCCGAGGTGCGTCAGAGAAGGTATCCCATGTCTGCGTCAGGGGTTCCACTCAATTGGCTGCGTAAAGACGGGAACCGGCAGAGTACAGCGAGGGGCGCAAACGACCCTTTCCTCCCTCCATGGGCGGCAGGGGTATTTTGGAAGAAGTTACCATGGTTACTCCTTTGGCCTGGGATTTGTAACATGATAGCCGGCTGCCAAACCGCAATCTCAAAGTGGGAGAAATTGTGCTTGCGTTTGCGAGTGTTGCATGAAAGCCATGTCTGTGGGTCTGTTAGGAAAGGACTATGTGAATAAAGAGAAACACGCTCTGTACCTTTTTTAGACCATTGTGTAAATGTGTCTTATAGAGTTTATTTAATTCAATTCAGTTTTTTTTTTTTTTTTTTTTTGGGGGGGGGCATTGTCTTACCCTGCTCTTTTAAAGGTTGAACCATATCCCTGTGGATTTCCTTAACAATCACAGACATAGACAGAGACACACTCTTCGTTACCTCTGTCTCCCACCCACACAGGGGCCTCCAGTTAGCCAGGGGAGCATGGAGGGGGTGTTTTACAACCCTGCTCAGGGCTTTCCCTGAGCAGTGGGCTGCCTGGCTAGTGATTATAGCTACACATACCACACACACACACACACACACACATTCACACACACACATGACTCATTATAGCGGAATGTTTCCCTTGTTTTTCATGTCATAAACTGTTCCCATAGCAATGTCAGTTTCTCAAAGGGCTTGTTGACTTGACCACTGGTGTCCTCCTGAGATCAGAATCCAGGCAGAGATGATCGTTTGATGCTCTATTTATGAGCGCTCAGTGACAACAGACTTTTTGGCCCCGAAGCAAAGATTGGGGTGAGCTGAAGTTAAATAAAAGTAAAATTTCATTTTATGGTGCTGGGCCTTTAGCTGGTCCTGATCACAATTAAACACATGCAACACAAACATATAACTGCACATGGACTCAGCATCTCCCTTGTCTCCCAGACTTGAAAAGGTCAGACAGGAGAAATGGTGATGTCATCATCATCATCATCATCATCTCCAGCTGGAGATGGGTTAACCCGCCTTCTGCAATCAACAAGATCAGACTGTGCTTTACCACGTGGTTTTCTCAGTCACACTGTGTCATGAACAAAAATGTGAAGTCAAATGGATTAGCTGCTGTAATTATAAAGCTGCATGTCGTCCAAAGGGAAACTGAGCTGCAGTCAGAATTGTTAAACTACAGTGGTAACTCAGGCTGAAATGCATTATTGTCACATGTTGTACTTTGAATTTTCTTTTTGTTTGCAGATTTTGTGGTGGTAATAACTGAAATATGTGCATCTTTATTTGTGGTTGATCGTTGCAAGCAAGCAAGTTGACTGATGGTTGATATTTAATGCTCATATCACATTACATCACATTTTGCATTTGATGAAGTACAACAATTAATGATATTAATGAATGAGAAACAAAAACGCTGAACTTGAATTAACATTTCCGCAAGTAAATGTAGACAGAAAAAATTTATTTGCCAACCCATTAATCAGTCTATTTTTAACCTTAATTTTCTGCAGCATAATACCATGTGACTGACTGGTTTTATTGAACCAACAACTTTAAAACTTGAATTAGTTTAAGTTTAGAAAACTTGAAACAGAACCTGCATTTGAAAAGTTGTTTATGCTTAAAAAGAATTTTTCTCTTTTTCTGTTTCACTTGTTGATTAACTTTTCTAATATTTCCCTGTTTTGTACGGATACGATATTACATGATTGGCATTACAAACGCAACAGTGTCTAAATCACATGAATAAGTCTTGAGGTGTCTCATTTTGTGAATTAAATAAAAAATCAAATTACAGTCTTTTATCACATATATGCATAAAAAGTGTCACAAAATAAAAGAAAGCAATGCTGCTCACTTATTTTGCTAAATCATCCTCATATAACTTAGATTAAAGTCTACACATCGCTTTCTCCTCGTTACTGGGCTCTCCTTAATCGCTCGGGTAAAATCCGAAATGCACCCACAGTAGTGATGTGGTACGTGGCTTTGAAACCAGAACCATCCTCCATCTGACCAAGACGAGAGGTAAACAACGTGTGGCGGCAACGACGACGGTGCGTGCTGCAGCTGCTGGCGCAACACGATGATGTCAGACTCGGATTAAAGTTATTTTATGTAACTTTGTGGATAATATAAATGATGAACAATAATCGGGAATATGGGAAATAACTGCGGTTGGCAAATATTGTAATAATTGCGACTGCCGCATATGTAAGCAGAAAAGCCTCTGTACAAACTCTGTTTCAACCCCTGCTGTTTTTGAATGTTCTAGTGTCATCTGACTGTTCAACTACATTAACACTGCACTTCTCATCTCCTACTGTACTGGTGATCATGATCATTATAAATGTGTTCCCAGTCTGAAGCCTTAAAAACATTAACCTTTGTTTTATCATTCTTTCATATTCATAAATGCTGTACTCTCTGTTTTTATGTTTCCCAGGCTCCAACAAGAAGAGGAATCACCTAAACCAGAAGGTGAAGCAGCCTGACTATAAAGTGGCCTACGTACAGCTGGTGAGAAGACTCAAAGACACTTTTGCAATCTTGCAAATACACTCATCCTTCGAGTCCAAGTCCTCTCTGGTTGCTGTGTTGTTTTGGTAGCATTAGCTTATTGACTCCTGTCCAGTGCACAGTGGGAGGTGGAACCCTCTCCAGAAACACACACTCTCTTTCCCTTTGACACCCAGCCCTCTGTAGGCTGCTGTTTTTCTTTCTAATTGTCGAGGTTTCGTTATTAAACACAACACCCAGGGGGAAAGGGCATTCTGGGACTTGAGCTTTTGGCTTTTGTGTCAAGGGCTGTTTTTGAAGGGGGGGGGGGGGGTTAGGTTGTAGGTTGGAGAGGTGAGGTGGCTTAGTTGGTGTACCTTTGTAGAGCCCTCAGATGAGGCAAAATTTGATGCAAGCCCTTAAATGCCGATGGTATGAGCAGACACACACATATAACAAAATGACTGTTGCACACACCCTTCATAGAAATGTATCGAACAATGTCCCAGCGCTGGCCTTGGTCAATTGTATTCTCTGTTTAATTAATACAACCTCTCATGCAAACACTCACAAATCCACACCCCCACCAACACATCTCTCTCTCTCCTGTGTGGTTCACAGTCTCAGGCCGCCCTCTTGGGAAAGCAGCCGTCTGGGTTCCTACTGGGCTCAAGGTTGAAAGGTCCTCTCTGCTCACATGCCAAACTTATTACAGGACATTATGAGATATGGTTATCATCTGGCGTAGCTTTCTTTTCTCTCTGTGTTGTGCCATTACTGGAATGTGAACAGTCATGAGCACTTAGCATGCGTGTGTTTGAAGGGGCACTCCCCATGGCGGCGTGGCAGCCCAGACTTCATCATTGCGTAATGGCCATTGCCTTCACACCTGTGTTTGAGGTGAGATTTGGGTCAGGAAGGCCCGGTCCCTGCACGTCTTGCCAATGTTTGAAGTCTTTTACCCTTTGAAATCAAACAACCCCCCCCCACCCAAAAATATGTAAAAAAAGGTCATTGTTTTAATGCTCCTTTGATGCAGATGTCAAAAGCAATGGGCCTTTGTTTTGTTCCTTCCGTTTTGATCTTGCCCAGATAAATCAACAGCGGTGTAGACGCTTGTTTACACCCCGCCGCCCACCCGACTGGGAGCCATCAATCTCGAAACGGATGAATAATGAAAATTGTCTAAACCCAACAATTTGAAAGAGGATACATGCTCGAAGCAGCCATGAATCTTTTAAAGGGAGACTTCCTTTCTTGTGACACCAAGAAGGTGGCCCGTGACTTTGTGCATCTGGAATTCCTTACAGGAGTCAGAAGTGATGCTCCTGTCTCACCAGAATCAAACGACAGTGATAAGAGGGAGGATGCAGAACAGCAGACACACATCTGTGACATTTGTGCATCACCCAAGCATGCAGAGCCCCAAAGGCCGAATACTTTTCCTTGAATGTCATTCACTCCCTAGCTGCAATCACGTCGTGGTTTTCGGGAGTCATGATCATTTGATGATGAACAACGGGCAGAGAGACTGAGATGGAGGCTCTTTGTGTTTGAAACAGCTCGATATAAAAACAAATATCCGGCCTATTTCTCTGGCAGTTTTTCTTTAAAAAAAAACAACAAAAAAAACAGGCTCTCAAAACTCCCCTTCCTACCTCACTCTCTTTCTTGTGTTTGCGCGCACACACTTGCAAAAACTCACACACACACACACACACACACACACACACACACAGCCCCAGAAAACCCTCCTTTCTTTTGCAGCGGTGGGTAGAAAACAAGATTGTTCTTAATTGACTCCACATGTGGGAGAGTGTTCTGTGGGTCGATGCTCACACCGCGGTCCCCCTGTTCTACCCTCATCCTTTCCTCTCCCCCCTTCTCCTCCCTCCTCCTGCCCCCGCCATCAGCTTATATAGCAGCGGTAATATGTTTGCACTCTCCCTCTCTCTTGTTCCTTCCTCCTGGTCTGTGGTTGAGGGGAGGCCTCCTGTTAGCGGGGTTCCGTGACGGCCATTTTCCTCATGCCTAGAGGAGGACCCCAGTAACAAGGAAAGAGATAGCGTCTGTGTGAAATGTGCATTTCATGTGAGGAAGTCTGTGTGAGATTGTGTGTGCGTGCGTGTGTGTGTGTGTGAGTGGCAAACATAGGGGAGGTGACTAAGGGGATGATGGAGTCAAGCCAGAGCAGGGAGGTCCAGAGACAGGGCAAAGTGATCAGGGGCAGAGGGGGGCTGTGTGTGTGTGTGTGTGTGTGTGTGTGTGTGTGTGTGTGTGTGTGTGTGTGTGTGTGTGTGTGTGTGTGTGTGTGTGTGTGTGTGTGTGTGTGGTTGGTGACAGGGTGGTGGAGTGTGTGCTCGGTTGATAAGAACAGCCAAACACAATGACAAATCTTGAGTCCATTTCATAGATTTCTGATGGTTTCATGTTAATCTCCATTCTGACATTATTGAAGAGTTCTGGTTTTCAGTTTGTAGTAGGTTTGTAGTCCCAGTTGTGTTGACCCATCAGGTTTTGTTGTTTGCAGGAAAAACAGTCCATGTGGAGAGCGTTAGCATGCAGGTGGAGCACACACTGCTGCAGTGACATCCTGGCTCCTATTGGCAGTAATCTGATGATGATCTATCCTATATATTTATACAAGAGCAGCTGACAAACTGTTCTGGATCAAAAATACAAACTTGAGCAACAAACATCTTGGACACAGTGATGCAAAATCTCATCAGAAGTTAGATTTTTAGATTTCCTTTGGTGCTTAAGAAACGATTTAATCAAACTATGTTCATCAACCATAAATTTTAAACTTCTACTTTTGATTTGTTTTCTCTTCGCACTTCTACTTTGTGAAGATCTCTATCACAGAGTTATTTTGGCAAACTTTAGCTCAGTTACTTGTAAGGAAATCACTCGGTTTTGTTTTTGGCTGCTGTTGAACTGGGACCCAGTACTACTTAAAACAATGGGCACCACTGTGAGCAATGTGATGGACAACAATGTCGACATTATACTAGACTGCAGACATGAAAACAGACCAAGAAGGAAGTCTTGGTTTCCAGTTGTCTTTGAACCGGCTAGCTTACAGTGAAAGGACTTTTGCTTACATTGATCGTCACAGTTGAAGTTTCGTGATTGGTTGTTTGTCAGTTTGACAATCTGTATGTAGTGAGATAACTGTCTCTGCTAGGGCTGTAAAGTCCTAGTCGACTGGTCAACTTATTGGTCAATGCGTGCTAAAGTTGACCAAAATTCTGATTGGTCGACTTGATTTTTTTCGCATCAGTTTACAGTCTATGGTTTATTTCATCAGGGGGAGCGTACCAGGTGCTAATGGGGGTGTTTTCAGAACACTTCCGTTTCACAGGTAACAGCCTGTCTCAGAACAACCCCCTTGTTTTCACCATTTTGGATTCGCCCAACCCACAGGAGACCGGCTGGAGACAGGAAGTTTGAAGAAAGTCCACATGAATTAACGTCCGGCGATTAGCTGTGTCCAAAAGTGCTAACCAAGGTTGCTTTGCACAGTAACACTTCATGCTCATTATCAATATACTTGAGGGACAGCAGATACACACGTGGACAAAATTGTTGGTACCCCTCAGTTAAAGAAGGAAAAACCCACAATTCTCACTGAAATCACTTGAAACCTACAAAAGTAACAATAAATAAAAATTTATTGAAAATTAAATAATCAAAATCAGCCATTACGTTTGAAATGTTGATTAACATAATTATTTAAAAAAAACAAACTAATGAAATAGGGCTGGACAAAAATGATGGTACCTCTATAAAAGATTGAAAACTATTTGACCAGAGTGACATGATTAACTCAGGTGTGTCCTTTAATTGACATCACAGGTGTTTCCAAACTCATAATCAGTCAGTCTGCCTATTTAAAGGGAGACAAGTAGTCACTCTGCTGTTTGGTGAAAAGGTGTGTACCACACTGAACATGGACAACAGAAAGCGAAGGAGAGAATTGTCCCAGGACATCCGAAAAAAAATTATAGACAAACATCTTAAAGGTGCAGGCTATAAGACCATCTCTAAACAGCTTGAAGTTCCTGTGACAACAGTGGCTCATATTATTCAGAAGTTCAAGACCCACGGGACAGTAGCCAACCTCCCTGGACGTGGCCGCAAGAGGAAAATTGATGACAGATTGAAGAGACAGATCGTTCGAAATGTATCCAAAGAGCCCAGGACAACCTCCAAAGAAATTAAAGGTGAACTCCAAGGCCAAGGTACATCAGTGTCAGATCGCACCATTCGTCGTTGTTTGAGCCAAAGTGGACTTCATGGGAGACGACCAAGGAGGACACCACTGCTGAAAAAAAATCATAAAAAAGCGAGACTGGAATTTGCAAAAATGCATGTTGACAAGCCACAAAGCTTCTGTGAGAATGTCCTTTGGACAGATGAGACCAAACTGGAGCTTTTTGGTAAGGCACATCAACTCTATGTTCATAGACTCAAAAACCAAGCATACGAAGAAAAGAACACTGTCCCTACGGTGAAACATGAAGGAGGCTCAGCAATGTTTTGGGGCTGCTTTGCTGCATCTGGCACAGGGTGTCTTGAATGTGTGCAAGGTAAAATGAAATCTGACGACTATCAAGGCATTCTGGAGAGAAATGTGCTGCCTAGTGTCAGAAAGCTTGGTCTCAGTCGCAGGTCATGGGTCTTCCAACAGGACAACGATCCAAAACACACAGCCAAAAACACCCAAGAATGGCTGAGAGAAAAGCGTTGGACTATTCTAAAGTGGCCTTCCATGAGCCCAGATCTGAATCCCATTGAACATCTGTGGAAGGAGCTGAAACATGCCATTTGGAGAAGACACCCATCAAACCTGAGACAACTGGAGCAGTTTGCTCATGAGGAGTGGGCCAAAATACCTGTTGACAGCTGCAGAACGCTCATTGACAAATACAGAAATCGTTTAATTGCAGTGATTGCCTCAAAAGGTTGTGCAACAAAATATTAAGTTATGGGTACCATCATTTTTGTCCAGCCCTATTTCATTAGTTTTTTTTTTTTTTATAATTATGTTAATCAACATTTCAAACGTAATGGCTGATTTTGATTATTTAATTTTCAATAAATTTTTATTTATTGTTACTTTTGTAGGTTTCAAGTGATTTCAGTGAGAATTGTGGGTTTTTCCTTCTTTAACTGAGGGGTACCAACAATTTTGTCCACGTGTGTAGATCAGGGAACCAGAGAGAGAAGGGGGTGCCATGTTGGAAAAGAGTTGAGGGCTGCCATCAGGACAAACTGGTTTCCCTTAAATGTAATGCTCATTCAAGATATACATAATCCATCATCTTTTCAGTTCCATACAGAGGCTGATGTCTGGTCCAAATGTGTTTCCCTTCTCAACCTCTGGGGAAGGTCACTCTTCATGCCCATGTGATTTGAATGAGAATTTGGTTTTAAAGGATGTAAACCCCTCTCAACCATCACTTGTGATTCACACTCTCTAAAGTCTTTTGGTTTATCTTAACTTTGATGTGCACAGTGCTACCATCCTCACTTAAACCTTGCTTTCATGTGAAACCTTCCTTAACCCAACCTGGTGCTTTCTATAAAAGAGAAGGGTGAGCACCTCTGAAATTATAGTTAGTTTTGAATGTTCTTCGTCATTGTGTAGCAACATTATTGCCAGTCAAACATTTATGATAAAGTGCTCTCTGCCTGGCATGTAAATGAAAAGGCTGTGGTGAGTTTTGGTCAGAGGAGGAGTTATTTTCTCTCTTTAGAGTGGCAGCTAGTTTGCAAGAGAGCTTTGCTGGCTGGTGCCAGCTGCAGCACTTCAGTGGGCTGAGTGCTCAGAGTGCATGTTGAAAGCTCCCGGGGGCGACGTTGTGAATATATGAATGGGATGCCTGACCAGTCTCAGCATTTCTGAATGATCCAGTTTAGTGACACAATGTGCGGGAAATGTCACATAGATGCAGTAAAAGTAACACTGTCCTATCAGCAGATTGGCTACAGCTGGTGAGATTGTTCATCTGACAGAATGATCTCATTTATTCATCTGGGATTCAGTCTTTCTTAAGATAAGGGACCAGTTTCTAAAACATTGTGAAATTACTGTATGTCTGGAACATAACTCTTAAGTGTAAACAGAGTAGAGTAGCTATTGGCGAGTAAATTTTCTTTATCGTTTTCTCTGAAGTCTGTGATGATATCAGTGTAAAGGCAGGAATCTCAGATATTTTCTCAGTGTTGTTTTCAGAAGAGGTCAAAAGGGAGCAACAGTTGTGTTCTTTACGTGTTGGGCACTGCATGGCACTTCCAGACACCTGTGGGATGTTAGGAATAATATCACTCAAAAATCCATATTAGTCAAGTGCTGTTTGACACCTAATAACGTCAGAGTGAGATCAGAAGTTCTTGTGCGCACCAATAGAAATATGGGCTCACTGGAAATCCGTGTGTGTGCGTCATCTGTAACCTGAAGATAAAAGCTCACTTCATACAGACAGAGAGGACTGTCTGCAGAAAGGCCAAAGAAGTGAAAGTAGGTGGGTAGAAATTTTTACAACAAAAGGAAGAGGAGGCAAAGAGATGGTCCAAGGTGTTGTAATGACGCTGACCTTTGTCGCTATGAAAGAAGTTTGTTTACTCATTTAAAACCACTGATGTCACTGTTTTCAGAGTAGTCACGATCAAGCTGTCACACTTGTCACACTTACACTCATTTTAAACAGTTCTTTTAATAAAAGACTGTATCAACAATGTCATATCAGAACACCAATACAGTGCGCTTCAGACCTTTTTCCTATTTTCCCAAAATGTTTTATTTTTTGAACAGTTTAAGAAGTTGTGAAATAGTGGAAAGATGAAGAAAACAATAAGTTGAAAACTTTTGTTGAGAGTTGAATAAATAAGTCCTCTTCTCATTGCATACTCCTAAATTTCTTTTTCCTCTGGGGGACACAAGCACCAATGTAAAGGCAGCTCAACATTGCTCACTTAGACATTAGTATGTCTCCATTACTGCTTGTTTGCCTGGTGACCTTTTTTTCCTTTTTTTTTTTTTGTTTTTTTACTTTGTGAATAGGTTGTCAGTGTTTCTTTCTAGGACTCTGGCCTCTCAGAACAGTGCTTCAAACCAGTTGCACCAGCAAGACTGCCTGGTGCCCAAAGCAATGTAGCGACCGAAAGACCACAGAACAAAACAAGATATGGGGCTGAACCAACAGCTGTAGAATAAGTGGTAGCTTCAATCAAATTGCTCATTTCCCTTGTTTCTTTCTGTAGCTTTCTCCGCCCCCGCTAGGTCCATAGGGAGGGCATCACTTGAAGTGAATGAGAGAGACAAACAAACAGAAAGAGAGACTGCGAGGCAAACATGGAAGAGTGGTGACACAGCTGAAAACAAGAGAGAGAAAGAGAGAGAGAGAGAGAAAGGAACAGCTGTATTGAGGATGATTAAGACCAGGTCTGGCTTTATCCTCCGTTTGACTGACACTAGATGGCAACGTTTTGCTGTACAGCTCCTCTCAATAGCTTTCCCTCATCTTCTATCTGTTATTGACTCCTTGTTGCCTAACAATAGACCCTCCAGGGTTCAGTGACTGTGTGTATCTGGCTTGGCTGAGGGGTACAGGATGGGGGGCTGCAGAATGGGGGACTGCAACCCCCCCCCCATGTTCCTGTTCAGAGCGAAGCCCCGGCTCTTTGGAGCAGGAGGTGCTGAATCAGGCAGAGGGGCCGAGGAGGGAAATCTTGCTTATCTGTATGGAATTTTATTATTTTCAACTATTTGGATCACGATGGCTCCCGCTCTCTTTCCCTCCCTCTTCCTCCTTTCCACCTTGTCACGCAAACACAGCCTTTCCTCACACAGCCTTGTCTGTCTGCCGCTACGCTTCCTTCCCTTCCCTGTGCTGCCTCACCCTCGCTTATCATGCCAATTAACATTTTTAACTTCTGCCACTTTTCCTCTAGAACTCTCTTTTACCCTGCATCTGCCTCATTTTTCACTTGTCACATGGCGGTGAACGGTTCATCATATGAAAATTGCATTTTCAACACTTAACATTCAAATTTCTAGCAGAACAATATTTCTCTTATCTTTTTCAGTCGCCCTAAAGCAGGAACTAACTTGGCTCCAATTTCACAGCTATCATTTATACATAATATCGGTAAAATTGCAACTGTTCTTTATAAATTATTTTTAAATTTAAAGGGCATCGACTTATGGGATTTCTTGTGTATAATAATTCGAAAAAAAAAGTCAAAACATACAAAAAGCCAATTATTAACTCTTAACACCAACAATATCAAAAAAATACAAATAACCCTCTAGGCCATGACAGGAGAAAGTCAGCCGATGCTCTCTTTGGTTTAAAGCAGCTGACAACCGTTAAAAAGAGACTCCAGGGAAAATATTACAGGAACATTTCAGTCCTCTGCTTGGATAGAATTTTGTTCTTTCAATTTTCTCATACCAGTATTTGACAATCTTTAATCTATTTGTCAAAATACAACTTAAAAAACAGTGCAGTTATCAAGAAAAGCAAACCAAGGTAAGTTTTCAGGAGCATTTTATCCATTGATGTAACCTCATCAACTGTTGACATGACTGAACAAAAAGAGTGCACACGATGACAGTGCATGGGTATCAGGCAAATAATAATAATTAAAAAAAAGCACATTAATAATTGGTTTAAGGACCTCAGGAAGAATAGCTGAGGCTCGACCAAGGCTAATGAGGATCCCAAATAAATCAAATCAAATCAAATAAAAACACTTTTCTGTTATCAGTCAAATCATGCTGAGAAAATGCTTATGTAACAGCAGTCCACGGTTCTGAAGTCATGTGACATCTTACCTTTAAGAAAAGGTGACAGTCCAAATCATAATCCAGTTTATTATCTACATAAGATATGAAAGGACTACACATAATTATAAAAAAACCTCTGCTATCTAACATGACTTATTTTTGTGAAGAAAGCCTCAGCCAAAGTAACATAATAAAGAAAACATTGACATTTTTTAATTGTTTTTCTTTTTGTATTGGCTGAGAAGTTTGTAGTAACAGTTCAAAGTGAGAAAATCAGAATCGCCCTGGACTGAGTCATGCAGCTTTACTCTGACTGAAACGTATCTGTCAGCATTCTGCGCATATAAATCTTTGGAGGGAAGGAATGGGCTGATGCACTCATTAGCGTGTGTACGTTTTCATGTACGTGTGTGTGTCTGCACGAGCACATAAGCTGTTGGTAAGCTAATAAAAGGAGAAGCTTTTCCTGGCAATCAGGCTTTGCCGAAAGGCCCACCATCACTGTATGTCTCCTGATTTGAAAAAATTCACTCTTCAGTAAAATCCTGGGTGTGTGGTACTTTGTGTGTGTGTTTGTGTGTATGTGCGTACATGTAGGTTTCATAAGAGCTCAGGAAAAGAGAGAACATGAATTATAGAGAACAGAGCAAGGTCTTAACCATCCGGTTTGGATTTTCACACGCAAACCTTTTTTTGAATGGCTTCAGTCAAGGCTCTCTGTTGTTCATTTTTACATACTTGATGCTTTGCACCTTTAATAGCTAAACAATAAATATGCTCTAAATGTCAGGAAATGATGATTGGTGATTCTTTTTGAGGGTTTAAAAAAATCCAAAAAGCAGAGCAGTATAGTTACCTGACTTAACAACAAATAAGAAGCTCAGTTTGTTTTCATGAGAAGTAAAACAGTTTGATCTGAATATCTTTTTATCTCTTCTTCCTTCTCTGTGACTCTCAATCCTCTTTTCCTTCTCTCCCTTTCCCGCTATCCACTGATCCTGACTTTATCTCTCTCCACAGCGTCCTCTCTCATCACCCTTATTTCCTTCCACATTTCCTCCAGGTCCCCTTTATTTAGATAGCCTTGGACGCGCACACGTTTGTACCAACACGCGCGCTCACACACGCACAAGAAGGGCATGTGTGTAACCTTTCTTGATTACCCCTGACCTGTAATGACACAGCTGCTACTTTGATCAGCCAATCAGCATGCGGCGCCACCCAGGTTCTCAGCAGGGCTGCCACTGGCCTGATAAAGCTCTCTGATAGGCCTCTGCTGGTGCATTTCCTGTTTTGGTATGCTTCTTTGCTTTTTATTTTCTCCACCAGCTGCTCCCTGCATTCCTAGGAATCGGGGAGGGGGCAGGGGCATTGCCTGGATGTTTATGTTGCATGTGCATGTAGGGGTGAGTGTGTGTGTGTTTTGAACTGAGTGTTTGTATGTGTTGTGTTGTGTGTGAGGATGTGTTTGGTAGCCTAGATAGAAAGGTCTGAGGCTGAGGGGGGCGGGGTAAGGTTAAGGGGATGCTTGAAATTGGGGGAGGGTGTGTGAGGGTTGTTTACATGCATTGGCGAGAGAGAAATGGGGTACATTGTGGGGGCGGGGGGGGTGGATGACTTAGATGGAAGGGATAATGATAGTGAACAGCTGTTTGTGTGTGCTTACGTGGGTGTAATAGGGGTGTGGGGTTGAGATAGGTGAGGTTTAGGTCACATTGGACTGACAGGGACTGGGTGCTCACCTGAACTCGAAGATGACACGACTGAGAGTTTTGGTTGTCTTTTGCTGATATGGACGGATTTGTCATTCTTTGCTTTGTGTTGTTATCCTTCAAGGGTCCACTTCAAGACCAGATGGATGTCTTAGTGGGTGAGTGGGTGTGTATTTAGATGCTGATGATCTGTTCCCGAGAGCTCTGTTACCAGGGTCCAGTGTCTCCAGTAGCAGGCAGGAGGCAGACATGTCCAGACATGAAAACAGTCATGTGCACACGCAAACGCACACGCAAACGCTTTCTCCCTCACACCCTCTGTTTGTCTCTGGGCAGAAGTATGTACCATTGGACCCCTATGTCAGAGGGTCACTGGGAGAGATGTGGAGGTATTTTCAGTCAACATCAGAGGTGGTGTTTGCCACCTGCCTCACTCCTGCTCTTTGCTTCTTCTTTATTCTGTCAAGTTTGCTCCCTTGGGCCTCAGCAGCGATATAATTTCCTGTATTTGTTAGAAAAAAAGATCATGTCAGGTATCAAAACTCACACTGATTAAACCCTGTAGGATTTCTAGTCTGTCAAATCTTTTGTGAATATGATACTCAGATAAGGACCCAGATGTAATGCCACACTAGTCCAGTCATTTAATATGTTGTATTTAAAATGATCATTTTTCAATTCTTGATGACTTTAAATCCAGAATTTTTCAAAAGCAGGATGTGTTGTCAATAAGGCTATAACTGTACATCTCCTAAATAAAACTAGACCTGCTTTTCGGAGATAGCAACAAACCAATAACATTAGCAATACATGAAGAAATATAGCATGAACAACTATAATGAATACAATATGATTCATGCATGGAATAATTACAGTACTGAATGCATTCCTCTGACTCAGCAAAGACAGCATTTGTGTCAGATGAGATAAGAACATGCGGTATTGGCAGTGCTCATGATGTTCTTGTCATGATAAGTTAATTAAATTTGGTTAAACTGAATTAACGTCCAGTTGACAGACTGGCCCTGTCCTTGTTGACCATGTGTTCGAAGATTAGTTTTTCATTTTGACCCTTTAATTTTCCAATAAAACACTGATGCCATGGCTGTATGAACAGGAAATGCATCACCAGAGGATGGAGAAATCCTCTGAATTTTTTGTAAGGACAAAAGCCAAAACAAACCTTTTTTGCCTGCAAACACTATTCCAAATGTTTTCTTGTCTCCATCATGTGGTCCGTAGGTTATGAATGTAAGGACTGTTAATATGAATGAATTATAAACTTGTCTGAATCTGAATCTGAATCCGAAATGGAGATGCAGAAACATACTCTGCTGCAATCCAAGGCTGACCAAGTTATTTGCCTTTTGCCGGGCTGTGGAGGAGATGTCATTGTAATTGGAGGGAGGGTCGAGGTCGTGACCCTGAATGAACCCACAGCAGGATGCTATTGGTTAGTGGTCTACTCTTACCACTTATCTGTCTTTTCCAGAGAAGGATGATTTCACTCTCCTCTCTCTCAAAACAGTTTTTTTTTTCACAACCAAAGGCTCAAGAGGTTCTCATGTTGTTTCTCAATGTGACCTCTTCACCCACAATTTTTTTTATAACTAACGATTGACTCATTCTCACCTCACCTTCCCTGAAAAGAGTCAACAATCCCGCAGACAGCAGTCCAGTTTTATTTGTCTTTTGGCTTTGATTTTCCTTACCCCTTCACTCTCCCTTCTCATCCCATCTCCCCTTCTCCTCTGTCTCCGACTCTTCCTGGAATATTTTCTACCAGGAGGTCTGGATAGAGGCATAGGTCAAAAAAGTGTGTGTGTGTGTGTGTGTGTGTGTGTGTGTGTGTGTGTGTGTGTGTGTGTGTGTGTGTGTGTGTGTGTGTGTGTGTGTGTGTGTGATGAGTCAAAGTGAGAGTGAATGTGTGGCCCACCCAGGGGCCTGGCTATCAGAGCTGTTTACAATCATCAGGCTATATCTCTTCTTCTCCTCTTCTACCCTCTTTCACTGCCTTTTCCTTTTCTCCCTTTTTTTTCTCTCTTCTAGATGAACCAATATCAGGCTTAAACTTTCCAGTTTTACAATATCAGCACTGGATTCTTTGTAGATGCTGTTATACAATTTGGGATCAACAGTTAAGAGTGCTTACACCAAGGATGTCTGAAGTCATACCCTTGAAATCTTGAGTCTTCTTGAACAGAGCTCACTTTTGATAACCCACCTTTTTTTATTGTTTTGGTGGGGGTTTTGCTTTTTATACCAAAAAATGTTTAAAGAGTGAATATGAACCAATGTAACAATATACAGGTTAATGTAGTGACACCGTTGATGTAGGGAGAATGATCAATAATATCGCAGTTACACAAAAATAAGACCTTAAAACCATTTTAGTGCAAATACTTGAGCTGGACTCTTTGTTTAAAGTCAGTACATTTCTGAAGAAGGTAGGCCAATTGAAAAATTACCCACTTCTGTTTTAGGGAAATGCTGCTAGGCTTCTGTGTCCCCCATGCAAGTCTATTTGTTTAACCATACACTTTTTAGAAACATTGTAATATAACGATTTCAATTAAATCAGTAAACCAAATATTAATTTAAGCAATCAAAAAAATTACAAAAAATTTTGTCTGATTGTTTGGGAGTCCTGGAAATTTGAAAAGAAAGAAAACATTTCTTTTATGTGATACATGCACGTAGGGTAAAATAGTCCAATGATGCTTGTTAAAGATGGAGATCTAACGCCTCACCTGAGTTGCTTCCTGCCATCTCACACAATTATCAAAGATTAGATTAACACATAATCGTTTACCTTTAATGTTCCTTTAGCAGTTTGTAACATTTTTAGTTGGTCAACACAGTTTAACCATTTGCCTTTTCCAATACCACACCCAGGTCTAGAATACAGTAATTGATGTGTCAAGCTTGTTAAATGACATTACCAATTCTGTGAACTCTCACCTGTGTCCCTCTGCGTGTCAGTGGATATTTATGGCAGTAACATTCAAATCTTTGCTTCAATTCTTTTATCATCAATATGTATTTTTGAAAAATACTTGAGTATGTTAAAACTATTGAATAATATGCGACCATGCTCTAACCAAGACATGAGGGTGCTCAGAATCAATTAAATAATTACCCAGACTGTGTCAACCAGGCAGAGAGTGAGTGAATGCTACACACAAACAAATAGCATTGAACAAGATCATTAGTGTAAACATGGATGTTACATTTCAGTTTTTAGAGGCAGAAATGCCCTTAGTCCACAGATATTTCACATTTATTTTATAGGGGCAGTTTGTAGGGGTGGGAATCACTGGTGGCCTCACGATGCAATATTATCACGGTACTTGGGCCACAATACGATATTATTGCGATTTTTAACATTTTGCAATTCAGTATTGTGATACAATATATTGAGATATACACTCACCGGCCACTTTATTAGGTACACCATGCTAGTAACGGGTTGGACCCCCTTTTGCCTTCAGAACTGCCTCAATTCTTCGTGGCATAGATTCAACAAGGTGCTGGAAGCATTCCTCAGAGAGCTTGGTCCATATTGACATGATGGCATCACACAGTTGCCGCAGATTTGTTGGCTGCACATCCATGATGCGAATCTCCCTTTCCACCACATCCCAAAGATGCTCTATTGGATTGAGATCTGGTGACTGTGGAGGCCATTTGAGTACAGTGAACTCATTGTCATGTTCAAGAAACCAGTCTGAGATGATTCCAGCTTTATGACATGGCGCATTATCCTGCTGAAAGTAGCCATCAGAAGTTGGGTACATTGTGGTCATAAAGGGATGGACATGGTCAGCAACAATACTCAGGTAGGCTGTGGCGTTGCAACGATGCTCAATTGGTACCAATCATCATGGATGTGCAGCCGACAAATCTGCGGCAACTGTGTGATGCCATCATGTCAATATGGACCAAGCTCTCTGAGGAATGCTTCCAGCACCTTGTTGAATCTATGCCACGAAGAATTGAGGAAGTTCTGAAGGCAAAAGGGGGTCCAACCCGTTACTAGCATGGTGTACCTAATAAAGTGGCCGGTGAGTGTATATATATATATATATATATATATATATATATATATATATATTTTTTTTTTTTTTTTTTGTTGTACGAACTTTCTCCTGCTCTATGATGTCACCTCTGCCAACATCACTGGACAAACAGTTGGTTTTATTTTTCTATTAATCGACACTTGGTAAAGAAGGTCATACGATATATCACCAGACAAAATATTGTAACTTAAATCGGTTTTCCTCCCACCGCTAACAGTTTGTCTGTCTGATGCACTGGACAGATTGTGAAACAGCCCCACCTCTTCATTGATGTAATACCATACTTGCAGTTAAAAATGATAAACCGACCAAGTACTATCCTTGAAAACAGTATTCCCTATGAAAATACCAGTCAATGCTGGTGGAGGCAAGGGGTAGAATTAGGCAGGGGCAGCCACTTCACACTATTATTTGCAGGAAAAAATCCAGCTATGTGAAACAAACAAATGCAGTTGTTTTTGCAGACTGCACCAAGTTTAACTGGGGCTTGAACATTTCATCTGACTCTTGTGAAAAACTGTTTTCAGTGTGGGAAAACTTTTAAAACTAACTTGTTGTCTAGGCTTGCCAAGAAGATGCAATTTTATTAATTGCAAGCCTGGTTGTTCATCTTTGGAGTGAACGCAAGCTGAGTTTGTTAAAACAGGAAATGTAGTCTGATATCATTACAAGAAACAGTCTGAAAAGTACTCTCACAAACACGCTGTCCATTGTTTGGTCATTTCCACATGATTTTAGGGGTACAAGGAGACGGATGTTGACATAGGACAGCCAGCAGTTACTCATGCTTGGAAAGCCTTGCATAACAAATTAACCAAGAGCTAACCACAGCCTGAACAGATCCAGTCAGCTATTTCTTGTTATCTGGTTTGAAGACCAGAGATGCTAAATCATGGCAAGTGGAAGTGACACACCCACAGTGCTACGTTACCTAAGGAAATGCAATCAAGTTTCTTCCAGCTCATTGGCTTCCAGCATTTGTAATCTTGTACGATGACAGGTTGCCAAAACTCTGTCCAATAAATAAGCTGCTCATGAGTCCATCTGACTTTGGTTTACAAGCCCTGGTTCACTTGTTCTTGGCCAGCATGAACTTATATGAACCATCAAGAAACATACTTCAAAATTTGATATTTAATTTGATAATTTACAGTCAGGATAAAGACGCCACTTTGCAAAGAGTCAAGTGAACTCTCTTCTCAGTAAATGAACTGCATTTGGAGAAAAAACACGCTACCTCTTCCAGCAGGTCAAGCAGACCAAAAGTTGGAATTGTTGTCAGTGTGTATCTTATACATGTCTGGTTAGCATTTCCTGGGATAACTAGGGTTTACATGGCCCACACACACTCACACATACACACACCCTGTAGGGGGTTGCCCTCTAATCCTGGTAGCCGCATCACTGTGGTCTCTCCCTCGGTAGTGTGCCAGGCTTTACCAATGTACAGTCAAAATAGAAAATAGATTCAACCGCAACATGAACACCTCTCCGTCTCTTTTTCATTACCCCCTCTAAACACACACACACACACACACACACACACACACACACACACACACACACACACACACACACACACACACCAGTGCTCAGGATGTTTCTGTGCTTTGCCGGAGCTTACCTCACCACCTCACCACACCACCACAGCAGCCGCACCAGCCGCAGCCTCATGAGATTTCTCACCGCATCGTCAACACCTCTCTGTTTCAGTGTGCTGCCCAGATTTGTCGATACTCCAATAACAACCACCAACATCTGCTTTAATTTTATCGACTGCTGTGCGTGAACGGCTATGCCTCTTGATAGCTTTTGGATTGTTCCAACGAAAAGGATATGTAGTCTGTCCAACAGTGAAATGACTCAGGATCTCATTTTCAGACCACTTAAAGCCTTTACAGTTCCTGTGACCCCATTGAAAGCTCCTCTGTTCTTTAATTCGGTCAAGTGTGGTCATCCAAAAAGTCAGTGTACTTGGCCTCCAACCCCCAGTCACATCTTATTTAGCTCCACAATAACTTTTGCTGCTTAAGGTCTTGAGTGAGCACAAGAGAGAGGCTGATCTCAGGTCGTAAAAGTGCAGTTTGAAAACATTTCCTGATTAATTCAATTCTTGGTATGTCTAAATAAGCCTTTCTCAAACTTTTTTTTAGCCATGGCACCTGTCAAAAGTGCATGAATCTCACGGAACCCCAGTGTAAGATATAAAAACGGCACTGCATAATCTAAATGTAACTGCAAATGTCCTGTTTATCTAGACAGGACTGTATTAATGAATGTAGCACAATACAAACTAAAAATCACCAAAGACAAAAATGTTTCTTTCCATCCATAGTGCTGGTTTCCATCAGTGCCCCTGTAGCCTGCCCTACACATACCCCAACCCCCACCCCTTTACACACACAGACACACACACACACACACAAACAGACAATAATCAACAATGGCAGAGGAAGAGAGATGGGCCTACACACGCTCAATGTGCAGGCACACACTCACTAGCATCTACCTTTGCGACCTTTGGTGCAGACTTAAAGCTGGTGATGAAGGCTCACATAAAGAAGTAGGCTGACTCTCTATTTCATAATCAATGATGTTCGGTTCTTGTGGGTTTTTCTTAAAAAAAAAAAAAAAAAATACATTCATGACACAGCTGCTAGTTCCTTGTTCTTTGTGAAATCAAATGTATTTTTGCGGTTAAATGATCAATCAATCAAATCAAATTTTATTTATATAGCGCCAATCCACAACAGTCGTCATCCCAATACGCTTTTCAAAGAACAAGAGCAGGTCTAGACTTGTTTTACTTTATTGTTTGATGAATTATCAAGACCCAACCTAAGATGGGATTTGGCCCATCTTTGGCCCATCCAACATGAGTGACAGTGGCAAGGAAAACCTTGCGGTAACCTCGGTGGGCTGGGCTATTGAGGTTGTGGCACATTATTGACCATGGTCAGGTGAGATTGATTTTTTTTTTGGAGTATTTTTTTTTTTGCCGCTTTTGCCTTTATTGATCGGATAGTTTGAAAATATGGGGAGATAGAAAGAGGGGGGAGGACATACAGCACATCGTAGAGGCCGTGCGGGGACCGTGGTCCCCATACATGCGGCACGCTAACCCGCTTGGCCATCTGCGCGCCCCACGTGAGATAGATTTTGATGTATCTAAAATTAATTTACTTGTTTATTTATTCATGCACATATGTAAAATAAACATATGAATCTATTCATATATAAAATGTAAGAATAGGTCATTTTTTTGACAGAACCCTTGACACAGTCAGTTGACACCCCAGGGTGCCACAGGACCCAATTTGAGAAAGGCTGGTCTGGATTATCTGAATGGAAGAAGCCATTTGACCTCAAGAGTAGTTTTACAGCTGTTTAACAGTCCTCATAGTCATAAAACTTCTCTCCAAACCTCTCTCATTCCAGAGGACATAAAATCTGATTCTGTTCATTGAGGATATTAAAAAATGAAGTCAAACTACTACAATGGGGTCAAATAATCAGCTCTGAAAGGGTCCTTTTTTATTTTTTTAGATTTGTAGTATAGTTCTGACCGGGCTTACAAAGCCATTCAAATTCTAATGTGTATCTCAGCTGCCATTTAAGGACATGTATGGTATGTGGCTCCACAGCTGGTCCTGGTCCAGTCCAGTCTTGTCTTACGTACATTTTAGCTCTCTAAGCAGCAGGTTGAATCAGCCTTTTGTGTCCATGGCTCCTCCTGACTGTGCCATAATGTTCTATTCAGGTCCAGGTCAGAAAAGCACTGTGCACCGGCACCTTCCTGTTTTCATCAAAGACATTTTCACACATCAAGCCAGGACAACTACGGCTTTCATATTTCATACTTGAATCTAAGCTTATGAATAATAAAAGAGTCACCCCTTCACATTTTTCCAGTATTGATTTCACATGCATTCCAAGGCTGCCGGACACACACATTTTCCCATTCTTTTTAACATTTTTCTATTTTTTCCCCTTCTCTTAACGGGAAATTATTACCCACACAAACACACCAGGACGTTTTTTCCCCTCGGCTGTTTTTGAGTTATGCTCAGTTTGTCACAGATCAGAAGCAAAGGTCAATCAGATAGAATACAGTTGCCCTTTGTGTGTCTGTTTCCATCTCTCACTCGGTCTTCTCTCTTTTCACTCTCTTCTTTCCCTCCTTCCCTCTGGGGCTCTAAACAGGATTATTACAGGATCATACACACATTCACAAAGTCGGGTTGGATCAGGGGACTTCTTTTTACAGCACCAAAGTGCATTTGTACCATGGAAACTCAAACTGATTGAAAACAAGCAGCCAGTGACAATTAAAGTTGGATCATTTTCTGAGTGTAAGTGCTGTGAAAACAATACAGGCTGCTGCTTGTTTTATCTCATTTGACAGCTGTCCACAATCAACAAGTGAAAGTCTGACAGTGGTCCTCAAATGTGACACAAGCCAGACCCACACCTTAAATACACACTTCCTGGAGGACCACAAGACATTAAATTAGAGCTTAATAGTGAAACATACTTACACACACACACACACACACACACACACACACACACACACACACGCACACGCACACACAGAGGGAAAGTGAGACTCATTGGTTGGGAGTCAGTGACAACATTAGCCTTCCCCTCCTCCCCCATGTTTCTCTTTTTTCCCCATTGAGAGGGAAAGTCTGGATGTAATGGGTTGTTCATGTGCGTAAGAGGAGTATGTTTACATCATTGGCAGCATGGGGCCTCGTCTCTATATTCCTGGATGGCATCTTGATCCAATTGGGACCTTGATGAAGATGATGGCAGAGGGAGGGAAAATATCCTTGCCTCGGAAGCAAAGAAGGTAGCAGAAAGGAAACCCCAAGGAAGCAAATAATGCCTGACCATCTTTCTCCACTTTGGTCCTTTTTTGGACAGACCTTGCTCCCCTCCATAAATCACTCATGTGCACTCGCACACATATGTTACACAAGACAAAAGCGGCTGACGGACACACAGGAAAGATCCTCTTGGCGCAGAGTACATGAAGACTGAAGGGACACAGGCTCATGCTCAGGCTGCGCTGTGGTGTGATGTATACATTTCAAACAAAAATATGAACGCTCTCTGCTAGTACTTTCTCTCACTGCGGAAATGTGTCCAGCAGACGCTTGACACTCGCTTCAGCACGCACACAAATACACACACACAGGGCGTGGCCTCCTGCCAAAAATAAGACTTGTTTAACAAGTCTTAGTGCTTTGTTGATTTCAATCTCAGGGCTTTGTTGTTTTTGTGAATTGCGCTCTTTGAGGCTGGTATTAATCTTCACCATGTGTATACACAAGGTGTCCAGCATTGTGCAGTATAACTGGGAATTGTCATGCAACAGCATTTAGTTCAAGTCGGGTCAAGTCTAGTTTGGCTTGCTGCTTTATGGTTCCTCTTGTTGCCAGGCCTGGTGTTTATAGTGCTGTGGTTGACCCCCTCCTCAGTCAACACCTCTGTCCTCTTCCTCTGTCCCAGTCACTTCCTCACATCATTTGACCCCATCTTTCTCCCTGCTGCCTCCTCCTCCTCTTCCTCCTCCTCCTTTCTGCAATTTGTACTCCCGCGGCAAACGTCCCTTGGCTTGGTCCAGTGTTTGTGTTTTGGAGTCTGTGTTCCTCGATGGCAGTGTGTGTGTGTGTGAGTGCAGAAAGACACTGAAGGTCTTGGCAGGACCACTGGTTTCCAGGTGCTTCTCTGCTGTTTGGCAGATCTCTGCCTGAGTCTGACTTAACTCTCTACTCCTCAGGGGGTCTGCTCTCTGGTCTCTCTTTTCCTGTATTACTACACTATCTAGAGAACCTCCCATAGTGTGTGGTGCAGGCGTTGCCGCAAGACAAGAACAGAGGAACAGTGTTGCTTTTGTTTTGATTGAAGGTTTGCTTGTTTTGTTCTTGCTGCTCTTCAAAGCTGTTCACAGGGTGAAGATTCAGGGCCTGTACAGAACATCATTACAATAGTGGTTACTTCAGGGGGTACAAAGATAAGTGGATTTGGTTCAGAAACTGATCCTAACGTTGGACATCCCAGTGTCCTTAGCCATGGCACCCTGGATTAGTACAGATGTCATATGGACTGTTTTTACTCTTGACTGTTGAGGTTTTGTTGTCTTCATCCTGACTTTGACTTTTACCTTTAGGAGAGTAAGGGTATGATTAGATTCAATAGCTGCAGGTAGCTTTAGTTTTCTCTTTGGGTTCAGCAACACCATTAACAGTCTCCACTTAAAGGGATATTCCAGTGTAAATTTAAGTTAGGGTCAAACACACCGTAACAACCAGTTAGACACTCCCTCAAGAGATGAATGTTGCCGACTGCTTGCTTCTCTAGTTATACCAACTTCAGCAATGACCACATGATAGCAATACACAGCGGTGTACCTCTCCATGCACAAACCTAGGGCTTGGCGATCAACTACTCCACAAGCTGCTCATCTCCTCCCACATTAACTATGTCTACTTCAGCTGCCGCTCAAGTCTCTACAACTTTTGAACCTTCCTCCATCTCCTCACCTGTCTTTCCCTCTTTGTTATGGACTGGATGGGGTGGAGTGTCGTCTCCACACATGAGACCATAGCCTACCTACACACATCCAAAACCAACTTCTATTTATTTATTTTTTAGACACCAAATATATTGACATGGGCAAAATGACGTCGGTTATTGTCGTAAATTTTAGTATTGGTAAATTTTCGGTTTATCGCCCAGCCCTATGCAAACCTTGACCAAAAAGCCACTCTATAGCACAAATAATGCTCAGAACAGCACCTAACTTCATCAACAGGACATATAGGGTCACAACCATAGGACTAGCCATCAAACATCTTTTTAACTTTGCCTGGTTTCTTTAGCAAAGAGACTAAACACAACTCACCCACTCTCCTCCAGCAGCCGCTTGTTTTGTGGGGAGCCCTGACGAGTCGATAAAAGAATAACCCTTGAACATTTTTCCTTCCTGCAGTATATTTTGAAATATGAAAAAAAATACAATCATTTCTATGGGACCAATACAATGGATTTGAACAACTTGTGAAAAACTAAAATGTTTCTCAAAGAAAAGAACCTCTTAATGAAGAGCAGTAACAATGATGCCTGAATGTCATATGCTAACCACATGTGAGAATAAGAGAGATATTATGAAAGGAGAAAAACAATGACTCGAATTGTTCTCATTATACTTTATCAACAGCATTTCTCTTCAATCTGACCTGACACAATGAGCTCTGTCAGAAAATGTTTTCTTCCATCTACTCTTATTCTTAGATGAGCTTTAATACTTTTTACCAGGAAAATAAAGTTTTGAATTCTAGCAAAGTCCACGAGGGGTCACTTAATAAAATGTCATATTTCTCACTTGAGTACCAGTTGTGATGGGAAACTTGGGTGTGTGTGCATGATGAAAATACAAGATTATTTTGTATTTCATTATGTACAAAAACACAAGGGTATTATTTTGTAAGACCATTTTTTATGACCTTTTATTCAGTTTTTTTAAGTACAAATTTACTCATGATGTACTCCAAAGAGATGTAACAAGTGTTGGCTAACAGACAGATAACAACATAAATGCTGTGTTTTACTAGATTGCAGAGTCAGCTGCTAGCTCTGACTACACCAATGTGCCCACTTTGGTTATTTCATCATTAAAACAGTTACATCGGATCAGGATATTTTTAGTTATTTTCCGTATGTAACAGGAGTACAAACAGTTGGCAGCAACAAACTGGCTCTCTTCTTTTTACAGACTAAGGAGGACCAAAAAATCCCAAACTTTAGAAAAAAAAAAACATAGATTGGTGCACAAAAATTCATCAAAATGCAGGAAATAATGTTTGTATGCTAAAAATTTCAGAGGCAGGGACTCCCAGACCCCCACCCACCATATGTTCCTTGTGCTGGGGGGCTGTAGTTCATCTAACTTGATAAAACCAACTATTTACAGGCATTTACCAAAGAGATGAAGCCTAGGATGCAGATATTGTTACACTCTAACATAACTTTCAAGTGTTCTGGTGTATGTTAGGCATTAGCTGTCGTACCAAAGAGCAGTCCCAGAAAAGTCTGTTTCATGTCTTTCACAACAGATTTCCAACAAGGTGATCTTACGAACAGTTCCTACTTTGAAAAAAGCAAGTCCAGAGGAGAAGTGCCGACTTCTAAGATGTGAGAAAAGCTGATGGAAGGGAAAGAAGAGCGTGGTCCCTTCACCAAATATATGAGAAGCCTTTTTGGGCTCAAAGTTTTCAATGTTTTTCATCATAATTCATGTTTCCATTTGCCATCTGATAATCTGGATAGTTTAATCAAATGGCTTTCAGGACTTTTTTTTTATCAATATCAAAACTTTGATATTTGAAGCAGATCCTTAGTGCTCCATCAGGGTGTTTTCTGGTAACTTTACACTAGAGAAAAATGCTGAAATTTAGTTTGAAACCTTTTATTTCCCTTCAGGTCCAGTCATTGCTTCTTAAGCTCTCGGGTGAATCCTTTTGTTTTGCGTTGTTTATGAACCAACATGCACATAAAATCACACATTTACTGGTAAGTGTGCACAAAGCGAAATATTCAGTAACAGCATAAACTTGTTGTAATGCTTTAGGTTTCCTGAGCTGCTCCACCCTCCATTCTCAATCTTTGACAAAGTGAGTTTTCGTGTCGTCTCCCCCTTTGGGAATTGAACCATGCTATGTGGTAATTATATGCATGTTTCTCTTGGTATTTTGGGGGTTGGAGACACACCATTCCTATACGCCTACACGTTGACTCCAAACAAAATATTTCGCATATTTAAACAGAATACTTGATTGACAATTGTGCTTATGAAAGCTCTTCCTTTTATTGTAAAAAAAAATCATGATTTTTGAGTCCCTGTGGTGATGATATTTGACTGTTTGTCATTATGGAGCGGAGACTGTTGTTCGAGGTAAACTACAATGTCAGAGATCAGTCGTTTGTGTTGATTAGCGATTAATATAAAATGTAAATACACAGTACAGTTAAGACTCCATGATTTCATCATCACTCAATATGATCCATTTATATGAAGCTGAGTCATTTAAGGACAGCACTGATTTGGCTCCAGATTGATAACAGTGAATTCTTGTTGCCAGGTGTCCTTGGGAGAGGCTGAGAGGGATAGGCTATGGATATGTGTGCATGCCTGCACCCATTGACCTGTTATTTTTGTGTGTGTGTGTGTTTGTGTGTGTGTGTATGTGTGTGTGCTGCACTGTACTGTACTGTACTTCACGGTGGCCTGACAGACTGAGGTTGGACCTCGTGATGCATTAGCCATGTCCAGAGATGGGTTGGTATGGAATAAATAATGGATACCATCCTTTCCCTCTGAATAAATCAAGACCAGAGAAATGTAGAGAGACGAGAGAATAAATGTAGAAGAGAGTTGGGGGAATTGAACGCTGGAGAGAAAGAAGAGTTTGGAAAAGCAGCATAGAGAACAAAAGACGTCCGTATTCCTAATTGGTATCTTACAGAGAGTGCATAAAGAATGGACGTCATCTGCCTCTTCAGTGGTTGAAGCCTTCGCAAGAACAGCACCCTCTGGTGACGGGCTGCAGGATAGGTCGTAAATCCTGCATCCTTCCGCAAAATAATGGAGCTGTGGACAAAGTTTAGAAATTTATTACACAGAATATACTTTTTTTTTTCTCCCCTCTGGTTACAATGTTGAGCACTGGTTTGTGCTCAAGTTTTCTTTTTTCTGTACAGCTCCATTTTTTAAAAGTTATTAGGGGGTTCATGTTTTCTATAATTGGCACTCGATACAACCTGTGGGCGTACGAAGATTGTGTAGATCATCCAGGGGATATGCTGTTTGAGCCGAGCGTCATCACAGCGACTTTCCCACTAAACCCGACTGAGCAAATACCGGTTTCAGGAAATTGAGAAAATTCCAGAAATACAGAGAGAAATTTGGCTTCAAATTTGTATAATGACGGGAGGCGGAACTACGTTATCCATACTATATACAGTCTATAGTATCTTACTACTAGTTACTGCAAAGGATAGGAAACGGCCAAGGAAAAAAAGTTTGTCAACTGTGCAACATTTCTTATGTTAAAATTTTTGACCACTGTTTAAACCAAATCTTTTGATTATCAGGTAAAAATATCAGTTTTTTTCCTCATTTTGCTCTTTGTTTTTTTTCCTCTTCATCTAAGGCTCAGGGCCAGACCTTTACCTTCCCCGACATCTTCCCAGAAAAGGAGAAGACGCCAAAGGAGGGCTCCATGGAAGAGATGCAAGAGAAGTTCATGGAGGATGAGAAGCAGAGGCAGAAACTGGACCCCAGAAGAGGAGGGGTTACTGAGTGGTTCGGACTTTGAGACTGCCCACCGACCAAGAACTCTGCGCTCGTATGAAGGCAGGGAGTGTTTCATTGGGAGAAACGTGTATTGATTTACAACGCAACTGTTGTGATGTCAGTTCTATTTCTGTGAGAAACGCTCACACGTCGTGAAGTAAAAGAGAATGAGCATGTGTGTGGGAGACTGGAGACATGTGTTTGGTGTGTTTGTGTGTGTTTGTTTGGTGAGTGTGTGTTGAGTTTGCAAGGATTCAATCCAAAAACCTGAGCCAGAACAGAATCACAGGAGGAGGAGAGTGGATTGGTTCCATTTTTTATGAAACCAGCCCAGCGTACAGAATCTCCATCACCTCAGATGACCTTCTCTCCTTTCTCCTCCCACTCTTCCTTTTTCTCCTCTTCTTTGTCTCTCCTCTGTCCTCAGGAGTTTCCTTTCCTTTCTCCCTCTCCTTCTCCCTCGCTCAAACTCCATCTCCTCCTCTGCCATACTGAGGAGTGGTACACTGTGGTATCTCTAGCTACCCCGACTTTCTGCCAGCTGGATCCACCTACCTGGGTAACCCGCATCTTTTTTTTTCTTTTATGAGTTTGCCTCGGATTAATTGACCACTTTAGGTAAACAACAATCGAGATGTTGTGTCAGCAAAGCAACAATATGGAATTTGCTGGAGTGTTCTCTTATTTTGTGGTAACACTTCTTGCCATAACTCTGTGAGTTGTGTGTGTGTGTGTGTGTGTGTGTGTGTGTGTGTGTGTGTGTGTGTGTGTGTGTGTGTGTGTGTGTGTGTGTGTGTGTGTGTGTGTGTTTGCCTTACATGCAGAGCTTGCCAGTGGATCTTTCTTAATTGTAAATGCTGTTGGAGTAAGACTAAATAAACACTCACTTGTCCAAAAACGTCTCTGCTTACTTTTCTTGTGTTCTCCTCGCCTCATCTCCCAAGGCTGCTGTGCTCAACAACTGGCACCTCAAGACGCTGTTTGCCACACAAGCTGGCCCGCGCGTGTGCCAGCGTGGTCTGGTAGCTGTTTTGACGAAGTAATGATCTGTGTTTGAATCAGCCCAGTGCAGGTCTGAGCTCTCTTACCGTAATAAGGCCCATAAGGGGGAGGGACCTCTCTTGGACTCGTTCAGACCCTCCATTATGCTGAGAGGCCAAGGTTACAGTAAGTGTCCCCCAGCCGTGACCACTAATGCTGGCTGGCTAATCCAAAGGTTCAGACCCTGACCTCACCAAGCCAACTCAGCTATCGCCAGGGAGAATGTCAATATTGATCCTGTTGGCCCATTGTCTGCTGCCTGGAACCACTCACCCCCTGTGTTGCTATAAAGAAATCTGATTTGGAACCAAAAAAAGACCCTTAATTTCTTTCCTGTCAACCTCACTCTCACTTTTATTTTCTTCTTTTCTGTTTATTTTCCCGGGTCTCTGCTGCCCAGTCCAAAGAAACAGCTGCCTAACCAACTGAGAGGGAGACCAAATTCCTGTTCTTGCTCTCCTCTTGGCCTGAGTAGACCCCACATGAAAGTTGGGAAATCAGATTCTGGTGTTTGCTGAGAAAAAACAAAATCCATTCCTGCTCTCCTGCTGTTCTTTGTCACGGGGATACCCTGTGCCTCCTCAAGTCTCACACACACACATGTCATCAGTACACACTGTACCCAACCCCTAAATCATTTGGCATTAGGGCGCTGACATATTACTCTGTTAAGTGCCTGCTGACAGTACACTTATATTGTGTTTTTGACATTTTAAACACCGCTAATCCAAGTCAGAAATGTGACAACGTTTTATAGAGCACCAACAGAAACTGAGACACGCTTGGTTAATGAGCTAATCTCTTGCTCACACAGATGGATTTCTCTTAGTCATTTTAGCTCTTTATGAGAAACAAATAAACAGGAAAAACTCATTAGCTGATAACAAGAAATCACCCGGGCAGGAGAAGCAGAACAATAAATGATGTCATAGCAGAAAAACCTTCAGTGTGACACGATAATGTGTCAACAGGCTGGTTCCTTAGTCATCCGCATGTTCTGGTAAGTGGTGTTTCCTGAAATAATTTCTCCTCTGATGGAATAGAAATAAAGATGATATATTAGATTAAACTCATCATGATAACTTGTGATTACAAGATAATTGGTGATATTATTTGAATCCATAAATTTTAATTGAGCTTATGGAGGATAGACTTTTGAGTAAAAACATCTGTGGAGAGACCTGCCAAAATTGCGTAATTTTTGGGCATGAATGAAACAGATGATTGTTTTTCTTTACAGAAAAGAACACGGCTCGACCTTCTGCGCCAGAATAAACACCATTTATTCAGCTTGAATCACATTCTTGAAGAATTGGCAGAGCTGAATGGTAAATATGTTAATGAGTGAAAAAAGACGTTAATAAAACAGTGTGTAGTTAGTCTGGTTTCTAGTTCTTTTAAAATCCTCAGCAGTCTTATACGTCAGATGATCAGCAGTGCGGAAAACAGGCACAATTGTGGATGATGATGCTGCAGTGATGACAGGGAAGAATGCTTAACTCATTCTCAGACAGCACAAGGAAGCAGACCCTGACCAGTTTTAATTAAAAGTACTCAGAGTCCAGGACCCCCTGTGATGAAGTTACTCCCAGCTCACTGCATACGTACATCAGCAGGGAGCCTCTTAACTATTATGAGGGGTGTGATAGCCTGATGTGGTTACAAGTGTTTAGCCATAAAGTGAGATCTGGAGAGAAACTTTGGATAGTTAAAAAGTATCAGAAAAGAAAGACTACAACTTCAAAATCATCCGGTTATTCATGCATTTCTGCCCTTGATGAAAATGTTGATCCAGGTGATTCCTTTGCTGCTAGTTGAATTGTTTAGAGACAGTGGTTTTTCTATAGGGGAGGACCTCAGAAGGGACAGACACCTCTATTTTACAGAAATATACTGATGATAAATCACGTATGGACTATCAAGACCGAGGTTTATATTGTGAGTAATGGGATTTGTTAAGTGATAGGGAAGGTTCTTTTGAGTTATTTTGAGATCCTGCAAGAGCAGATCAGGCCGGTCTTTTCTGGCAGAGACTGGTCAGATCGCCGTCCTCCTGCAGAGCGCTCACACCTAAGCGTAGCCTTTCCAGTGCTTTTAAATTTTTCCCTCATCAAAGCCTTTTTTCTCTCTTACTTTTCATCACTTCAGAAAAACCTTGTCTGCACTGTTCTGCACCAACTCCACTGCTGTAAAAAATAATGACTGCTAAATACCTTCAAAGACTTTTTTTGTGCCTTAGCAACATACTGTACACTCCTCCTCTCTTCTATGTTCTCCCCCTTCCTCCTCCTCCTCCTCCTCCTCCTCTCTCCAGTAAAAAGCTGCATGCACAGCTTTTCTCCCCCTTGTCCGGCCCTGTCCATGCAGCTGGCAGCCATTTTCCTGTTTGTTAACACTGTGTTCTCCCAGCCTGTCAGAAGATGCTGTATGTCTGGAGTGTGAAGGAACGTGGGACAGAGCGATGATGAGTAGGTATGCTGGAATGAGCAAATCCTGCACATCTTATGTCAGCTGAACTCAGGATGACTGTAGGCAGATTTATAGGGAACTACAGTATGTATCCTGGACGACATGCATCACATATTGTAATGCATTACACGTTGTGTAAGTGCAGAGGGAAGGAACTCGAGCATGTGCGTGCAAGACCAAGAGCAAGCCCAGGAAGGATGGAGTGAGAGTAGATGGAGGTGAGGGAGAAAGTGAAAAGGGTGAAGTGAGAGTGAAGAAGAGATGACATCACTGAGAAAATGCTGAGCTGGATTCAAGGGCTACTGGATGAAATCAGTCCACTTCTACAGTGCACCAATCTCTCTCTCTCTCTCTCTCTCTTTCTCTCTCTCTCTCTCTTTCTTCTTTTTTTCTCTCTCATGAGAAGTACAGTGCAGGTCATGTTCCCATCCTTACACGGCTAGTTAATGGAAGGGAGGTTGAATATTTTAAACAGCCCTTCACTCTCCTCCTTCTTCTATGCTTACTTCTTCCTCCCTCCCTCTCTTTTTCTTGTCCGGTTGTGCATTAGTCAAGTGCACACATGACCTTGTTTCTGCTACTGCAGTCAACGCTTGGAATCAGTATGACATCATGCTGTATTTTTGGGATTAGTGGGATAAGTGGTGGAATAGTGAGTGTCCTCCCTAACTCCTTGTAGCCTCCCTTGGGGGTACATCTCCTAACTGGCCGTAGTAACCACCTATTTTTATGGGAACCCTATGCATTCAGATGCTCTGCTGCATCACATAAATGTTATGGATTTTTTTAATCCCATCAGTTAGGTAACATTGTACTCTATTTCTTCTTATTTTTATTTTTAATGATTTGTTTGGGCATTTCTGCCCTCGCCAGACAGGACAGCCACAGAGAAACAGGAAACGTGGAAAGTAGAGGGCGGGGAAGCCGTGTAGGAAATGGTCATGGCCAGGAGTAGAACCAATGACCCTCCCAACATAGATGAGGGCTCATAGGGCTCATGCCTGAACCATACAGCCAACAGCGCCCCCTCTGTCTCATCATTTTGGTGTCATTTGCTGGTCCTGTTCGGAGACAATTTTGCAAGAGGATATGAACAAAAGAAAAACAAACTTCATGTTTGTTATGTTCTGCTTCAGTCACTAACAAAAAAGTCCAAACTAAAGGCTTGGTTGCATACATTCAAGTACAGTAGGTCATTACCAACTGTCCGTATAATTATGCACATTAATACAGTTACACAACCCCTACCAGCTTCTTGTGCAAATGCATTCACTCTCACACTTGTGTTCACTAAGACAACCGGGATTGCCTGCTGAGGATTCTGACGGCCTCTCTTGGATGAGCGCCATACACATTCCTGCTTCCCCAGGTTGCCACTGGTTCATCTGAACTCAGCCTGTGCACTCTGTCACCCCATAAGGGTGTGTATATATGTGTGACTGTATGTGTGTTGGTTGTAGTGTGAGTTCATGTTCTGTATGAGCCCCTGCAAAAAAATAAACGAAAAACACGTCTTCCGTTTTTCCAAGAATTTACTTAATACACACACTCACTCACACACGCATATACACACACCACGCTCGCATTCATGCCTCATTGTGAACCACTCACACATACATAAAACGTACCCTGATGTGGCCCCTTAGTGTATATACACGGCCTTACTGTACTCACATCGATATACTTGTTGGCCTAAGGCCAGAAGCAACAACTGAAGCAGGACATTGTAGAAACATGTGGGCTTGGGTGTTTGCTGTTGCTTAGATTACAGAGAATCAGTACGCTTCACAAATTGATTTTTTGGAAAATTGGATATAAAGAAAGTGTGTCATGTGCTCTTCTATCTGTATAGTTGAACACTCCCAACACCTCAGAGACAAACATCAATTTTTGGGAAAACTTCTACACTGGGGGAAAACAGCAACATCAAAAAACACTATTTTGAAAGTAGACTTTTTACTATTTTACTATTCAGACTAGTAATATCACCAAAATGATATTACTATTTTCTTAGCCATTAGCAGCTTAGAGTGTTAACTCAGAGTGAGGCTTAAAAAAAAGACGTGTTGCACAAAAGAGTAGGGTAAGAGTGTTTAACTTATTATCTATAATTTTACCACCGCAGCAAATACGAAGAGTACAAAGTGCTTCGAGGTCCAGCCATGGTATAAGCAAAACAAACCAAATAATAATAATAATAATAATTGCGCAGCAAAACATTGTTTTTGTTAATATTTCATTCATATATTTCGTAACATCCAATATACTTTAATCAAGAGTGAGCAAGTACAAAACAAGACTTTTACATATTTGTGTTTTTAGAGGTGTCTTTTCCTTAAGATAGTATGGCACACCTCCAATGAAAACAGTAGTATTTAATACTCTTTTAGCACCATATTTAGAATTGAAAAACTGTATCAAATTCAGCTGTGAGGCAGTTGGCTCTCAGTTGCCCTACAAAACTATGACTACTTATACCCTAAGGGCAACAAAACCACAATGTTAAGAATTCATAACTACATCAAAGTTCTTCAATTTAAATGCCCTTTCACAAAAATAAAAATCTGAAAATCCTCAGCTATATGCTTTGAAATACATAATATCAGGTATTTGAAGGATCTTTACTAAAGCTACAAGGTGTAGAGAAATGAATTATTAATAATATTTGGTAGGTTTTAGACATAAATGCTCACCTCTCTCATTATTGATGTGACCACAGCCTCCAAAAAGCTCCTGTAATGTGCACGTATGATCCTCATCAATCATGTGTTTACCCTGAAAACTTAATGACATTAAGTATTTTATGTTCAACAACTAAAAAACAAAATACAAAATACAAAAACATGTCAATAGTTAGTCCATTCTGTGTTGCCTGACAGCCTGTCTTGTTTACTTTGCTAATAAAACGATAGAATAAACCATATAGAATATCATGTAACACTTTCTTTGACACCTATCTCTATAATGCATTATAAATATATTCATAATGTGTTATAATCACATTATAGCACCGTGTAACTATAGTTATAAGAGCTCAAACAATCATAATGCTTTATAGCAATAATCATAATACATTATAAAGCATTTTATCGTGACTTACAAGGTCAGGTATTATAATGTGTTATGCTTATTGTTATAAAGCCTTATGATAATTGATGAATGTTTATAATGATAGTTATACAAGTTTAAAAGCAAATTATAACACATCATTAACATATGTATAATGCATTATCTATGTAGGCATTGTCAGTGAGTTGTTATCAGTTATAACACATTGTAATACGTGACCTTGTGATAAAATGCGTTTGCAGTGTGTTATGATTATTGCTATAAAGCATTATGATCATTTAGGAGTGTTTATAACGATAGTTATACAGTGCTATAACATGATTATAACACATTATACATATATTTATAATGCATTATAGAGAAAGGCGTCAAGTAAAGTGTTACTGAATATCACATATCCATACTGACTCAACCAATATGATTTGCTTTATTTATCATAAGCTCCACCTTAGCTTAGCTCTTTGCAACACTAAAGTGCAACATAAAATGATTCATTAAATGCTCATTGTCTGAATGAGGTCATTCCGTATAGTGCACCACTACTAACTAATACTTTTTATTGTGGTTTTTCTACTTAAGAGAAAGATCTGAATGGTTTCTCCATCAGTGTTTGTTTGTAGAATTTGTCAACATCTTGCTCTCATCTGGTTTGCGTGAAGCCTCTTATTGCTTCCATGCTCATCCGCTAAGTCTCAGCCGAAAACAAAGGATCAATCAGTAAAACCAGCCGTGATGTATTCGGGTTTCCTCAGCTGTTCTGGTACTTAATGTAAGCTGAATGCTGTTTTCTTACATTATGCCCCTTCACAGATCCTTCCCCTCCTCGCCTGTCACAACATCAATTAGGATCAATTAGAAGCCCTGACAATAGGAGATGGTACTTGCCAGTGTTCATCACTAAACAGGCTGTGGAGAGGTCTTTGATCTGTGTTTGCACTGAGAGATTTGTTCGTAGTGACTGAAAGGGGGTGAAACTACCTGTATTGTTGTGGCACTGTGTTTGTTAGGCTCTCACACAGACATCAACGTGAAAGAAGGAAGGAATTTCTTCTGACAGCCCAGTTTTCTTAACCTCAATCAATACAATACACCTCTACCAGTTGGGTGGTCTCTGTCCTTATCAGCTGTCCAAAAACTTACATTTGCATTTACAAAAACAACTTCAATGTAGTGATTGGTGAGAAGGGAAATGCAAAAGGGGAGTTGGTTTGATGCCTCAAGTATGCGTGCGTCAGGGAGAGAAAGAGAGGACTTGAGTGGTTCAAATGGGTTCAATTGTCATAACAAAATAACAGAAATCAACTGGGGCCTGGCCACCCATCTGGACTACAGAACACTGAGCCCTGGTCTATACACACACACACACACACACACATATTCGTGCACTTGTGCAGCCAGTGAGCCCCTCGCTGGTGGAATCATACTGGCTGCAGGCTGTGCCAAGTCAATAACACAGACTGATCCCTGATGCTGAACTTCCAGGAAGTCCCGGCCGGTCTCAGCGCTTCATGTACCTGCTCAGTGCTGCAGCTGCCACCTGGCTGCAAGGTGGGCTGGATGGGGATCAGTGAGTCTATCAGTGCTCTATGCCTGCCTGTAGGTCACTCTGACTTGAAATACAGTTCAGAGGAGAAACAGAGACCATGGGAACAACGGGCCTCGGAGATTGTGTGAATTCATTTCCTCCAAGCCACGAGATCTTATGTACTTTAACACAAGCCTCTTCTCATCACGCACGATCAAACCAGGGTCACTAATCTCTTTATATCACCCAGGGAGTAGAACCTCGAGGTTAATTGCCCATCATCCCAGTGGAGACAGCGTGTAACATAGTGGGCATGGTGGAAGTGGGAGCTTGTGTGTATATAGACCAGAAACAATGCATAAATTATTCTGTGAGGAAGATTATATACAGTCTGAGAATGCTGCAGTGAATTACGTATAGATCTGAGGTAACATATAAGCTCCGGGGATATGGCTTTTTAGGATTTATCTGTAAATGTGGATTTTTGATCTGGAGAAATTACTTATGAATCATAGAAACATGCAACATTTTGGATAAAGGGAGCTACAAACTGCACAATGAAACTGAGAATTTCATGATATCTGTAGGCTGAAATGTGATGATACTTTTAGCTGTATGTCAAATATGACTGAGTAAATATGAGGTGTGGATGGGGTGGGTTAGGATTAGGGTGTGGGGGAATGGTTACCTAATAAGCTCTCTCCTTACTTGTACCTGTCCCACTCAGCACATTTATGACTGACATACTCGGTGAGGATGTGAAAGAAAGGTTTGGGTATAGCAGGCAGTAAGGAAGAGAGGAG